CTCGCAACAGCACCTATCAAAGCATAGCGAGAGGGTTTTCTCGATACAGCATTTGGCAGGCGACAGCGGAACGGAGTATATACGGATTAGTTGCGAATAGCGATACGATCATGGTTCTACACAGGGGTGGGACTACCTACATTGTACATGTCATGGTCTACAGCTTTGCAGGCGCAATAGCGTCGAGCGAACGGGAGCCTTGTAGCACGTTGTTATGTAGTATATGTTCGGCCATTTTCGATATTGAAGAATACTACGTATGGACCATGAGACGTGTAACGCAAGTGAACTATCTTCCCTTTCGTTCTCGTTGGCTCTCATCGCCATCACCCCGACTCCATGTCCCGATCATAACTAGGCGACAGGTGGGGTATTCCATCGTGTTTCATTCAAATCATTTTCTTTGACTCCTGAGTTCGTGGATTCGGTAGACAGTAGATCATCAGACATTCAAATCAGTAGAGCTCACTCTAAGTCGCTCGACGGCATTTGACCTAAACCGAGGGCACAGCCTTCCCGATCCATGAACGCCATCACACAACCATAAATCATCCAGGCCCCCTGAACCGAACAGTACCCCCTCTCATCTCCTCATCCGCTCCTTCGTCACCTTCATCTTCGCCCTCAACATCCTGTAACCGCATTGCCCTCAACAGATCTCTACTAGCCCTCGTCCCATCCCTCAATTCGACCGCACTCTTGAGCAACATGTCCGCCATAGCCCTGGCATCCATGTCCACGCCTAACAGCGCCCCTACCTCAGGACCGGTCGGAATAGGAAACTCTACAAGCGGCTTCCCATTTGGACCGACGCTGACGGTTGTGGATTTACGGCTGTAGCGCGGAGTATCGTGTTGATCGAAATCCGAGGATGAAGAGTACTGGTTACTGTGGTGGTACGACGAGTCATCGGTATCGGAATCGAGATTGTACGTCGTGGAAGTAAGGGTTGTGGATGTAGAGTCGTTTCTGCGTGAGGAACGGAGAGGGGCTGATGGTTGGCCCATTGGACGCCGTTGCGCTGCAAGGTTGAGGCGTTCGAAGGTGTCCCAGAGGTCGTCGACATCTTCTTCTTCGAGTGAGGTGTCGGTTGTTACGCTCATGGGAGGAGATTGATCGTCGCTGCTGAGTCCGTATGCCATGTTGTGTGACCAACCATCCCAGATTTGCTGAGAGCGCTGATTACCGCGGTGGTATTGACCAGAAGTGGGTGCTGGTTTCGCGTGTGATTGTACCTGGCTTGCTGAGCTGACCCCTCGGGCGTGCATACTGGGATGGTGTGGGTCTTGGTTTGTAGGATGGCCTTGTTCATCGTACTGTTGAGGTGTCAATAATCCTGGCACCGTCTGGTTTGGTTCCGATTGCGACTTCATGTGGAAAGAAGCGCGGTGGTTATTTTGTGATAGTTGTACCTGATCTTCGAGGTTGAACGGATTATCGTTCATACGCTCTGTTCCTGCTGTAAGGATCTCAGAGCCAGAAGTGGACGGACGGTAGTCTTCTACCATCGCCATATCCAGATCAATCATGGACGAGCGCAGCGGAGAGTTGGGCGCAGAGCTGATCATCTCAGGATAGTCATTGTCATCAACAGCAGGCTGAAGTGGTGCTGTTTGAGCATGGCGCAGGTTTGGTCGGAAACCAGATGCAAGGCCTGGCGAAGAAGAGTCCGTCTTGGTGTGCTGGCTGCGATACGGTTCCGTCGGACTACCCATTGGGAAGGCAAAGTCTCGAGTTTTGCGATTATCGTCCTGCTTGGGAAACGTCCACTCCTTCGTCTCACGTCGTCGTGAGATCCGATTCGAAGCGCGGTTCCTTGGGGCCTCATTGTTGGCTTCTGCCATTGCAGCGTCGAATGTCCACTCTACCGTACGTCGGTTGGGCTTTTGAGGCTGCTGTGGGAAGGACCACTCCATCGTCTTGCGGTTAGGTTGCTCAGTGGCTCCTGGAAATGACCATTCCATAGTCTTGCGGTTAGTTTGCTCATTGGTTCCCGGGAATGACCACTCCATCGTCTTTCGATTCTCGTCATTCATGCTGGGGAAGGTCCAGTCTTTCGTGGCTCGTTTAGTCATCTCGTCCTCCTCGTTGAAAGCATCCCGGCGCTCCTCTTCCTCTTCCATCTCCCGTATGATGCTCTTCATACGATTTGCACGGATGGTGGGCACTTCGCCCAGGTCAATACTTGGTATCTCATCTGCTGACGGCATTGAAAAGTCCAAGTCGATGACCGTCTCGCGGTTGGGCGCGCCAGGGTTGAAGTCGCGTAAAACCAAGTCAGATGGAGGGCGCCCATTCGGCGGGTCCGGCATATCGACGGCACTATACCTGTATGGCGTCGTGTTTGTATCGAATAGTTTGTTCAGACGTTTCTGTCCTCTAACAATAGACTCTTCCTTGAACCTGGCCTGGAGCTGCTCGAATCGTCCCATATCCGCGACAGGTGGTAGGCCCATTCCATTGAAGCCTGCTCCGCCAGCGAAGGGGTCAGTAAATTGTGTTGCACGTTCTTGCTCAAATTCTTCTGATGTGCTGAAAGACCAATCATCATCGTCGTCGTCCTCCGCCTCTGGGGCAAGCGGGTCTGGCGCTTGAGCACCGTATGGGTTGAATAGCGACTGGCGTGCACCACCTTGTTGCTCCCAGAGGTAGTAGTCTTCGACCAGCTTGACGAGCGATACAGTCGGGTACATCTTAGTAGTATCTGCAAGATAGGGGTGCTCCAAAATTTGGTCAGGCGTCGGTCGATCTTGTGGCTCTGGTTGAAAGACGAAGGCTAGGAAATCTTTCAGTTCTTGAGAAAAGCGATCGCCTTCAAGCACAGGAACACCAGCTGTTGGCAAATCGAATTGCCCGATCTTGTGGTGCGGTGGGTAGCCACAAGCCATTTCATAGACAGTACAGGCATATGCCCAGATATCAACCTCGTTGCCGTAAGATATTTCCTTGGGCTGCATCAGACTGTGCGGATCTGCGTCCTTTACCCACTCCTTCTGTAACTCAGGGGCCATCCAGAAAGGTGTACCAACGATAGTGGAGCGCTTCGATCTTTCAGGTTCCAGGGTGTTGGAGACACCGAAATCGCATAATTGCACACGACCGTCTTCGAGGATAAGAACGTTGTTGGCTGTATCACATTAGCCGAGGGAAGGAATGGTAAAGACACCATCACCTACACTTCAGATCTCGATGCAGCACACCAGCTTCGTGTATATACTTGAGACCTTGGGCCAGCTCACGGGCGATGGGTATGATGAATTTCTCCGCCAGTCCAGGACCCGGGTCCTTCGTCATGGCTGTGGGCTTCATCAGAGTGTTGACACTACCACCGCTTGCATATTCGCTGACGATCCAGAGTTCGTTGTGTACAGGCCTAGCCTCTTCGATGATGTTGACGTAAGGCCTTGCCTTGCTGTCTCTTAGCTGCTGCAGGATGTCAATCTCCTTGAGTGTGTCCTGGAGGTTCTTGTGTGTCATTTCCTCATAATCCACCTTGTCGATCTCGATAATCTTGATGGCAACGAGCGCACCGGTATTGCGGCTCTTTCTTTGTCATGTCAGCGAATGTACTCGGCCTTACATCGTGATACCCACCCTTTGTAGACACGACCGTATGCGCCCTTGCCAATGAGCTCGTAGAAGTCATATGGCGGTGGTTCCTCACCACCTCGCTTCGCTCTCTCAGCAACCAGAAGCTCCATGTCCTTTGCCTGCTGCATGGCACGCCCCTTGGTACCACCCATGTTGGGCGGCTGTAGTCGTGCAGGCTCCATGTCTTTTAAATATTTGTGAACCTTGTCAAGCCTTGGCGGTTCAATTCGGACGTCTTCCGAAGGCTCGAAAGGCGATTCTGCTATGCGCTCCAAGGGGCTGTCTTCTAGGGTACCGGTGATGCTCTCGTAGCTAGTTGAGATTGGAAGAGGCGGCGGGGGACGATTAGGCTGACGTGGCCGTCTACCAGGAGAGACGTAGTTTGTGGGATCGGAGACAGAGTATGAGTGTCTTGCGGTCGGGTTGGGCGGACTAGGCTTGATGGTGCCTGGGCTGGATCGTGCTATAGGTCGTTGTGGGCCAGGTGTTGATGGAAGGACAGCGTCGAGCCTCGGCTTGGGTGTAGGTGGGCACAACGGACTTCGGTGGTCTAAGATTGGACTCGAGATATCACGCTTATCGACAGAAGGCGTGCGTGAAGAGCGTGACGAGCGTGACGAGGGGCCTCTCTTGCCTTTGATTGATTCAGTTAGCTTCGACCACGAGATAGAGCGACTGGACCGTGTCCTGTAGTCTGGCGTCTTGTGTTTGGCCGGTGAGCGAGGCGGGGTCACGTCACCCATAGGGATGAGGTGATCGCTCTCGCTCATCGACCGCTTCAGCTTTATGATGGCGTCGTCGCCGAGCATGGTTTCGTTGTGTTATTGCGGCATGGTGGTGTTTTGAACAGAAATTGCACTCACTCGTTTGTTATGATATTCTACGTTGGTTACCAGAGGTGAATGCGGCTCATAGCGGGCAGGGTCGCGTGCGGTGAGCGTGCGTGTTCGTTGACATTCACAGGTCCGCACTGCGGAGAGAGGAGCACCTGTCAACAAGATGCAATTACAATTAAGGTAGCAGAGTAAACGGAGATGTTAGATCGAAGCGAAGCGAAGAATTGGACAGTATAGAAAGATGGGACGACGATGCCATCTGGCAGACGTTCAAAGTGTTGAAGATGCGAAACATGGATCCAGGGTCTCGACGTTTCGCCCGCTGATCGCGCTAAGACAACCTTAATCCATCCGGGGCAAGCGCGCCCCACGTTTCCGTGCCTGACATCATCTGCGCCACATGTGCGACAGGCATAGCAGCTTGCCAACTTTCTGTGCATCCAGAGAGATTGGGTCGAGATGCTCCCTAGAACCCTCCATTCATATTCACCATTCAACTTAAGACCTGATTAGATAACATCTGTTTTGATCCACCACAACAACTCCACAAAAGCATTGAATCAACGTCTCACCATGGTCGCGCAACCCATCGGCACCAAGAAGACGCCCGTCACGTCCACGGCGAAGAAGACACCAGTAAAAGCACCAGTGAAGAAGGCGCCCGTCAAAGCGCCTGCTGTTCAGCCTCCGAAGAAGCCTGTCAATACTGCGATGCAGAAGAAACCCGTGGCAACAACCCCTAAGAAGCCCGTTACAAGCGTCGCACCCAAAAAGCCTGTGACAGCCGTCGGTCAGAAGAAACCCGCCCCAGCACCCGCAAAGAAGGCAATCCAGCAGCCACAACAACAGGGCTGGATCAACAAAGGCCTCAGCGCTGCATCGTCTGGTATTGGAAGTGCTGTCGGCGCTGCAACGACTGGTATTGGCAATGCTGCTGGGGCCGTCGTGACCGCGACAGGTAGTGGAATCGCTGGGGCAGGGAGAGGCGCCGGAGCAAGGTACATATTGCAACTTTGCCGAGTCGACTTTTCTGACTAACATACCGTAGTATTGCAAACTCGTCTCGTACCTGGGGCGATATGGTCCGCGAGTACGGCAACTCTCTCAAAGACATCACCGGCGCTCCGGGCAGTCGATCGACAACAAACAAGAATCCCCTCGGCTTGAGCACTAGCGGAGTGGGAGGTATGGCATCCATGGCTAGTCGACCCGGTGTACCTGGTCTCTCAGGGGGTTCCGGCAAAGGTGGCGGTACGGCCAGCAATCCGCTGGGTCTTTGAGCGATAGCGCCAACGAATTGTGAACATGGAATGGAGGCTGTACGAATATTTGGATAACCGAGGCGAAAACATGGGGTATTCAGGGATTGGATGGCGTTATCTGGGACACATATTATTGGCAATTACGATCTTGAAATACCAGTGCTTACTCTCTTTTTCAGTGAGGTCATTCTATGGGATACACTTCGGGGGGCATAGCACGACACCAAAATCACATGGTAGATTAAATGTCTGATCGAATAAGTATGCTAAGCTTCATCCTTCTGACACTATGCTCTGCAAGTATACCTTCCGATTAATCTACCACGGAAGATATCACCCTTGTAGCCAGCTTGCAGAAAGATGACTACTCTGAACTAATAGTACCTAGGTAGATGTTCTACAGATTCTACGACCAACGATGATGTATTGCATCATCACAATCTAGCTCGCGAGTACAGCAGTATATAGATCCCTGCATGAAGCCTGGAACAGACTACAAGCACTGGTAGTAATACGGTGGTGAGACGCCTTTGCACGTATACGGCGACTTTGGCATTGTCAGATGGTTTCACTGTCATGGCTGCAAATTCACATACCTCACAGATTGTACATCCATTCCAATTCTGTCCACCGCACTGATCCCAGTGCTTCGATCTACATCCTCCTCCGCCACCCGATGTACTTGTTGGTCTTTGCGCTGACGAAGTGCGACTTGGCAACATTGTAGATGTTTTCGTGCTCGAAGGTTGAGGACGCGAGGAGCTTGTTCGCGTTGGCATTGGGGCTGTGCGGCTCGAACTCGTCTTTGGCGGGCTCGGTGGTTTAGGCGGCTGCGACGGTCTTGGTGGCGATGTACCTCCTAACGTCGGTGTATCAACATAGCTGCCGTCACAATAGTACGACATGCCGTTCAATTGGAGATCCTTCATGATGGTACTGAGTCCAGCCACGCCTGTTCCTTTACAAGATGCGCCATTCATAGCTTGCGCATTAAGCGGAAGAGGGTACTCGATATGGAAAACTGGCTTGTTGAGAGCGATGAAATTTTCGTAGGCTTGACACTCGCCGTGTTGCGCACATTGCTCGTTGACTGCAAAGTCTACGATCGGCGACACATCGCTGAGGATATCGAGGCTGTTCTTAAGCCCAATTCTCATGTCGTATTTGGCGGCTTCTTGCTGCATCCATCGCACGTAGTCGATAGCGTCCGTGTTCTTAAGGTTCAATCCGTTGTCATTCTGCTAAAAGAGGTTAGCATGTATAACTCGCTCACGCCTGAGCTTGGAGTAGTGACTGCGTGCTACCACCGTATCATACCCATGTAACAGTACGAGGACTTACATATCCATCTGTGTTGTCCGGATCGATAGCATCGCAGCCCTTGTCAGCAGCCAGCTTGATACGCTTGGCCATGAGGGCTCTGATGCTTTGGCTACCCGTCCGCAACCATCTCTCATTGGGCCACTCCGGGAGCACCTTTCCAAGATCAGCAGCTGCAAAACTTCCGTAATCATCTCTCCAATCTTCCGCTGTTCCAGCACTGAAGTAGCAGATGACGATTTTGCCGGCTGCTTTGAGAGTTTCTATTGTCGTAACAGGGTTGTCGAACAAATCGATATCCCAAACCGGCGCGTCTATAGGTGATATAGGTATCTTGGACATGTCGGGAATGCCCAGCAGTACGATCTGAAACTTCTGCCCTTGTGTAAACGAAGCATTCTGTGCCCAAATGAGCGAGAAGTAACATCCCAACAACACTAGCCACAAAAGCATCTTGAAAACGTTGGAAGGTCGGAAAATCTTTGATGTGTGTTTGTTGGTCCTTATGAAGGGAACAGGATCAAAATGTCGGATCCGGGGTTTGAGAAGTTATACTTTTAAGGCGGTCCTGTCCAAGCTCTGAAAACCTACATTTAGGATATGTAGTAGCAATGTGTCACAACTCGACTGTAGCCGAGACGTGGTCTGCAGCGGCTCCCATGTGTCGTGGCTTTTGGAGCTGGTTGGGCGCCGTCATATATCCTTGGATATTGCACCATTACAAAAAGCCAATCATCCAAGTTTACCTTGTCACGACAGGAATCTGGTAGGACTGGAGTTTCGTAAGCCGCTCCAGTAGCAACGCCGGATCGCAAAGCTGGGTAGTATCAATTCGATACCAAATGTGTGTCCATGTTTGGACTATTTCTTGTGTCAAATATACCGTACCATAAGCCTTGAAACCGAGTGGCGCCTGGTGCGAGATGTTGTGGTATGAGTAGACAACCGTAACCGGAGAGTGCCGAATCAGCTGCATGCACAACGTATGGCGATCCGGCAGATTCGTGCATTGCGGGGAAAGCTTGTTTCTCTAGTCTCAAGCTCATCTCCGAGATCGTGTCGGTCAGATGCGCCCTGGTTGATCATATATGAGCAAGTTCTAGGCACACGGGTAAATGAGGTATAATATCGGAGCCTTCATTTGGAAAATTTCTGTCTAGTCCAAGCCAAACAAGAGTGCTTGAGATCCTGTCTTCTTTGGAATCATTCTTCGATGTTCGCCGTTGAGTTCATGTAGGAATAGGTTTTGCGACGAACCCGTGTATGGATGACGCGATATAGCGAGGTAGCGATAGAATCGGAAATTTGAGACTACGACCAAGGAAAAAGAACAGGCACAGGATGTCTGGTAGCCGGAATGACGAATCAAACAAGGGTGGGGGTTGGTGATGTAGAGAAAATGGTACCATAATCACGAGGTTGACGCGTATGGTAGGGTAAAAGCGCGCGAGAGGATGACGCGCGATGTCATGCTAGTCGCCCTTATCGATAAAACTAGCGCCATCTGAACCTTCTGACAGAGAAGTTTGGACATGCACAGAGCGTGCAACATGGTTGGCCACGACTACATGTTTGTCCTACTCCTGTCTTTCTGTACGCATTTGCTTTAGACGCGGCGAGTTTGCCTCCGCCTCTCGTCCTTTACTTTCAGACGGCGCTTGCTCATGCTTGCGCTCTATCGACTGCGATGCCTCCCACACTCCACTCCAAGCTTTCAAACACGCTTTCTGCGAACACTTCCACGAAAAATCCCGGAATACGTTCCGCGATGGGATCCGACCCTACACAGAACCGCGCAATCCACTTCGGTGCTGAATGAGTCGACGAGAACGACCGCCGAGAACCCCTCTTTTAACTTCAACAGAGGTGCAGAGCGCGAGCAGCTTAGAAATAAACCCGTCGCGATTGGCACACCTGGAACCAACCGCACTGGTGGGCGGACAGCTATCAAAAGACTGAATCAAATATTGAAGCTAGTCAGAGACAGCAATGGCCAGGATGCCAGACTACGTGCACCGCTTTGGAGAGCATATTCTTTGGCCAAGGCATCCGATCCGAAACTCCTAGCACGTATCCCGGATGGAGTATGGGACTTGCTCTCGATCACGCAGTCCAATCACACTGCAAATATGGCACAGCTCTACCAGGATATGAACAAGGCTGGGAGATATACGACAGCCAGGAAGCGCGCCAAACATCTAGAGAAGGTCTTCCTTCGCGGAAAAGTAGACCAGGCTCTCAGAAAATGGGAAGAGGATCACAGATTGGGACACGACGGTGTACGAATGGACTACAACCCGGAGCATCTGGAGATTGGGGCTAAGCTCCATGCACTTGCCAGGAACGTAGACTACAGTCGGAACATTATGGATGAACTGTTCAGGCTGTATCCGAATTGGGACACCTCCATCATGATGGCTGTTTTCCGAGCTCATACGAGCTCAGAACTACAAGAGCACCATGACATGGCAAAGCAAATCTATGTCAGAATGAAGGACCAGAGAGGCAACACCTGCTCGATCAAGGACTACGACGCTTGGCTTGTGGGCTCCTTAGAAATGCGAAGCTTGAGTCATGCCAAGCAAGTGTTTAGGGACATGGTTAAGGATGGCTACCTGGCTACTAGCGGAGATGCAGAACAAGTCAGCCAAGTGTTGAAGAGACTGCACATGATATATCGACTTGGAACCAATATCGAGTCCATGACTAGTATCGCTCTTGATGCTATATCTGTGCTCCCTCGTGGTTATCACGGCCATTTGTTCGGTGACTGGCTGAAATCTACCGTTGTCAAGAACACGCCACAGGCAGCCGCTCAAATCTTGGAGATGATGCTCAAGCGAGGTTACAGACCAGAAACGTTCCACTACAACATGTTTCTCAGAGCGTTGATACGGACGAAAGAGGAGGCGAATATCCTGAAAGCGGAAAATATTGGTTGGCGCATGGTCGAAGCCGCTTGCGAAGCTGGTCGACATGACGTTACTCCAGAAACAATACCAGCCATCATCGACAAAAAAATCGCCGAGGCTCCTCCTACATCTGACGAAATGACCCAACGAGCTCCTGTTGCTGACGTAACAACGTTTGCCTTGATTATGCAACACCATGCCAACAGCCTGCAATGGGAACACGTCGATTACTTGTCCCGACAGCTCAAAGCAGCGAAAGTCAAGCCCAATGCTACCATCATGAATGTCCTTATGGATAATAAATGCCGACAAGGTGCCTACAGCGAAGCATGGAAGATCTACAAGTCTCTCACTGAGCCGCAAGAAGGAAGCAACGGCGTCTTCCCAGACGGTGCAAGCATACGTTGTCTTTGGAAAACGCTCCGATTAGCACTTGGCGACTCTACCGTTCAAAACAAGCTCGATTTGCCTAGCCCTCGTGAGCTACTAGCAGAGACGGTAAACTGGTGGACGCTCTGTCGCAGTCGCTACGACGCCGATCGTTTCCGCATGGGTCTCGCAGGCACAGACAGTGGAGCAATCACGTCGCTCATCATGCACTGCTTTAGTTACAATCGAGATCTGGCTGGCTCGTTGGTCGCTCTGCACGTCCTTCGTCATCGCTTCCACATCTTTCCCACCGACGAATCAGCGCAAATTTTGCAAAGACAGATGGCCTGGGTAGACTTGGCAGATGAGTCTGCGGCTGTGCGTGGTCAATACTTCCACAGCCGTTCCAATAAGAAAAACACTGACCGTATAGCGGCGGTCTACGACATTCTGCTGCAGCGACGATTGTCAAGAACAGGTTTGAAGGAAGGCGATTTTGAGAAATTGACGGACGAACAGATTGGGGATATGGGATTGAATTTGTTGAGCGAATTCATAAGAGTGGTGCTCAAGAGGTACCACCCACCCGAAGTGGTAGAGATGATGATTGATGTGACAAGGAGTGTAGTGGGTGTACCTGATCTGCCCACCGGGGACATGGATGCATTTGAAGTGGCTTGAATGAAGTGTAATCACAGGACTGGACGATGATTCATATGTTAAGACGATACTATAGCCATTCAATCCCCATACATGAATATCTTCATCAACAATCGATAAACAATAACGCAGCTCTTTGTGCAAACCACAGCGTTATTAATACGATCCAACTCATGCCATGTAGTACAGTGCTCGACAGAATTCTTATTTGACCGCAACGGCAACACCAAGACATGCCTCTTTGTAGACTTCGACATCATATGCCGTCCACTCTTCTAGCTGAAAGATGGACAGTCGAGGCACCGTTCCGCTCCCTGTATGCCGTTCAGGAGTCCTGACACCAATAGAGATAGTGATCTTCCTCAAACCCGGCAGTACTATGGGTAACTTAAGATTTGTGGCGTCCCGAGGCCGAAAGTCTGCTTCTCTGAACTTACCGGGCATCCAACCTTCCCTTACAGAATACGACAATTTGTATATGCATGGGAACACTAGATGTGTGATTGCATGCCGTTGAGGGAACGAGCGGTGTACAAGCCACTGGCTGACGAATGCATACTGAGAGCCGTTGATGATAAAGGTGCCAAATTTGAAGTACAGGAGCGCCATCTCGTTGTGCATCTGTTTACAGGCCTCCGTAGTCTGAAGGACGCGCTGGAGTCCTTCAAAACAATGTTTGTGGATCCTTGGACCGTCATCTGGGAATAGACTTGCATTCGAATTCAATTTCCAATCTTGGCATAGCGCGTACTCATAGATTCGATTTCGAAGTTCTCCAGGTAGACGTAGGAGTGGCGAGTTTTCTCTATTCAGTGTTGTACTGATGCGTCCGTTAATTGAGAATTTGATAGGCATTCGGTTGTCAATGCTTACATCTCTTTCGCTTCGGCTCTACATCGTGATTTCATGTGAATTTCCTTGGTCGTATCATGAAGTATTAATTTGTCTTCCTCACGAGGGCGAATTGGCAGACAAGCGACAGAAGATACCATGACGCAGACGAATAAATATTTTGTAAGTTGTGTTCTGGATAACAGATTGGAATGAGCACATGTACACTAGAGAGTTTGCATACTGATGCAAGAGACGTAAAGAGCATAAATTTGGGAGAAGCTGGAGCCTTTCAACACTCTCTCAGCTGCTGCCTAATATATTGCGCAGCTACGGACGCTTCACGTGGAGAACAGCCTTGTGGTAAACTGCGTTGGTCTGTAGCCACTGTTTGCAATCACTCAAAATTAAGAGTGGTATATCATAATCGAGTCGAGTTGGTGATTGGAGCTTGAGTTTCGACTCTCGTGGTATAAGTCGTTTTTTGTGCATTGACATGATTGGTTGTACCTGCGGGTAAGCGAAACATGGGGCTCTTCGATCGAGCATTCCGCGGCGTCGATCGATGACGCTCTAACAACCCGATGTCCACAACGCGCACCGAACGCGGTTAAAGTTGATAGTTGCTTACTCGACGATGACGCTCACTGTGGTCCCGGCGGCTGAGACGCGATCATGGAAATTCTTTGGGCGTGCTGCGTTTTCGGACCACGACCACATTCACTCCTTGTGTCAACACGATCATGTCTCCACAGGGCGAGCGCGCACCGTTGCTACAACAGCGATGGAGTGAAGAAGGCGAGCCGCGAACAGTCAGTCATCCTGCACGCGCTTTCTATCGATAGTGTTTACTAACTACTGACAGCATCTTCGCATCGAGGACCTTTCCAACGACGAAAACCCACGAACATGGGCGCGATGGCGGAAGATGGCCAACGTGGCTGTCATAGCCCTCATGTCCAGTACATACACTCGCTCGTCTATACATGCCTTTACTGACAACCATGGCAGTTCTCAGCCCCCTCGTGTCCTCCATGTTCACGCCCGGCATTGCGCAAATCGCCGATGACCTCAAGTGTAGCACGACTGCCGTTATTGGAACAACAACTGGCTTCGTAGTCATGCTCGGAATCGGCCCCTTGATCCTCGCTCCCTTGTCCGAGACGTTTGGACGTAGAAGAATCTACCTCGTGTGCTTCTCCGTGTTCGCTTTACTACAGATACCCGCTGCACTCGCGCCCAACATCGCCTTCCTCATCACAGTACGGAGCATTGCAGGTTTCTTTGGGAGCGTCGGCATAGCGAATGGCGGAGGAACCATAAGTGATATGTTCATACCAAGTGAACGAGCAGGAGTATTTGGCTGGTATCTACTAGGCCCGTTACTTGGACCTACCCTAGGACCATTGTTTGGCGGCATCATCGTACAGCGCTTGGGCTGGCGCTGGGTCTTCTGGATCATGACCATCGTGTGCTTCGTCAACACCTTGGCTGGTTACTTCTTCCTTCGAGAGACTTATGCGCCGTTAATTCTGAGTTCCAAGAAGGCCGAGTTTGAGTCTCAGAGCTCCGAGTTCGACGGCACGAAATACTCCTACGAGGGCGAAGATACACGACCGTTGAAAGAAAAGCTTACCCAAGCTCTCAAACGCCCACCCAAGATCTTCGCTCAACCTATCGTGGCCGTCATGGCTGTATATCAAGCGCTCATCTTCGGCACAACCTACAGCATCTACACAAACATGCAGCCAATTTACCAAGACGATTACGGTTTCTCCACCGAGAAGGTCGGGCTGCTATATCTAGGCCCCGGCCTTGGTTTTCTTTTCGCTGTCTGGTTTCTGGTCCCGCGAATCGATACCGTATACAAGAATCTCACAGCCAAGAATCACGAAAAGGCACGACCCGAGTTTCGCCTCCCACTCGCGAACATTGGCTCTGTTTTCATTCCCGTTTCGCTCTTTTGGTTCGCTTGGACTGTAGAGAAGCACGCGCACTGGTTCGCATCTATATCAGCAACCTTCTTCTATGGCATCGGACAGGTCATGATCCTGAATAGCACGCAAAACTACTTCATCGACAGCTTCGAGAAGTACGCGGCCAGCGCAATCGCTGCTGGTACTGTTTTCCGCAGCGTTGTCGGTGGTGTCATCCCAATCTTTGCGCCCATGCTCTTCGAGAAGCTAGGATATGGTTGGGGCATCAGCACGTTTGCGTTTGTCAGTTTGGTTCTTGCACCCGCTCCAATCTTGTTCTTTATCTTTGGCGAGAGGCTTCGGGAACGGTTCCCGGTCGATTTGTAAAGCCTTTTCGTGTGGGTATCATATTCGTGTTCGTAGTGTAACTGCTGTATCTGTTTAAATGAACTTTAATTGGTTAATTCTAAATGACCTTCCTCTTGTAGCTCTTACCTAGTTTCACGGCTCATCAGCATGTCTGCTGCCCAAGACATCTATGCCCTACCTAACGACAACAGGCAATAAAGCGAGATACGAGCATACATTAAAGCCAAGTTGATGCAAAAACTGCCCATTGGTGGTATCTGGCAGCTACAGTAACTCTGAAGCCTTGAAAGCCATTCGCTGATCAGTCTCACTTGCAGAGTGCACAGTGCCTCAGGAAACCGTGCACCATGAACATCCTCGTTTTTCAACCCAAAATTGAAGAAATATTGATTCGTCTATACAGTATGCCCCGTATTCCCACACCTCAGAGCTCACGTGGTGGGTAGTACCATGGAGGTAGCACGCTTCTTGGCAATCATCTCGCAACCGGGCTAACGTCCTACACATCTCGTGTATTTTCGACTCGGAGAGTGTATATAAGGCTCTGATAGTACAGTTCCGATGATGATCACCGTTAGTCCCAAGTGAATTGCCTGAAGTCTTCTAAGCATGCATCTTGTCCTGTTTATCACTACCTTGCTCACCGTCACGGCTACTTCTATCGCAGCCCCTACCGATAATCCCGCCGAAACCACCACCAGCATTTCCATCAAGGCTGACACTGATCTCTATTCTCAGGCTTGTCCTGGTAGGCAAATTTACCACTGGCAGGGTGGAGGTTGTGAGACCGACTGGGGGAACGATTGTTATAATCGTTGTAAGAATGTTGCCGCATCCAAACGTTGCTGCATGAGAACAGTTGGTTGGTATCAGGATGGTGGAGGATGTTTGAGTCCCTGGGAGACTTGCGAGTGCACTTGTAAACGCTAGGCAGGTATGAATCTGCCCCACCAGAACTGTGCGAAGTCATGGCTACCATGATCGGTGTTTAGGACGGCTTGCTGACTCTTCAATTGTAGTACAGCTATATCGTGGTTCGTGCGCTGCCATAAGATTTCTACGGTGCTTGCATATTGGTTGGCTGTGTTGTGTGGCAGATGGTGGATGAGTTACTCAAGTTCTCGCTTGAGTTGGCTATTCAGGGCAAAGGAGGTTTAGATCTCGGTGATGACCATCGCGTTCTGGTTTCAAACAAGGGTTATTAGATCAATGATCATATAGACTGGTTTACAGCACAAACATGTCTGTCCATTACATATCACCTTTATAAGTGACTCGTGTAGGCGCGATCTCTTTTCTCAACCGAGACACAAAATCGTCTAGAGCATCCGCAGTTTCCTTGTCAGTACCTAGACTTTCACCATGGCCCGAAGTCCACCAGATGCCAACATTTACTTTTGCTGGCAGCCACTTCGCTTCTTGCAAAGCCATCATAATATGAGACTCGTAGTCCCTCTGATATGCTTGGGCAATGCGCTCCTCCCTACCCATACTGTGCGCCTGTGCACGGCGATGTCTATCCGCAAATCGCAGACGGTTACCACGACGGCCCAGGACCTCCGCAGTATCAAGTCCCAGATCAAGCTCTTCCAGGGCAGAGAAGTGTTCTAAGAGACGGAGGGAACGCTGCATGTCGTCAAGGAGCTGCAGAGACCTCGCTTGTGAGCTGGCGAAAAGTGCCACCATATTCGCTGGATGCAAAAGTACGCGCTCAATGCTGAAGTAGGGTAAAGTGATTCGTTTGACAAGCTTCCTGTTCTTGAGTCCAATTTTTCGGAAGAATTCCCGTATAACAAAGCGTATGGATTCTGAATCGTTGTGAAGAAAGAAGTTGAAGCGACCAAAGCAGTATGTGAGAACTTCGGCGTGAAAGGTACGGCTGACAAACACCAAACCTCGGATGTTTTTGAGGCCCCGTAACTTATAACCGCCACTGTGTTGCTGTTGGACAGTCATCTTAATGATTTGGCTTCGGAAGTCCTGCACTAGAACACAATGATATATCTGCTGGCGAATTTCGAGCGGTAGTCTGAGAAAGCCAGGGGCGGTAGTGGTGACGTTCGCCATCGTTGGTGACGTTCTGGATGTTCGAACGTCTGAATCAAGCATGAATAGTCGTTCGTGTCTGGAAATAGTTTCGAGAGGGATCTGCTTAAAGAATCGATTGGGATAACAAGAGTCCGATGTGGTAGTATAGGAAGTTTCATCTCAGGCTGCGGAAAGGGTCCGAGGTTAGCGCTGCGCGGCGTAGTCATCCCGCAAAGAGCCCACCACCTCTTCTGCACTATGTTATCACTCCAATCTCCCTCTGGTGGTACCTACATCCTCAGTATCGCTAGAGGGGCTTGTAGGGATTCGCACCGCCTGTTTCGCGGTTCACTGTATCAAAGAGAAAAAATAAACATCCCTCATAAGAGGATTACTTCTTCTTGCTCTAGAAGAGTATATTAAGAGCTGTGTAGACATAGATAGAAAACCTAAAAGACTTACATTATATGCTAATAAGAGATCTTACAAAGATCAATAACATTAAGCTGTAAGGTAGAGCTTGTTATTCCTGTATCTGTCTGGATTTTTTCTTGTACGAGGTAGTTTCTCAGCCCGCAACATCCATGCTACATCGAAATTGCGTTCCACCGAAGGAAGATTACATGCTTCCACAGACCCACAACATGCCATGGTATGACGGCTCAACATACTGAGCACACGCCAAAGCTTGTTTCAATATGGTATTGCTATTTGTTGTAAGTAGATTAAACACTAAAAACTACCTCCAAGCCACCTTCGCTATCGACTTGCAGTAAACATAGTATGGACAGAACCAAGAGGGATGCAAGACATAATCGCGTAACGTAGCCTATACATCATTGACAAAAGAGCTACGAACTACATCAATGACACTCTACAAAGAGATGTCAATGGACAGAGAGAGACCTGAGGAAGCGTCGATGATAGCATCAACGCAGCCGAAGTTTTGCTCAACGTCAAGGTTGCCAGGCTCCTTCCAGCCGTCGTTCTGGTAAGAGAACAGGCAAGCCTCGGATCCGACCTTCTCCATGATCTTCTTCATAGCAGTCTTCTGCTGCTCAACACCAGCGACAGCCTTTCCGTTAGACTGACCAGCGCTGGGCCAGCCGATCTCGGTGATGTACTTGCCCTTGGAAGCAGCCTCGGGGCAAACCTTGGCAGCCTGCTCGAGTTGTTGGGCAGCGAAGTCACCGGCCTCCTCAGCGGAGACGGACTGGGTGAAGTAGGGGTGGACCTGGACAGTGAAGACATCGATGTGGTCGCAGAGAGCAGCACCGTGCTCCTCCCAGGAGCCAACAGTCTCAGTGGTAGTGACAGCAACGCCCTCGTAGCCGGAGCTGACGAGTTGCTCACGGACGTAGTCGATGTAAGAACCAAGCTCGTTAACGTCGCAGTTACCGTTGAAGACACATTCGTTTCCGACAATGACCATGGCGACGGAGTCCTTGGGGGCGTTGTCGGTGATGTCCTTGAGCTGGTCGTTGGCGTAGCTGGAGAAAGGACCCCTGCCGCCCTTGCCACCGGCCTCAAGGAAGATACCGTAGATGACCTTCAATCCGTACTTCTGGCACTCAGGAACAACGTGCTCGAAGACACCGCAGTCAGTGCTGTAGGAGCGGATAGTGGTAAATCCGAGCTCAGAGATCTTCTTGATGTCGGTGGCGATCTCATCGGCGGTCTTGCAGTCACCAGAGTTAGCGTAAGGGGTGTATGTAATGGCCCACTTGTCGCCGTTGGTCTTGATGTGGTCACCCTGGTTGTAGCTGCCAGTGGGCTTGGGCTTCTCTACCTCCTTGGTGGAGCTAGGGGTTGGCTTGGGCTTCTCGGCGGAAGAGGCAGGTGCAGAGGGAGTGTAGGCAGGCTTGGAAGCCTCGGGAACCTCCGGAACGGCAGGCTTGGAGGATTCAGGAACCGAAGGGTAAGCGGGCTTAGACTCCTGGGGGACGGAAGGGTAAGCAGGCTTGGACTCCTGGGGAACGGAGGGGTATGCGGGCTGAGTAACCTCAGGTACGGTAGGGTAAGCAGGCTTGGACTCCTCCGGGACGGGCGCTGGGCCAGTGGGCTTGCCCTCCTCCTCAGTGCAGGTGGTGGACTCTGGGACAGCAGGCTTAGATGCCTCTGGGACCTCGGGAACGGCAGGCTTGGACACCTCGGGAACAGAGGGCTTGGATGCCTCAGGAGTACCGGCAGGGTAGGTTGGCTTGGGAGCCTCCATGGAAGAAGTCTTTCCCTCCTCCTCAGTGCAGGTGGTGGACGACTCTGGGACAGCGGGAACCGCTGGCTTGGTGGACTCGGGCACCGCGGGGTAGCCAGGTGCAGAAGACATTGGCACCTCGGGGTACGCGGGCATGGAGGACTCGGGCACAGCTGGGTAAGCGGGCTTGGAGGACTCAGGGACCGCAGGGTAGGCGGGCATGGAAGTTCCAGGGACTACGGGAGCAGGGCTGGAAGGCTTGGGGGCCTCTCCGGTCGAAGCCGGGACGTTAGGAGTAGGAACGACGATTGAAGTCTTTCCCTCCTCAGTGCACGACGTCTCTGGGACAGTAGGTGGGACAGCCATGGTGCTGTTGGGAGCCATGGAGGGCACTGAGTCCTGTTAGTGAATGTACTCAACGGACCACGGCTTCTCTTCGTTCACTGCTTCTTTCCAATGTTGGGTATCACATACTTGCGGTCACAGTGACGGTGTGGGTGATGATCTCGCAAGACTCCTCGGCGGCGTATCCACCATGGCGGCGCATGTGGAATCCAGTGTGAGCCTTGTGCTGCGCGGCCACAACTGACCCAACAAGGGCAGCTGCAACGAAAGAGTAACGCATCTTGAACTTGTTTACGTGGTATAGGGGTGTCTAGGGGTAGTAGGGTCGTCTGCTGAACGAGTGAAGCAGGTAATATTAAGTAAATAGATAATGAGTGACGGGGCACAAAGGCCGAAGGTTCTTGTCAACGAGGCTGGTGATGCGTAACTTGAAAGCCTTGCGTAAAGAGAAAAAGGAAGAAATCTTGGGGAACACAGCGGTTTTCATGCATGTGCCGTGGCCTGTGAGCAGCAGTTAGTGGAGAACTGCCTCCAAGGCGTTAGGTTAGGGGTCCTGGAAATTGCCCTGATCATTGTTGTACAAGAACGGCATGGACGCCATCCTACGGCTCTATTGAGATCGTGATGTGCTCCGAGCGGAAATGAGTCTGGGGTATAATTGTCGTGTTAGGTCGAAGGTGGGTCTAGTCTAAAGTCAGATGAGGTTAGTCGTCTCTTCACCCTGAACTGCCGTCCCGAGCAAACGAGTGCGTCACAGCAACAAACACCACGCCAATTCCTCGCATCAGCAGTGCCGTGAGGCGTGTGAACTTTATCGCAGCAATGCCACTTGCTGTGCGTTTCTTAGCTGCCATGTGCTCGACCTCACTTCCGGTAAGGCGCACCTCGTGTCGCTAATTGCGGTCCACCGATGCTCCCATCTTCATCAAAACCACGGCAACGCGCATATCAGCAATCACAAGCAGCAATCGCGAACGGCTAATCTTTGTGCAGCTCACAGCGGAGCCATGGCCGCAGCGTGCGCCACCATGCAGGTACAGAACGACTTGTGCAGGGTTATACCTGCGGGACGTTCTTTAATTGGCCGAAAGACCCGTCGAAGAGTTGGGGTGGGCGCTGGATGTTGGTGTGTGCCCCTTTCCTGTCACGATTCAAGGGAACGGCCGGCGCGTTAAAAACGCTTCCACCGCTATTGATGGACATCACTAAACTCTCCGCTCGACGATGCCGGACCATCGGAAGACAAGTATCCGCAAGCTGCTAAACTTAGGTGTAAGGAATTCGGTGATTTTGTACGCATCAATACGATGAGTATCTCAACTTTGCGTGCGATGTTCCGACGCAATTACGGTAGCGCGTATTTCGTTGTCGATTACCGCTACCAAGCGCTGCTGAGAACCTTGGATGTCTGGTCAGCATTGGCGACACAGATGGTTGCCGAAGGAGCGAACAGCAAGTCAGGCGACCACTTTGTACCCGCGCTGATTGAGCACATTTGACGCCTAGCATGAAGGAAGGGCTCGCCTATCAGCGATTGACGAAGCTAGCATGCGTAGCAACCAACACGTTGTATCTCTCGCATCTTGGGCTCAGTTTTCCCCTCTCCTGAAAGCTACATCGAAAGCTGAGATGTCTACAGATACATCCATGCCTTTGAAGTCCACAACCAGGGGTCTCTAGTGAATGTGCATTGTTATGCTATGAATTGCAAAGAAGGTATTGCAGCCCTAGTTCCAACGATCATCTCTCCTCTTTCGTCTTGGACCACTTCTACACCGCCTACCATCTTTACCGGCTATTATCCTGTTGTTGCCCGTAGTAGTGCGCCTTCATCATATCCGCAAAATGCTGACTTCCGTATTCACTGAAGTGTCCTTCCTTTCCTTTAGCTGTCTTGATTGCCGCCTTCGTCGAGCGTGGGAACATCTCTTCCTCATAGTCCTTCAAACCGTCATCAAGACTCTTCTCCCTACGGCATACTTTGGCAATCTCTTGAGCCAGAACCTGCGCATCCTTCATACCCACATTGACTCCTTCGCCGGCAAATGGTGTAAACACATGCGCAGCGTCCCCGATGAGGGTGACGCCTGAGCGAGGAGACCATCGGAAACCGACAGGTAGTTCGTACAAAGCACGAGCGACTGGGCTTTCTGTAGAGGAAAAGATGACCCGCTTGAGGTCATCGTGTATGTGGGAGAAGTAGCGGTCAACGTACGTCTTGAGTGCTCTCTCCCGGTCATTCCAGTCGATGCCGCAGGTTTCCAGGAAGTCCTCTGGCACACGCAACGAGGCGTAGGTCCGTAAGCTACCGTCGCCCTGCCGTTGAGACTGCACCGCGCAGTCCTTACCAAAAGCCATCATCGACCCTTCTCCCGCATATTTTAGTAGCCAGGGATTGGCCTTGACGTCGTTGCACGTTAATGCCACAGACGATATGCCCGAATAGTCCGGCATCTTATCAGTGAGAAGCTTCCGTACCTTGGACCACGCACCGTCTCCTCCAACCACAAGATCGAACCCAAGCTCTTTCGTACCATCTGCGAAATGCAAATCGTACTTCCCTTCTCCTTCAGCAGACGGCACAGCCTCTTTTAGCTTCCTTCCAAACTTCACAGACCCCTCCTTTAGATTCCCAAACATCAACGTCGCCAATGCCATTCGATCAATCTCAGGTCTTCCGTCAAACTTTTCCTCCTCCTTGACGTCCTGCTTGTCATCTCCATTCTCATCCCAGAGCACCTCTCCGTTCAAAGTCACAATCTTCATCACGTCACATTCTGGACGCGCATGTTTAACAAATTGCTCCCATAGCCCTGCTTCTTTGATGGCGAATTGGCCGGACTCGGGGTGGAGGTCTAGCGAGCCGCCTTGTGTGCGGAGTTCAGGCGAGGATTCGAAGATGCTGAAGGGGATGAGGTGCTTTTGGAGGATGTTGGCGAGGGTTAGAGAGGCAGGACCAGCACCCACAATGCCGATTTTGAGTTGGTCAGGTATGGCGGCTGACGGCATGGGTGCTTAGGGGCTATGAAAGTCTCTGGATAGTATTTCGATGATTTTGAGCTGATGCGCGCCGTTTTCCGGGTAGAAGCTGTCGTCTAGCGAGGCAGGCAATAATTGCAGGCCCAGGGAAGGTGTATCGGGGTGACTTGGTGATTCAAGATCTGATATGTTCAATATAATGACTTCAAGTCTTGTAATAAGTACTTCTGCTCATACTTTGCTGCCTAGGCCAGTATCACGTTGTCCAGATGCCTACTCAGTCTCGGGCCCTTCTACGGCGCGACAAATCTGACATCTCGGGCCCGACACCACAGGAAAAGACCGAAATACCCGTAAGGGATGCGTCGAAAGCCACACGCCAGAGATAGGGCTTCACAACACGGATGCATGTTTTTCGAATTTGCACACGCTGTGCAACATCGGATAGGCTAGCGTTCTGCACCACCGGCGCGAGGGTCGGCCGAGATCAACGTGGTTCGACCCTCGTATACTCGTTCGCGCAAATCCTAGTGGTTTATGGTAGCACACCTTATTTGCATTAAGCTTCAAGCCAAGAGACGTTGAGTGAATGATACGATCGGCGCAACAAGCCGTCACACTGTATACCATCAGGCATCAAAATCATGCTGTCTTTGTTTTTTTCCACCCAAACGAGTTTCAAAGGCTTTTCGTCTCACCACTGACATGATCGTATTCCTTTTTTTGATCGATTACCACAACTCCGGAAAGTACTTGCATCAGTTCCACGATGAGTCGAGGCGACAACGCTGTCATGTATCACACAGAGGTAGACGGTGCGCAGAGCTAAGTTTTGGACATGTAGAAATCGCCCAGCCCATACTGGGTACACGTGACATGTGCCGTGTGTTACGTCGTGTTATTGGAACGTGCTGTTGGGACCACAATTTTTGACACCCAACGTGCGATAAGACCCTGGCAGCTTGCGAATCCAGAACCCGGCACGTCATCGCAATGCGATGATCATCCCAAACCCAGCCCTCCTCCGCCTTTACCAAAACCGGGTCTCCTGTTAGCCAGGGCAATGTTATGGACCGTGTTTCCAACCCTTACTTTGACGGCATCAAAAGCAGCTTCTGGCGCCTGGATGAATTTACTGGTGTCGATATTCTGAACCAGAGTCGTCCACTCGGTATCGGGCTCAGCCAAGTTCCAAGCTATGCTGACGTGGAAATATTGCGAATAATCATGGCTGTGAGGCTCATTCTTGTCGACCTCGTTCTTGTCGACCTTCCTCCGCTTCGGACCGTCGTTAGAGTCGTGGCTTTCCATCGGACCGTCTCCCACTCCGCCTGTATACAGACCTGGATGGCCACTATACTGGGTCGCGTCGTTACATGCCTGCAGTAGGCGGTTAAGTTCATTCAGTTTCGACTGCTTGATGCCAAGGACCAGAAACCATCGATTGCGCTCAAAATTGGGTACCCACTTCAAACTCTGAAACTCAAAGTTGAAAGCCCGCACAGCGCATCGCCGCACAGCAACGCTCATTGTTTTGAGAAATGGTTCCCTGTCATCAGTGTTGATCTGCAGGGTTCGCGACAAGGACACATGAAGAGGTAGCGATGCACCCAACTCTGACTGAAGAGACGGTATGATCTCTGGTACGGGCAGCTTCTTTGTTCGCTTTGCATTCTGGAGAGCAATCGATTCTCTCACATGCTGTAGCAGGCTGTGAAGAGCATCGGATTCAGGCTGTGTAGGTATCCCTCGAACGCGTTAGTCTATATTATCCACGTTGATGGTGAATTGGTCCGGGTATCCTTACACTCTAAGTAAACATGACTAGGCCATTTGCCCTCGACATGAGGTACAGCCCGCTTGCGTCCGCCGTGTAGGCTTGGGTTGTCGCTAGTGCTGACACGCGCATTTGTCGCGTAAAGGTCGTGAAAGGCTGACGGAAGGGGTGGCAGAGCGTTGCTGGACTCGCTGTGCTTGCGCTTCGACGTAGATTTGGCGGCAGCTTGTGCCGCCTGGGCGTCTACATCAAGGCTCTTATCATCATCATCCGAGGCGGAATCTGGATAATCCACCAGGGACATGGTGGGCTGGATCGCGTTGGTGAGGGATCATCGCAGCTGTCGTCACTCGTGGAGAGCACCAAGCGGCCGCCCCACTCCCAGCCTAGCGCATCCGCATGACGTATGGCTGCGATTGGGCCGCTCTTTTCAACAAGAGCGGACAAGAAGAAATCTGACGCAGGGCCGCGACTGCGAACCGATGACATGTACGCGTCCACGGTACCTGCCAAGTCAGGCCTTTATGTAGTTCGCTCTCCCTCCCGTCACCTGTTCACTCTTCGTATCCATCTATAGCACCTGACACTTGTCTGACCATCAAACTTCCACTGTGCAATCACTCCAACTTTCATACAGTCTCGCATTGCCAAAACATTAACAACAGAACCTAAGCATCATGGAGGCGGTAAGTTCGTCTTTCACTTATCCGGTTGCATGGCGATCCATATACTGTGCCTCGCACATGCGCCGGCACGCCTCACCCAACCCGTCTGACTTCAGTTCGGCGCAACCATCCGTTCCTGAATCCAAAAGCTGACCTGACAGGCCAAACATGCGCTGATCGATCCTTTGATCGAACCAGACCCAAGCGACGAGACTGGATTGAACAGCCACTTCCGTTCGACATTTGCGCCTGCAGCGCCCATCACACCACCCGGATCCGCTGGAGAATCCAAGGGCCACCCATCCGTTAGTGTTCAAAACACCGGCAGTTCAGTTGAGACCAATCCTTTCCGCCGCCATTCCAGGGCCTCGTCCGAGTCAAAGGGTGCTTCGGCATCAGTGTCGCAGGTTGGGCAGAGTACACCACAGAGTAGGAGGTATGACTACCCATCCCCTCCCAACTCTGCCAGCCCTAGACGCGCCCATTTCTCTGAGAACCACCGCGCGGAAATTTTTGGACCCATGAATGAACGCCGACCCCGACGATCCAGCGACCATGCGCCATCCGCCATGCAAAAGAGCCTACCTACTCGCGCCCGTGCAGGTTCATTGAAAGAGCGTTATCCTGGAGACAAGTCACACAGGCCACTTGACCAACTGCGTCATGATGAGAAAGTTGCTCACCGTGCTCCTCACCTTAGGAAAAAGAACTTTCAAGGCGCCGACGTCATCGATCGTCTTGACAAAGCAAGCTTTGGTCGGTACCACCATGAGGGCCCCTACGATGCCGCCAGTATCGCTCGGAACAGGGATACCAAGTACAGCCCTCTCGCGGCGGTTAAGAACTCGAACGAGGAGGCCCTGAGGGCTACCCCACGAGAGAACATTATCGATTCTGTACAAAGGCATCGTCCTCTTGAGGGTGTTGCTATAGTACCACCTGGCATGGCTGATCGTTTCGGAAGGGTTCTCGATTATGAAGAGGGAGCCGACCTGCAGCGAGAGCCTGGAGGTGACTACCGTCGTTGGCCTGGTGTCGTACGTACTCTTACTGGTTTTCTTTGCCCAAAGCCTTGCTAACAAAAGATAGGAATACCACCCAGACGATCTCAAAGGCAAAGGCGAGCCTTCTTTCACCATCGAAAAGGCCCTGAAGGACCACAAGCGTCTCGGCGACACTGGTACTGAGATGACCTCCCGTAGCCATCGCACACGTAGCGTGGGTCATGCCGAAGCACCCGGTATCGTCCCATCCGTCGCTACCGATCCGGAAGCATCCGGCGTCGGCCGCAGCAACACTACTGGCAGGAGTGTTGGTGGCGCAATCAGGAAGCGCATTGGCAGCATTCGTCGTCGCAAGCAAGAGGTTGAGGTCTAGGGGATCCCCCTCTTTCCCCGTTCGAAGCGATGCTCCGATGTTCCACACGCACACGCAACGGCATGATACCCCATCCCGTTTGAGTAATTCTCCAAAATTGTACAAATACGCATCGCAACCTGAGGCGTGTTGAGCGTCTCTGTTTTCCTTTTGTTCCTAGGTTCAGATTAGCGCACATCTGACTCACGTCAGTGGTATATTTTATTTTGCGCAGCATATGGACTCGATTGTATAGTCGGAGTCGTGTACGATAATACGAGTAGTGGCTAGCATATTACGAATAATGATACTTACCCCTGAACGACCGTGGACCAATCTCTTGATTTGAATTTCCTTTGAAGTCGGTAAGTTGTTTTGAATGTATGGATATTGTACTTAATGATTCTCTCCTATCCTCGACCTGCGCGGACAATGAGTGATATCCAAATGCCCAACCACATACCCAATCAAAATGCCTACGCTAAAGACATTTCTCCCCAAACCTAGCGAACGTCCCACAAAACGCCATTGAAGTCCGATAACAACCAAACTCCACAATGCGCGCTGGAATATGCAACAAAGCGCAATGGAAAAGCGAACGAGTCAAGCAAAGACAGCCCCCAATACAACAAAGTGTACGAACCTATACGCCACAACATGCCCGCATCACTGGTGAAGGAAAGAAGCCTCCATTCCATCACATAAAACTCATCTTGACTTCCTTCTCTTGCCCAAAATCATCGTCAAACTCATCAGCCCAAGCATTATGACCTAGATCTCCTGACGCACCACCCGCGTTACCCGCGTAAGATTCAGTTTTAGCAGAGCGCAAAGGCGGGCGTTCAGCAGGCGTAGGATCATCCCAAGAAGGCTGAGCATCTGGGTTCCAAGGAGCGCCAGACGACCCGTTTTTACTGGGCGTTGCGGAGTCCCAAGGCGAAGAGGTACCGGAGCGACTCGGATGAGCAGGTAGAGGTGATAGGGGTAACGGGGATTTATTATTGGGGGTCGAGGCGGACGCTGGTGGATCGCGGAAAGAAGTGTCGAATGTCATTTCCATCTGACCCGCGCCGGGATCGTCGAACTCGTCGTATTCTTCGTATCGGCCGTTTGAAGAAGATGTCGTCTTTTTGGGATCTGTGGCTGAAACGCCTAGACTGTCGTTGTAACTCTTCGTTTCCCTAAGCGTAGAGTATGGACTTGTTGTCTGCGATGGCGAAACGGTTGCGATGTCGATCTTCATGGGCGGGAGTGTACTCTTGATTTCCTTGATCTCAAACTCGGCTTCGGCGTTATATTCTTTACTTTCTGCGGCCAGAGTTGCTACCTCCTTTCTTATGGCATCGATGTCGAACATGACCTGATTTTCTGCAAGTTTCGCCGGGTCTTGATCTTGGTCTAGTTTCCGATGGCCTGGTGGAACGGCATTTGAATTTTCATCATAGACTTCCCAGTCCTTCTTGTCCTTCTTCTTCTTCGACCACCAGCTCAGTTTACTACCTCTCTTCTCCTTCTCTTGCGCCTTCTTTTCCAGTTCTCTTCGCGCTTCTTCGATTTCGTTGATAAGTTCGCGCTGCCGCACTTCGTGATTCTCAGGATCTGGGTCTTCGATTTCGGCGAACTCATCGGACTCAACTAGCCACCCGACTTCGCGGAGTAACTTGGGCATGGCAGCACGGTAGGCCATGTGGCCAGGGACCAATTCGGTAACGTTGACGTTTTCAATGGTTGGTATCTGAACGGGCGCAAGACCAGCTACGCGCATTACTCCGCCACTGGTTGCGCGGAAAAGGTAGCCTATGCAGAATATTAGTAGTAGAAAGTGGTAGCAGTGTACATGACATACCCAAGATCCAGTCGTTGGTGGCATACCCATTGACAAACCTTCCAGGTACAACAGATCTTGCCCTAACGTACTCATCATGCTTGGCTACGGCTGGTGTACCAAACATGTAGACGTTCTGTACAATTCCGAATGCTCCTCGGTTCGCGAGTTCCTTTAGACATGAGAAAATGACTCTCGATCCCAGCGAGAAACCGACGAGAGTGACAGGTCTTGTGCCTAGATTGCGATCGATGAGGGAATCTGCAAGAATCAATCCAGCCATATCTGCTCTGGCCTGCGAAACGATCCACGGATTATCGATCAGATAAGAGAGTTTAGTCAAAGCCAGGGGGAGTGTCATGGCGGCCATGAGGGCAGTGAGGATGGTACTTCCTAGCACTTGTTGGAGACCTTGTGTGAGAGCCTAGCATGGTCAATGAATACCTTCTGAATTGCATGTATAAACTCACTTCGGTGGCAAGAATGTTGATTGTGTCACCCATGCTCCTGAGCATCTCTGGCTCCCACAGCACGGAATATATGTCTCCCATGATGGGGTCCACAGTACTGTACGGTAAGCGGACGTCATCCACCTTGCCGTTCATCCAGCCCGCCAACGTAATGATGAGATGAGTCCTCTTGTTGTTGTGAAGCGGTCGATACTCGAATGTCTTGACAGCACCTGTTCGTCTGTTCATGGCGCGCACACCAACAGTACTGCCTGTAACTACACCAGTAGATGTAATGATAGCGGCACCTCCGGCACCTGCCAGAAAACTACTCGTGCCTGCTACTCCGATAGTCGTGAAACCCGCAGCGAGACCAGCACCAATGACCGGAGCCAACAGGCCGGCGGATAAACCGATGACGAGCCCACCACCAACAGTCGCAAGACCCATGAATGCCAATCGCTTATTGCGCGCCCGCTTAGCTCGGTTGACCATGTGCTCATCTTCATTCCAGTTCTCCTTATCTGCTTGTTCTTGCATCTCCAAAGCATCTGTAACACGCTTCTCGAAGCGGCAGCTTTCCAGCCAGTCTACACTGAGATACTTTCCGACCTGCTCAAACAACTCTCTTGAACGTGAGTCGTAAACAGAGTCAGCGATGAGCACCAAAAACAGGTCGCACAAGACGGTCCATCGCAGATCAATGTCTAGATTTTTGCTGGTCGGGAGTTGGGATGGTGATCTAACTTCTGGATAATCAAAATCGTCATCTTGATGTTCTTGATATGGCGGCGGGGGTGGTGTTTGTAGGTCGTCTTGCGAATCCGTTGCCGATGCTCTCTTCGATTGTAGCTCCTTTACGGGCGATTCAGGGCGCGGCGATGATACAGACGGTCTGGCAGAGTCAGATTCATTTACCGTCTCTGCGTCCTCCGCTGCCGGGTTCTTCACTCGAGCATTCTGCATCAATGCTGGCGTAAGATCTGCTGGAACAACGCCATGTTCAGACAACTGCTCGATCATGATTTGCTCAGAAGCATTGATATCCATGTGGCCATAGATTTTGACCATGATCTTCTGTGCCCACATTTTTGTTGTGCCTGACTGTAGCTCAAGCAGCTTTTTCATTTTCTTGTTATTTGTCTGGAAATTTGAAAACTTGCGTTCCATTTCCACCATGGCCAAGCGTACCAGTCCAACATATGCGACACGCTGTCCTTCAGTAAGGAGGTTCTTTGTCGCCTGCATTTGCGAGAGCGGATCCCGACCCTCCTCATCCTCATCAGCTAGTGCGGTACTTCTCTCCTTGAACAGATAGGCGGTGTTGTCGTCCATGCTCGTCTGCGAGTCGGCATCGTCGTCCATGATTACTCTGGTGTATCCTTTGGCAGCACCTCCGACGTTGCCATAGCCGTGCATGTCTTCCAGTTCTTCCGTGTTTTCCCTCGCAATGAGCCTGTTGTCGTCGTCGTACATGTCGTATCGCGCGTATGCCGGCATCGTCTGCCATTCACCGTCGTCCTCTTCTTCCTTCTCGTCCTTGACTTCCCTCTGCGATTGTATGACTGCATGCTGATGTGAATACTCGGATATAGTCGGGACGCTCGCGACGCTTGTTTGGAGGCGGTGTGAAGGTGCTGTATTCGTGCTTGTGGGTGTTTCGGTGGCTTCGGAAGGCTTTGTAGTCTCTGGTGTATCTTGCTTCGTCTCTACTGGCTTGTCCTCGGGTAGGTTTGGGTCGGCTTTCTCCACGGGCTCCTTTACCTGCCCATTGACATGTGGCAGCGCATCGCTTTCCGTTTCAGCGCCCTCAGGAACGGTCTCTGGAAGCTTTGTTTGTGTATCGTCCGCCTTGACCTGTTCCTTTTCCTGGTCCGCAATCGCGACCTTGTCCGGGCTCGGGGGCGTGGAAGCTACGGCATCCTCAAACTGCTCCCCCTCGGAATCCGAACTGTCTTGGACGGGCGTACGCGGCCTCCGCTTCCTGATGGGCAAGCCAAAATCATCGTATTCAATCGCTTCATTATGTTCCTTCTTCACCTCCGCGGTCTCGGCATTATTTCCCTCATTCTTGGGGGCCTCGGCGGGGTTCTCGCTCATACTGGTGGGGACTACCGTGAGAAACGCATGGAGAGACAGGTTCGCAGTCGTATCAAGAGGAAAGCGCGCAGGGAGCCGCCGTAGGAAAGAATTCAACTATGTGTCCGAGAATATACAAGCAGGCGTGCAATGCCCAGAGGCGGATTTACTAAAGCGGAGAGCAACGGTACAAGCCGCAGATGTCGGATACCACGGTAGCGTGGCACGCGTGGCTGGTGCGCTAGATTCCGCCCTTGGCTCGAACTTTTGGCCGCATCCAACTTTTTTCCCCGCGAACAATCAACTGCTCCAACACACAAAGTCGCAATGAAGTTAAAGCGCGCCAAGGTAACCAACTTCAGTCTGTCACAGCCACCTGAACAATTTACTCATCTTAAGATAGGCGTACAAGAAGCAGCTCCATCAATACGAACTCAACTTCGGCTTCCGCGAACCCTATCAAGTCCTGCTTGATTCACAGATCCTCGAAGATGCCTACTCGTGCAAAATTGACCTGCTCGCGCGACTGCAAAAGCTGCTTGGCGCGCAGGTAAAGCCCATGATCACGACTTGCGACATGCGACACCTCTACAACGCAGAACCGAAGAACGAGACCCTCATATTACAAGCCAAAGAGTACGAGCGCCGGCGGTGCAACCACCAAGACTTGGAGAAGCCGCTGAGCACACTGGAATGTCTGAGCTCTGTAGTGGACCCCAAGGACAATGCGACCAACAAGCATCGATATGTGGTTGCGGCCAACGACCCGGACACGCGCGCAAAAATGCGACAAATCGCCGGCGTGCCAATCATATACCTGTCCAAGTCTATAGTTCTCATGGAGTCTATGGCTGAGGCGACGGAGCAACATCGCGAGCGAGAGGAAAAGTCAAAGTTCAAACTGGGGCTCAAAGGCCAGCGGAAGCCAGACGAGGCGCCCAAGAGGAAGAGAGAAGACGAGGGACAAGCTGGACAAGGCGATCAATCTATTGAAGATCAGGCTACTGGAGACGCGAGGCCCAAGGCGAAGAAGCGCAAGGGGCCCAAGGGACCTAATCCGCTGAGTGTCAAGAAGCCGAAGAAGGAGAAGACGGCCCAGCCAAGTGCTGCCAAGAAGACGCGACCATCCACATCAGAGACCGACGGTGACAAGAAGAGAGGCGAACGTGAAGAATCTGCGCCTCGCAAGAGGAGAAGGAAGCACAAGTCCAAGGCTGACGGAGGCGGGGATGCGCCGGATGGAGGAGAGCCTTCAGAGCCAACTTCGCCATGATAGCTAGCAAAAGGCTTAGGTTGAGGTCTGGATCAAAATGCGATACCCGAACCACTGGACACCGTCAGACCAGATCTGAAAGCAAAAGTTGAGAGGGCGCAACCTACCCCAGTTGTATGCCATTTATATTACAAGATAATTAGGGTGCGCGCGGTGAGGAAGAACATGTGCCTAGGGAGCTTATACTCTTTTGCCCTGTGCAAGGAGATCAGAGACTTTGGGCGGAAGGATAAGCGCACTGCGGTCATTGCGCTTCACAAACTCGACCACGACTTCAGCCGTCTTTTCAGGGAGGTCTTCGTGGAGGAAATGACCAGCGGCGGGAAAAACTTGGAGTTGGAATTTGCCTGCATTATATTAGATACCACACACAAAAGCAACAAGTCCGTAGAACATACCCTGCATCTGTCCAATCATCAGTTCCTTGTCCAACCTGTCGGTTCCAGCGAGCAGCAAAAGCTTGGCTCCTTTTCCACTGAGGAACTTGCTGCTCATGCCAGTGAACCAATTCTCCCAGTATGGTTCTGTGCTCGCAAGCTCTGTCCGCCAAGCCCAGCGCCCATCTGAGTTTTGTAACAGCAGGCTCGGTACGCTTGCTCTTGCCGACTGTGGGTTGCGGATCGTCCGTGATCGTATATGCCACTCGATAGCAGCAGGAAGCGAAGGAAACGACTTGGGCCTGCTCGCAAGGTACGTGTGCATGTGTCCCAGCGTTTCCATGGCTGATCCTTCGACGACATCAAGCACTCCAAAGCCTAGTAACTTACTTCCCAGTAGGCCCTTGTTCGCGGCATCAGTAACAACAGCACCGCCCAGACTGTGCCCTATCAGGACGACCTGAGGGAGTTCTTTCCAGCTCATCTTGCTCTGGGTGAGCGACAGCATGTCCACTAGGTCTTCACTAAGCTGCCCAATGCTGAGGTCGTTGTCCACCTCCCCACTAGCGTTCCATACTACACTTCCGTGGTCGCGTGCTTCGACAGCCAGTATCCCGATTTCTGGCATAGCCCTGCGAATCTCCTTGGCCGCCAGCGCAAAGGTCATTGCCGAGCTTCCTGCGCCATGATGGAGTACTACCAAGGGTGCTTTGGCTGTCGCTGGTGGTGTGAGGTAGACATGAAACTTGGCATGTCCTGACCCATCCCTGTCCTGTTCAAGATAGAACTCTTGGGCATAGTAGTCGGACCAATGTATTGCGGGGGCGGGCCTTAGTGTATTTGACGGTCTGACAGTACCGGTGCTAGACATTGACGATGCCGAGGACGAGTCATCTTCGTACTCGGGAGGCTCCTCCTGCAAGGGCTCTGGCGGTGGCAGGGAAGAAAGTTTGGTCTTCGCGAACTCTCTAGCCAAGCTGGACATGGTGTGTGGCTTGGACGAGGCTGTTTGTGTCGGAAATCAGGGTTTGGTGAAGCGTGGAGATCCGCACATCGGTGATTGGACAGCTAGCGTGTCTTCAGCTTTCCAATATGTCGTGGCCTGGAGGCGTGAGGGGATTTGACACGGGTGGGGTTCTATCTGGTAGATGGCAGGGATCAACGCCAAATGTCCTAACACGCAGCCGTTCGAAGGAAGAATCGATGCATCGCGGACCCCGTTTCGCAATCCAATGACGCAGCGGCGTCTAGATGACAGTGAGATACGGCGCAAGGCTGGGCGTACCGTCGAGCTGGTTGGCGAATTCACGGATCGCTTGGAGGTTTCCGCGGGACGATCTAGGCTTTTGATGTGCCGCTAGTCGCGAACCCGGATGGATGTGATAATGACGTCGGTCGATCTTTGTCTTAGCGTCCCAGCCGCGAGTAAAACCTCCACGCCCCCAGTCGCATTATGAATGCTTCACGAGCTTCGAAGAGCTCTCATTTTATCAAAACTTTCCGGGACCTGTTGCAGAGTCTTTTGCATCCTTGACAACTGGTATTGTCCGCCTGAAGTGTTATACTGCAACTGTTTTTAGTTCAGCAATAGCTTGGAATGCCCAGCATGTGGAGCGGCAAGGACAATGGAGACCAGGACGGCCTGAGGGCTGAAGAACCACATCCAATTCCCAATGACGATGGAGCGTCGAGGTCATCCAGGAGAAGCCATCAACCATCGAGGAGAAGCGAAGAGCCAACCGAGAGGACCCGGCTTCTCGACCGTCCTAGGCCACCGCCCAATTCAGACGGCTACCTTGACCCAGATGATCCAGCAGTATGTTCTTCAGTCTTCATACAAAGTGTTTATCTAACCATGCCAGGTATCGCCATACAACCTCTGGACGGTTCGCGCTATGCGCTACCTGACCATCCTCTTCCTCGTCATCACCTTCTTGTGGTGGGTACTATTGCTGGTATCCATCTTCGTCTCCCCTCCTGGCCTACACACTCGCGGATCCGGTTTCTTCGACTTTGCCTACACATGTCTAACCCTCGGCAATCTCCTCGTCGCAACCATCTTCTTCGTTACGCCTGCCAGAGGTCTGCGCATCACCACAGCCATCATCGCCGGACTTTTGGCTATCGACATGATCCTTATCCTAGCCGTACCACGCATCAGGCTCGAGGAAGGTTGGGTTGGTATTGCAAGTGTCGTCTGGGCTTTCGTCATGGCTGTCTGGTGCATTTTGACTGACCGTGTCGTCGCATACGGCAAGCATGAAGAGGAGGAACGTCTTACCGGTCGCGCTGAGACACGCCGCACACTAAAGGAATGGCTCGCTGTCACTGTCGCTACAATCCTCACCGTCATCTTCATTGTCATTGTCATCTTAATGACCGGAACTCTCGGCATGCGTGCTCGCGACGCAACACTCAAGATGTATGGCGACCGAATCCTTGTAGACGGCGACAAGTACGCCGTGCATCTCGCCTGTGTCGGAAACGCGTCTGAAACCAGCGGATCCAAGGACCCTACTATTCTCCTCGAGGCCGGCGAGACGCCACTGGAGTATGACTTCGAGCACTGGGCTTACGCAGCTTACAAGAACGGTACCATCTCCCGCTACTGCTACTGGGATCGTCCCGGCTACGCCTTCTCCGACAATGCACCCTCACCACACTCAGCCGGCATGTCCGCGGACGCTTTCTCCGAAGCTCTTGCCAAGTCTGGAGAAGAGGGACCTTGGATTCTCGTTTCCGCTGGTACTGGCAGCATCGTTTCCCGCATCTTCAGTTCGCGCCACATGAAGCAGGTTGTTGGTATCATGATGGTCGACCCCCTTCACGAGGACCTTCTTCACCGTTACGGCGGCGCAGGACGTGGTTTCATCCTTTGGGCCTGGGGTATCATTTCGCCGCTTGGTACTGTTCGTCTTGCAGGCGCACTCTTCAAGGGTCGCACACGTGAGGACCGTGTATACGGTCGCAACGCATACCAGTCAGGCAAATACATCAAGGCGCAGCTGCAAGAGAACCTCGTCGCAGACAGCCTTTCCAAGAACGAGGTCTCCTCTGCTAGGAATATCCAGAGCGCCAACACTCCACTTGTCGTCGTGTCTAGTGGCATCGAAGTCAGGAGGGACAGCGAATGGGAGCGAAAGCAAAAGGACCTCACTACTCTGACAGACAACCTAGTCAGCTGGGATGTTGTCAACAAGGCGCCTCACCAGGTTTGGAACACACTCGATGGACGCACCGTCATGGAGAAGCGTCTCAAGCAGCTCGTCAAGGCTGCGCACAAGGTCAAGAGCGAGACTGAACCCGAGAAGGAGCAGTAGGAGTATCTATCTACAGCGGAGATTATGCTTCACAACATAGTGGATGCACCACCGTATAGTAGAGATGCAATTGCGGAAAATCTTTCTTTTCCAAAGTTGATCTTTGTTTCTTGTTATCAGGTTTTCCTACGCATACCCTTAGGCGTTGCATATTGAGTTCTTTTGTTTCCTTTTACGTAGCATGAGCACATACCAGATACTAGTCTAATGTTTAAGACCATGTTCGACGACCTTGACGTTATACAACTCTCCACTGGTACCCTGCAAAGTGTAGTAATCTTTATCAGCCTTATATATCGGGTCTTCTGGGTGATCTACATCATCTTGAATGCCTACCAGCCTCACGTTCATAACCTTTCAAGAGTGAGGGTTTTCTTGGAAGCATATATAGGCTTCTTCAGGACTTCTTGAGGCTGTCTATATAAACTACACAGGCGATTGATTCCCTTCACCTGCGTCTGAACTTTGATTTTCCAATGACTGGTTTCTTGACCACAGCATCCTCATCCACATCCTTCTTCTTTACCACCCCTGCCTTCTTGACTATAGGTCCGTTTTCCTCCTCTGCAATCCTCCGGTCCTCATTCGCCTTGTCGACCGCCATCTGCGCCTCCAACTCAGCTTTCCTGTTAAACTCGGTCTCCATGATACGTTTGTCCCTGGCAGAGTAGCCTTTTTCCTTGATACTATAAAAGACAGCACCCATGTCTGCCAGCCAATGCGGATCAACAGAAGTTACACACGACATGTACTCTTTGCTCGTGAGAATCAACTCATGATACACGACGTAATCAGGCAAGTAACCCAAGCCATACAGAGCAGAAGTAGGATGAAGCTGAATAGTAACACTGGTACGAAGGTTAATGTACTCGCCTATACCCTTCACCTTGGCAGCTTGGTGGTAGTAGCCCGAGCAAATGCATTTACGAATAACGTCCCAGTCGGTACCGCAGGAGACGAGCTTCATCTTCTGCTTGGACATGATGTCGTAGATCTGATCGCGGATTTCCTTGGCACGACGTAGCGCTTTCGGATGCAAGAAATGGCGGACACACCAGCCATCGGAGTAGCCGTTGACTTTCCACTGTGTGTAGACGTGAAGCAGGGTGAGGTGATCGGACTCTGGGACAAAAAACTTCTCGCGCGCAGCGTCTGATTCTTCCTGACGTTCTTTGGGACGGTAGAACACCGAAGGGACGGAGAGCATGGCAACGATCGTGAGCATTTCTTCGCTGCATTCGTATTCCGTGGCTGTGATGATGAGTTTGGCGAGAGACGGATCCATGGGGAAGGCTGTCATGGTGCGGCCGAGGTCGGTGAGATTGCCGATGTTGTCCAAGGCACCGAGAGCCCATAGATCGAATAGCGAGGTTGTTATGGTGTCTTGGGGTGGCGGGTCCATGAAGTCGAAGTCTAGTAGGTCGCGGACGCCAAGTGATTTGAGAAGCAGGACGGTGTTGGCGAGGTTTGTTCGTTGGATTTCTGGGATGGTTTGAATGTAGAATTCGTCTCGGAAGGCTCGCTCGGTATATAGATGGAAGCACTTTCCTGGCCCGGTACGTCCAGCGCGTCCAGCACGCTGAGAGGCGTTGGCCTGCGAAATGGGGGTAATCTGAAGTGTGTCCATGCCCATCTTTGGATTGTAGACTTTGAGCTTGGAAAATCCGGCGTCTACTACGTACATGATGCCATCCACTGTCAAACTAGTCTCTGCAATGTTGGTAGCCACAATGACCTTGCGTACACCTGGTGCTGCTCTGTCGAAGATCTTTGCTTGCAGATCAGCAGGCATCTGACTGTAGATGGGGAGAATGCTAAGTTTTGGCGGATCGTTGAGAAGCTTGAGCCTTTCAGCTACAAGCTCACATGTGATTTCAATGTCTTCCTGGCCCGTCATGAAAACGAGGATGTCGCCAGGTCCCTGGGAGACATGTATGGCAAGAACCTGTTTGACCGCAGCGTCGACATAGTCGTCGCATGGCGATCGCGAATATTGAATGTCAACGGGGAATGTTCGCCCTGGAATTATAAATTCGGGAGCTCCTCCGTAGAAGCGCGAGAAGCGTTCTGAGTTCATAGTAGCTGATGTGACGATCAACTTCAGGTCTCTTCTCCGCGCCAGCACCTTCTTGAGCAGACCCATCAACACATCGGTGTTCAAAGCTCTCTCGTGCGCCTCGTCCATAATGATACAGGAGTATTTGTCCAGGTCTGGTTCTACCAGCGACTCTCGGAGCAACACACCATCCGTCATGTATTTGATCTTAGTCTCCTTGCTGGTGCAGTCCTCGAAACGAATGGCATATCCGACCTGACCACCCAACTTGACCTCCATCTCTTCGCTGACGCGCTTTGCAACACTCATAGCTGCAACGCGACGAGGTTGTGTACACCCGATAAGTCCTTGCTTTGCGTAGCCATCCTCAAACAGGAACTGGGTCAGTTGAGTCGTCTTTCCCGAGCCCGTCTGACCGACGACGATGACGACTTGGTTGTCTCGAATGACGCGCAGGAGATCTTCGCGGACTGCAAAGGCGGGAAGGTATTGTCTCTGCTCCCGTAGTGTTTTGCTCTTACTGAAAGCGCTCGCACCCTCTTGCTTGCTAAGATGTTGAGCAAACTTGCTACCGCCCTGCTTCTCCTCGTCTTCCGGTCCTGGGGCGGCACTATCCGTGTCTTCCTCCTTGACGCCCATGATGTTTCCTAGTGTGGTTCCCTTGGCACTTGTCGCCTCCTGGGTCTGTTTGGCACGCTCTTTCTGCTGCCGTTTCTCCTTCACAACACGACTGCCGCGCCTACTGAAGACAGCCATGTCGCTCTGTGGATCGCGAACTGCTGGAACAGGATCGATTTGCTTTGTGAAGACGGTTTTGCCGTCCAGGAACGGGGGCTTCAGATCGTGGACAAGGATATGGACGCGCATGGCATCCTCGTCGTCGTTGAAGTCGTCGTCAAACGTCCTTCTTTGGGCGACTCCAGACTGCAGCATGCGGTTCGTCTCCCAAGCGTCCACGTCCTTCTGCTTTTGTTGCGCCCTCATGCTGGCCCGGTTGTTCAGTTTCTTCTCGGTGAGAGCAGCCTCTCGTTGGGCATCGAGCCATGTGCTCTCAGCACCACCAAACGGGTTGTGGGTGTCGTCTCCGAACGTGTGTCCATTCTCTTCGCCGCCGTACCAGTCGCGATCCAGGGCCATGGAATCAAAGTCTTCGACCAGCGGCTCTGGGCCGTCGAAGGATTTCTGCGACGGGTCTGCGCCATTGTCCTGCGACTTGGGCGGGTGCGCCCTGGAGGATGCTGGGTGATTCGGCTTGCGGAACTTGGGGCGGGGCGCGATGGAGTACTCCTCGGGGTCGAGCTTGCGCCGCTTTGGGCTGTGGCCGCGTTCCATGGTGTGCTGTAGAGGGGGCGGTGTGGCGCGTTGTTGTGGTTGGAAAGTCGGCATGTCCAGAAAGTTGATGCTCGGAGGTCCGCAGTATCGATAGGCGGGCCAGGAGCTTCGGCCAATCGTTGCGGGGCGCCCAAAATTATTTCCAACTTTTGAAAAAGTTCCCCACGCGCCTTGCACTTGCGCCCTCACTGCGCATTTCACTTCACACCACCAGCGCAATGTCTATGATTACGACGACAACATGGGTGCCGCGTGGCTTTGCGGCGCCCTTCCCCTCAAGATACCATTTCGACGAGGACGAATACGAGCGCATCTCCAAGCTGGCCAACCTGCAACTCGAGGACGCCAAGGAGGAGCTCGAGGAGGCCCAGGCTGAGGAGAAGGTCAAGAACGGCACCTCGTCCAAGGCGTCCAAGAAGGATGATGGGTGCGTGCGCCCGAAAAATCTATTTCTTCCATGCTGACAAGTCTCGAGGGACGATGATGACGACCTCAAGGAATACGACCTCGAGCACTACGACGACGATGTTGCCGAAGACCAGGGCGACACCATGGCCATGTTCGGAAACGCAAAGAACCTAGTCTTCCACGAGAACGACGAGGACGATCCGTACATCACCATGCAGGGCGGAGAGGAAGAGGACGAAGAAGATCGCGAAGAGCTTCAAATCTTGGCTACAGACAACCTAGTTTTGGCTGGTCGCATAGAGGACGAAGTCGCCCATCTCGAAGTCTATGTATACGAGGACGAGGATGACAATCTCTACGTGCACCACGACATCATGCTGCCTGCCATCCCGCTTGCCGTCGAATGGTTAGATCTGCCTGTGGGCAAGTCTATAGGCACGAGTGAAGGCAGGGGCAACTACGTGGCGATTGGAACCATGGACCCCGATATCGAGATCTGGAACCTGGACGTGGTAGACAGCATGTATCCAGACGCAGTACTGGGACAAGGCGCCGAGGACAAGGCGGACAAGCCTAAAAAGAAGAAGAAGAAGTCGAAGAAGGCCAACGACGAGTTCCACGTCGACTCGGTCCTCTCACTTGCAGCAAACCGACAACATCGGAATTTCCTCGCTTCTTCATCCGCAGACAAGACCATCAAGCTGTGGGACCTGAACACGACAAAGTGTGCCAAGTCATACACGTACCACACGGATAAGGTCTGCTCCGTAGCCTGGCATCCCGTCGAGGCCACTGCACTGCTTAGTGGTAGCTACGACAGAACTGTTGTGGCAGCCGACGTGCGTGCACCCGACGCAAAGGCGCCACGATGGGGTGTTGAGAGTGATGTCGAGACTGTGCGGTGGAATCCTCACGACCCCAACTACTTCTACGTAAGTCTTGTAACACGAGTTCCATCACGTCGTACTGACAATCCCAGGTCTCTACTGAGAATGGTATGATACACTACCACGACGTTCGCAATGCGCCAAAAGACCCCTCTGCCTCAAAGCCGGTATGGGTATTGCAAGCACATGACGAATCCATCTCTTCATTCGACATCAACCCAGTGATACCCGGCTACCTGGTCACAGGCTCAACAGACAAGCAAGTAAAACTGTGGAACATCCAGGACAACGGACCAAGCATGGTTGTTTCACGGGATCTTGGTGTTGGGCGCGTCTTCTCAACATCCTTTGCACCCGACAAAGAAGTCGGTTTCCGGCTGGCAGTCGCAGGAAGCAAAGGTGCAGTACAGATCTGGGACACGAGCACCAACGCAGCCGTACGTGCAGCCTTTGCCAGCAAGGTGCCTGCGATTAGAGGAGATGGCAAGGAGAGGCTCGTGGGTCTTGAGGAGCAGGACACAGACTCTGATAGTGAGGAAGGCGAGAGCGACGACGAGGGCGAGGAGGAGGGTGCCGAGAAGGGCTGGGAGTCGATGGAGGAGTAGACGATGATACCCTGGGCATATAGGACCTACAAAACGTGGCGAATGTACCAAGATCTGATACCATTTGCACCATTACCTACATGTTGCACAATCAAACTATTTGTGAAGCTTGACCCCGCAACGCTCGAGAGACCCTTGTACGGTGGTGTTTCGCGGGTCGCATTCGCGAGTCAGGTCCCGCACGCGTTTCAAAAATTGCCCGACGACCTGGACAGCTCGCCCTTGCTTTTCAGCTCCTTTCATCTCATCTGAATCGGGTAGCCTCATCGTGTCGCAACACGATTCATCATTGAACGTTGTAATGACATCACCATCACCACGAGCAACAGTAAACGATAAACTCAAATTCGTTTTCAGTGCCAGCGCCCGAGCGTGACGAAGCAAAGTGAACGAGCGGGCGAACTCACACCACGCAGCCGACAAGCGACCGGCTGATCTGCCTGCGTTTGCAGCTTAGGGCACCAACATCTCCACAATGTGGACCCGACGACGACGCTGCTTCAGAGTCTCGATCTCGCAAGATGACGGCGAGATCGTCATTCCCAAGGTTCCCTCGTCTCGGCCCTTATCAGTTTCGAAACCACCAAGGCCACGCGAGGCAGAAACCTCGGAGGGTCAAAACCATCATCATGCCATCGGTCCCTTTGATGACTACTGTCATTCGTGCGTCCCTGAGGTACGATTGTGGCACCGAGTGAGAGGTCTGCTTTTGGCGCCTCTGCACAAGGTTCGAGAGTGCCAGGTGACCGGATTAGGAGCGGGTTGACAGATTGCGCCGTCGCCAACACAACCACGGTACCGTTTTCGCTGGCATCGGAGCTTATCCATATCCCATGCTATGCGTGGTGAGCTGTCTAGGCAGAATGACAACTGTGCCACCGGCCTTCGACTGCAATTTTTATTCACCTATCCGCCATGCACCCAAATCATCTCACATGTCAATGCCGTGCGACAAGATAGGGAAAGCCCTTCATTCAGCTCGGTAGTGGATCTCTGATTGTGGGCAGCGTTGAAACAGCGGGCCTTTGGAGCCCCAACGAAAGCGTGCGGATCAACTAAACAGGCCAACGAGCCCCGGCTCAATCTGAGACGCATGGGCGGCAGATGCACTCTCTGCGAGGCAATCCCATTCGCCAGCTATAGAAAACATAGTGCCCGCTAAACTTAGCCGGGCTGTGTCGACGCCACTAACTCAGCACCCCAGGAACCAATACACTCTGATTTGCTGCTTTTTGCTTGGTTCTGGCCTTGCCCCGGTCACTCCTACCAATCTTCGAGAGACATGTCGACGCGGCTTGGTTAGCCTGCCGCCCCGGGGATGCTGGTTTTTCAACCCATTCAGTCGCTCTATCGCGCGCCCTCTTCTTCAGGCCTTCTCCCTTCCTTTGCCTTACGCGCTCGTTGCCTTCCACAGCAGCTATCACTCCCTCATTTCGCGGCCCGGTGTTCGCTCCTTACGACACAGCTGGTCTCTACACTCTTTGACAGACTATCCTTCTTCATATCCACGATTCATTCTTCACTTCATCACTACGCGCCCCAGAGCCAACATTAAGAAAACCCAAAAGACCATCAAAGGAACCCAAGGACTCGATCGGAACCTTGGAATCAACTGCGCCGGACCCCAAGCCAACATCTTAGCGTCATCCGTACAACAGATACAACTCCCAAGTCCAGTGCACTGTTACACTGATAAGGTCACGCGTCTCGAATACACCACCGAAAGCACAGCGTGATCTTTTCCAGATTCTTTCTAGATTAACGTAGCAAACGCATTAGTGCTACTCTAGCTCGCGACTGTTTGGACCTCGTGCCAGCACCAAGCGCAATCTACATCCGGCAATACCCCGCATATCTGCAGCTCACCTAGATAGCGACCAACTACAGTCACCGCCTGAATTACCGGCCCCAGGACCGACAGTTGGACCCTTATTTGCAATATCGCACCTCTGCTTTGAATTAATCCATCAATATGTCTCTCGCTCGTGCCATGACTAGGCGCATTAAGCGGACTGACGACCCGAAAGAGTCTCCGGTATCACCAACTCGTAGCCAGAGTGTCAAAGCCCCCAACAACTTTGACCGTACGAAAATATCCCTTCCTATCGCCCTGGTATCCACTACCAACATGCTTTCGTACAACGCCCCCGATATCTCGACCCTAAGGAATGTTTCTTCATCAACCTCTCTGAGCCACTCTTCGGCAGACGACTCGGACCACAGTGTGTCAACACGCTCCCGAGCCTCTTCCCATGGATCAAGGGACACTGCCCTTACGGATGCCTCTTCCGTGGAGTCTTCACCCAGCTCGCCTGCGCCCAACCACCTTTCTGGCTACTTTTCCTCCGCTGGCAAGCAACTCAAGAAGTCTGCGTCAACCACCAGTCTCAAGCAAGTCAAGGAGGAGCCAGTAGAGGCTGTGCCTGCTATTCCTCAAAGGGCTCTTTCGCACAGCAAACGTGCACACGAGCGACTGGCGCACAAGCGATCTCTCCAGAACGTCGGTACTCGTGGCAGTGTGAACTCGCGTGGAAGCGTTGGTTCTGCACGTCACTCTCGCGAGCAGCGATCTTCACTTGACATGTTCAAAGGCACGATTGAAGAAGAGAGTCACCCCTTTGGCCGCGAACTGGAGCAACTCAACGAGGTTGTTGAGGAATTCGGTGGCGTAGTACGAGATGCAGAGGCCGAGGCTGACCTTTCGGTTATGCGCTCAAAGAACCTCGCGTCCTTCTGTGCTGCCGACTACCTCTCAGAGATCCGACCACTTTTCAGCCATCGGTTCGGCGTCCCGCACCAAGCTCCTCCCATGGCTTGGATCTGAGAAGTTTCTTTACTGTGCTTCCTGGACGGCCTCTTTTGCTCTCGGCACTATACCTTAGACGATGTCTTACGCTCTCGCTTCCGTGTACATACTTGCGGACTTTGATCCCACCACTCCTTGGTCTAATTCTAGTTTTTCTTTGTCTCATATTTGATCTGCTGGCATGGTTGGAAGGAACACACTAAGGCGTTCCGGAATACCAGCGTCAAGCTTGGGCACTAATCCCACACTATCTCTAACGAATCTTTCACGTTTGTCTTGTACGATGTTATTGAGGCGGTCAGCCGCAGGCGGAATCGGAGGAACACGATGCATGCGTCTGGGTCTGCTGGACGTGGTGGTTACACTGCGTTCATGTCTGACTCAGACGACCATGCTTCGGAATCAAAATGTATACATACACCTATCCATCCCTTGTGCACTTGATTGTGTTTGCCTAATCGGTGATGTCCTTCCGCTATCTTGTTATCATACACTGTCCATGGGACGTGCTGGATCCGGAAGGTGCCATTTGAAGTATGGCACCTGCCAAAATCACAGTAGCGATAGCCACATGTGAGACTCAAACACAGGCAACAACGACGAAGCATGGGATGGCGTTTATGCACCATGCATCGCGCTCCCGAGATCGAGCACACTGCGGGAGGCAGGCATGGAGACAAGGATGGCTCTAGCGTGATCCGGAATCGGCGAAACACCTCGGCATCCTTCCCTTTGCATCTCAAACTTTTGACCAGTACAACGAAGGAGAGATCCAATTGAAAGCCACGCCCACACATACACACACGGCCAAGATGATATGTCGAACCTGTCTCCGGGCCGCCTCGCGCGCACAAACAGCCCCATTCCCACGCCCACAACAGGCCTCACGCTTCCTCACCACCACAACGCCCCTCCGCAACGCAACACCAATCTCCGCAAGCACCGCAACGCAATCCGCAGGTCGCCAAGGCGACTCGACATCCTCGCACACACCGCCAACCGCAACTTCTACATCCGCCGCACAGCCTTTTAGCGAGCCGTTAACGCCAGCTGCGAGTCCGGATCTCAAGGCTACGGCTGCGGAGGCTGCAAAGAAGAAGGCTGCGCCGCTGGTAAAGAGCAGTATACCGGCTGGACAACCACTCAAGGGATTGAATTTCTTGAAAGATAGACAGGACCCTGTTGCGTTGGCTGATGACGAATACCCGAGTTGGCTGTGGACGATATTGGACCGACAGGAGAAGAAGGCCGAGGCTGGAGCGGGAGATTTGTTCTGTACGTCTTCTCTTGGATCTGCTTACCCGTATCTATATTATGCCGAAGGACCGACTTTGCTAACTAGCGTACAGCGAAATCAAAGAAACAACGTCGTTTAGCTGCGAAGCGCCTCCGTAAGGAACAAGCCATGAACCCGGAGATGATGGTACCAAAAGTGCCGTTGTACGAGCAAACTATTGATTTACCGGCTGGAGACGGTAGTCTGGAGGGGTCGATCAAGGCGCAGGATGCGCGAGAGGAGTTGACAAAGGCGATGAGGAATAAGAGGAGAGCTACCATCAAGGAGGCTAACTTCCTGAAGGCCATGGGATAGACGTTGAATTGGAAACAGCTTTGGTAGTAGAAGAGCGCGAAGATATGCTGTGTGTGTATGTGGACACTGGGCAGCACGTCTGTAAAGACTTGTACAATCACCTGTGGGATTAGACATGTTCACTACGAAAGTGAACCACGGCCGGTCGGCACGAAGCATTACGTCTGATTCAGTCATTCTCAACAAAGTGTAAACCCTTTCAAATACGATGAATGAGCATTCGCAACGTAGATCTTTACACCGAATAACTACTTTTGACACCCAAATGTTTAAGAGAGAGAGAAAACGCCTCGAAATGCAACCTCATCCACCGACCTACGCAACATCCACAAACCCTCTCTTCTTCCTGTTCTTCTCCTCGTCCAGCTTATCAACATCCTCCCACCTAACCAACTTCGCCTCATCCACCCTCTCCCCCACAAATCTCAACGCCGCAACATTGAACCCAATCAAATCCTTGTTACCCACCAGCGTCTTCCTGAGGTCACTTCGCATAAGCTCAAGCACCGTCTTGAGTTCTCTGCTGGCAACAATTTGCTTCTGGTGCGTTTTGAGCATGAAGAAGAGGACGCGGCAAGTCAGTGTTACGTTCCACTGTTTGCGCACCCAAATAGCCAGGAAAGTGAAGAGAGCGGGTAGAGATGAGAAGGGTAGAACGAGCAACGCGTCGTGCAGCTGAGCAGCAGGAATTTTGGACATGGTGTTGAGGACGTGTCGTTCAGCGGATATATTGCCTAGAGCAAGAAACAGGGGGTTACGCTGTGGCGGGGCGATTTTGGGATTGGTTTTGCGTTGGGTTTCCCAGTCTCGGACAACGTCTAGGTCGGCGATGCCCAGGTCGAGGGCTTCTTGGATTCGTTCTCCGGCTGTGAGGGTGGTGATCGTTTGTTTGCTGGCGTCGACTGCCTCGGCGCGTTCGCCAGTCATGTCCTCATCGTCTTCGAGGTTGGTGGCTAGTGTCTTTTCGTACATTTCTTCTAGCTCCCGTTCGCGTTCTTCTTCGAGGAAGATGGGCTCTTCAGACCGGGTCCAGATGCGTATGCTCTTGTCGTGGCTCGCTGTGACGATGAAATCGCCTGTTCGAGCGACAGTCATGGCCCAGATTTCACCGTGATGACCCTTGAACTTCTGGATTTGTTGGAACTTGTCGCCGTCCCAGCTCTTGATTGTGCGGTCCTTGGAGGCACTGAAGAAGATGTGGCGTTCGTCGTTATCGACAGGGTGGGGGATGAAGGATATTTGCATGATACTGTCTTCGTGACCAAAGAGCGCTTTGTGACAATCGCCAAAGTCGAGACCCCAGATACGGACGTTCTTGTCCGCGGAACAGGTCGCGATGAGTTTGCTGTCGCTGGAGATCGACATGTTGAGCACAGGCAGCTTGTGGCCATAGAGGTTGAGGAAGAGCTTCAGCGAGTCGACGAAAAAGACCTTGACAGTGTTGTCGAGCGTTGCTACGGCGAGGAGTTTAGAGTCGGGCGAAACTTGCACGCTCAGAACATCATCGTTGACCTTCAGTATGCGCGACTCGACGAGCTTGAGGCGAGGTGTCGTGCGTTTCGTTCCTGGAATCTCTTCTTGGACGATCTCGAAGTTCCAGAACTTGATGGACTTGTCGGCGCTGCCAGTGATGAGAGATTTTCCGTCAGGGTGTACCTGCATAGTCCAAACGGCTCCTTCGTGTGCGTCGATTTTGTCTAGTAACGTGGATGCCGCTATGTCGTACAGCTCAATGTCTCCGTCTTTCGTTCCGACAACAACAATCTTGTCACCAGGCAAGAAAGCGCAGCAAAGTGCATAGCCACATTCAAGGGTACGCAAGCAATTTTGCGTCTTGACGTTCCAGATCTTGAGTCCACCACTCGACGCGGATGCCAGCATGCGATCATCGGAGCTGAGTGCGAGCGCCCGTACATCGTTTCTGTGACCAGAGAGTTCGACGGATAGTGTGCGGCTGTACTCGGGTGCTTCCTCGCTCTTTGTCTTGCTTCGTTGGGGTATCTCGTAAACGTCAATAAGGTTGTTGTTGGTACCGATCAGTAGCTGCAGCTTCTTCGTTCCTTTGATGTGCATCCATGCGACCGATCTTACTTTTCCAGCTGTCCGTACGGTAACGTAAGGTACGAAGACCTCGCCTATCTCAGCATCGGCGGCGTTGACCTTGTCGTCAGCATCAGCGTCGTCGTCCCCGTTCGTCTCAGTCTTGGCCTTCTCCCGCCTTCTCTTCCTCTTCCTGATTAAGCTTTTCCGGACTTCTTCTGGTGTCTTAATCCGCCATATCTCAACAGCCTTCTCTGCGCCATGTACGGCAATGTAATCAGCCTTGGCGTAGAAAGAGATGCCTTGTGTCCTATCCTTGCCTGTCCGGTATAGTATGCCTCTGGGTGTGAGAAATTCTTGTTCTGTTCCTTCGCCAATAGTTGAGCCTGCTCTTCGAAGGCCCGGCAGGTCAATAGCCCACACTTTGAGCTCGCCGTCGTTGCCTGCCGTTATGCAACCGCTGCCATCGGGCGAAACGCCGAGTGCCCAGCATTCTCCGTTGGTTTGTGCAATATGGGTCTCGATGCAGTGTTGAGTGGTAACATCCCAAATCTTGATCAAAGCGTCCTTGCTGGTAGATAGTAAGAAGGCTTGGTCTGCGTCCGTGTCCATCTCTTCGTCATCTGCGCCATCTTCTTGCGAAGCACTGCTGGGGTGGAGGAACTGTAGACCAGTAATTTGGCCCTTGTGCCCTCTCAGCTTGAACAAGCCGGTTTCCGACACCAGGTCCCAAACCACAATATCCGTATCCTTGGAACCACTCGCCAGGCGTACCCCACTTTGGTCAAAAGTCAAGACGGTAACTGCAGATTTGTGTCCATTGAAACTGATGATGACGGTCGACGTTCGCGCATCCCAAATGCGTATGCTTCCGTCGGCGTAACCCACGGCAAAGACATCTGGATCGACTTCGCTCCGGCAAATGACGGTTACTTCCTCGGTACAGGTATTGTCGCGCCATCTGCTCATGAGTTCACCCTTCTTTACATCCCAACATAGCACTTCTTCGTTGGCGGCGGCGTATGCGCGTCCGGCGCCTGCGGATCGACTCGAACCGGGCTGGGTGAGGCCTTCTGGGGTCCAAATGATGTTGGAAGTGGCAGTCGCGACCACGCCAAAGGCATCGGTCTGCTCATATTTGCTACATGGCAGTCAGTACGAGCTCTGTTCCATTTGCGCTGCATGTGCGCATTACCTGTAGGATTTGACCATTTTGCGCCGCCTCTAGAAAAAAATCGGATATCGCGTGACGGGAGTATTGGAAGAAGCTCAGAAGCAGTGTCTTCAGGTCATTGCGCTCCGTATACAAGGTTCACGGGTATGCGCCACTGGTAACGGTCGGGTTGGGAGTTGGTTACTTTCTCGAAACTTTTTAGACAAGGGCCAACCCCACGAATTGCGCTAGGCCCACCTTCCAGCATCACAGCACACCTCCGTCCTCCGCATCACCGCCCTCGATAGCTGCCCGCCCGACCAAGCCAACCCGCCTACCAGAAGCTGAACCACCAACATGCTTCTTCTCGACTACCAAAACGTGCTTATCGAGTCCCTACTCAGGGAACGAATCAATGGGTGCGCAATACCCCGCTGCCTTCCGCTCCGCAGCAGCAGCAGCCAGGTAGCTAACAGCACATAGAGGAGCTACCGCCAACATTGACCAGGTCGTCTCCGACTTTGACGGCGTCACCTTCCACATCTCGACACCGGAGAGCAAGACAAAGATACTAGTGTCGTTGCACATCAAGTGCTTCAAGGAGCTGGTCCAGTATGGCGCGCAGGCAGTGCTGGAGCGAGAGTATGGGCCTTACATCGTGGAGCCCGAGTCTGGCTACGACTTCTCGGTGCTGGTCGACTTGGAGAACCTACCGGAAGAGCAGGGTACGGTGCATGCCCAGACTGGTGAAGCAAGATGCTGACCTTGTGCAGAGGCCAAAGAAGACCTGGTCCGACGTGTGTCCCTCCTAAAGCGGAACGCCATGGCTGCACCCTTCGAGCAGGCCTTTGACGAATTCCATGAATTGCAGGAAGAAGCTTCCAAATACACATCTGAGTCGGCGCCGCAGGGTGTAGCAGAAGGAGGTGCCGTGCGCGCGATCCACTACAGAGAGGAGGAGGCCATCTACATCAAGGCCAGCCACGACCGTGTCACTGTCATCTTCTCCACTGTGTTCCGGGAAGAGACAGACAGGATATTCGGAAAGGTGTTCCTCCAGGAGTTCGTCGACGCCAGACGGAGAGCTATTCAGAACGCACCACAAGTACTCTTCAGGAACGACCCACCCCTAGAGCTGCAAGGTATCCCAGGAGTCGACAACTCTGGCTCAGCTGAGATCGGCTACATCACATTTGGTACGCATTCCAAGCCCACTTGCTGTACTCCCGGCTAACTCTGGCAGTGCTCTTCCCTCGCCATCTTGCCAAGCAACGGCGCGAGGATGTTATCTCGCATATCCAAACCTTCCGAGACTACTTTCACTACCACATCAAGGCTTCAAAGGCCTTCATCCACACAAGGATGCGCAAGCGGACTGCAGACTTCCTCCAAGGTATTCTACACCGTCTTACTTGTGTCATATTTGTGCTGACAAAATATAGTTCTTCGCAGAGCCCGACCCGAGGCAGAGGAGAAGGAGCGCAAGACAGCCAGCGGTCGTACTTTCAAGGTTCAAGCATAGACAAGGTCAAGCAGTTGTTTCCAAACATGACGTGCGTGGGTCTAGTCATTCGAAGAGAGTCATTTGTGTCCGGCGTGAGGTCTAGTATCGCTGAGTGCAGACCATGTAGATAGCGATTGAAACCTGCCTTAAATGCAGGCAAGAGCAAACCATTCATCATATCTTCACCTACTTGTTCCGTGTACAACACATGCCAACTATGCCATGCGGGGACTAGCGTGAGTCGCGACTGCCACTTTGGACGCGTCCCCTCGAACTCACCCAACTTGCGCCAAACAAGCGATACCGCTCTTACGCACTCAACCGCCATGTCTGAAGGAACACGGCCCAAGTACGACAATCTCCCAGGCATTGACACCGCCCCGGACATATACGAGACGCCCGAACTCGCCGAAGACGTGTCTACAATACAAGCCTCCACCGCTGTTTCCGAATCCGATGGGGAAGGCGACGATGACGACCCCAGGGACTCAGCAGTCCGTCACCAACGGCTCCAGCCAGACCAAGCCCGCAGCCGCTTCCAGCCCTCACGAATAGACGCCCGCGGGGTCGATTTCTCAGACAACATCACCGCACAACGCCAATCCTACCGCACATCGACACAGCGCCAGCGACGGCGAGGCGAGATAATAGGAGATGATAGCGACGAAGAAGAGGAAAGCTTCGCAAAGAAGCTGTTGCGGATCAAGAGGGAGCTAGCTGGGCTGGAAGAGGAGTACGAGCGCGGGGTGCAGAGCGGGGACAAGTCGAAGATTGAGGAGCAAGACCCCAAGGAGATGATGGAGCTGATAGCGAGCAAAGTCGACACGATATACACAGCACACAAGGGCGGTGCTCGGGGCGCACAGGCGATACTTGATCGGACGGTACAAAAGTTTGAGAGCTACAAGCCCTTTGAACCCAGCCCCAAGATCAGCGATGCCATTGCAAAGAAGCCGCCGCTACCTGGCACCCAGATACAAAAGAGCCAGCTGGAGTTTGTGCTGAACCAAGCGGCCGAGTTTGACAAGCGAATTACTCAGATGGAAAACAATCTGGGCCTAAACGGAAACACAATGCCGGATCTAAGCGACCATACGCCTTTCCCTGTCGCCACTACCCTGACGAGGTTGGAACAGACACTCAGCTTGATTGGAGACGCCTCTGCCAACAATATGGATGCCGTTACACAGAACGTCAAGAAGCTCACAGCAGAAGCGGAGCATCTGAAGGAGGTTCGACAGGAAGCTGCACAAGCTGGTTCGACTTCTGGCGACAACAAGGCTCCCATATATCCAGACCAGGATGCCAAGATCAATGCGCTGTATGGCACCCTGCCTTCTGTTGACAAGCTATCGCCCATTCTGCCTTTGGTCCTAGAGCGTCTGCGCACACTGCGACTCGTGCATACAAGCGCTTGGCAAGCCGATACAGTATTAACAGAGCTAGAAAGCAGGCAGTCGACGCAAGAACAAGAAATCAAAAAGTGGGAGCGCCAACTTGAGGTTCTGGAGAAGAAGATGAAGACAGCCGAGACGGCCATGGTCAACAACGTCAAGACTGTTGGGAATGATGTCAAGATGCTGGAGGAGAAGATGGCTAAGCTGCTTGCAGGAGGCCACGAGGAATAAGATGTGCCGTCGCAGACTGTGGCTTCGTGGTCACCACTGCCACGCGACCTACTCAGCTGTACTGAACTCATGCGGAGATCAACATCACACCAGGCGCTCGTAACAGTCCTGTATCGAGACGCGTAGCGCTTTCGATAAACGTCCCTAGTCGTAGCACGTCGATCGATTTTGAGATACCCAATAGACAGTTGCTATTCATGACCACCTAAACAGATATCCTGTTTGTCTATACTTCTCATCATGTGAAAGCATGACGACCCAAGTTGATCTCCCATGATAGTAAAGTTTAACGCGATCGACGCCACCGGACGTGTGGTCTCCGGGTGTCGACCAACCGGAGTGGCTGGCACTCCGCACATTAGCGAATACCCATCCTACCAGTCGTGACCGAGGTCGTGGACTCTTGATTATAGTTTTGCAAGCACTGCCCGCGATCTGGCTGATCTGTTATCGGTGAACATGAGGAGAAGGCGTCCACGCTGGGCATTAATCTTCGTGGTTATGCTGTAGTGGGCTAGGTGGAGAGATTGTGGTGTGAGGGAGGCGATAGCATCGGCGATGTTCAAAGCTTAATGCCGACTAAATTTATGCTCAAGTTTCCCTTGATTGCTCCTGCGCGACAACTGAACCTTTTCCCCGCAAACCTGAAATTGTCGCTAAATTTCCGCAATGGCTAAGCGCAAGAATGATGCGCCTGCCAATGGCAAGGCGAAAAAGAAGAGAGCTATCTCCGATGACGAAGCGCATAAGAATTTCCGCGACGGTCTCTTCGACGGCAAGGTACTCGAGACATATACGAGCGAGTACGCCGGTTCCCAGCCGTATGTGCCAATCTCCACCTCCTTGAGCTGGATAGCGCTAATTCAAGTCATAGCTACAAGCACGCCGTAATTCACAATCTCGTCGACGATACGCTCCTCCGCAATGTCCGCAACGAAATTCGCGAGCACATCCATTTCACGCCCAAAGAGACAGACATCTACAAAATCCACCAATCTGGCGATCTCGCAAACCTCGATGGTCTCCATGACAGTGCGCTCAAGCGCTTGCCTTCCCTGCTCACCCTCCGCGACTCGCTGTACTCGTCTGCGTTTCGCAAGTATCTGTCTTCGATAACAGGATCTGGGCCGTTGAGCGGCGTGAAGACGGATATGGCAGTGGTAGGTTTCGTAACTCACCATACAAGGAATTGCATTGACCGCAGCGCAGAATGTTTACACACCAGGGTGTCATTTGTTATGCCACGACGACGTCATTGGAAGTCGGCGCGTAAGCTGGATTCTATACTTGCTAGATCCCGATATCCCATGGAAGCCTGAATGGGGAGGCGCATTACGACTGTACCCGACGGAGCATCTTGAAACACCAGAAGGCGACAAAGTTAGGGTACCGCAACCAGACTTTTCGCTGTCGATACCGCCGGCCTGGAATCAGCTCTCTTTCTTCACTGTTCAACCCGGAGAGAGTTTCCACGATGTCGAAGAGGTCTACAGGAGAGGCCTGGAAGAAAAGGCAGAGGAGGATGGTGGACGTATCCGCATGGCCATCAGCGGATGGTTCCACATTCCCCAAGAGGGCGAGGAAGGCTACGAGGAGGGTCTTGAGGAGAAGCTGGCAGAGAAGAGTTCGCTTGCTCAACTGCAAGGAGGCAAGGCAGACATCTTCGATGAGCCAAAATCGCATTGGGTAGACAACCCAGACTGGCAAGAGCAGGCGAAACAGGAGGACGATGAGCTGACTGAGAACGACATCGATTTCTTGATCAAGTTCATGAACCCTAACTATCTGGTACCGGATACAGTAGAGGAGTTGTCCAACATGTTCGGCGACGAGTCTTCTTTAAGACTTGCGCAATTCTTATCCAACAAATTCTCTGCGCGGTTACGGGAGTACCTCGAGTCGAAAGACCACGAGGCGAACCCAAGCTTACCCAACAACCCACACTCAAAAGAGTCGATGGTTGGTGTCGCAAGACCACCGCATAAGCAGCGCTATCTCTATCGGAAAGCAATCCAACCGATACCAACGACACCATATCCCGAGAACGACGGCATGACACCCTACGACGACCTCGTGGACATCCTCTTCCCACACCCAGCGTTCATGAAGTGGATCTCGCTTGTGACTGGTATCACACTGACCAAGAGCAACATCTTTGCGCGCCGTTTCCGAAGAGGTCTCGACTACACCCTCGCGACCGCATACGAAGAAGAAGACCCGCAGCTCGAAGTATGCCTGGGCATCACACCCTCCCGCGGCTGGGGTGATGAAGATGAAGAGCCTGAAGAAGCACCTGAAGAATCCAAGAAAAACGGCAGCAGCAGCAAAAAGAGCAAGAAGAATGGTAAAGCAAAGGAGCCAGAGCCCAAGCCTGAAGAAGAAGTTGGCGGTTACGAGATGTACATGGCTGGCGATGAAGACAACGACCACCCCAATATTCCTACGTCTGAAGCCTCGACCTCCACTGGTGCTGGTCAGCGTCGCAAAGCGAAAGCTGATCCTGCAATCTACAAGTCTGCAGCGGATGATGAGGACGATGGTATTCTGTTCAGCCAGCCAGCTGCGTGGAACAATTTGGCTATTGTATTGAGGGATCGTGGTGTGTTGAGGTTTACCAAATATGTTAGTAAGAGTGCGAAGGGAGATCGATGGGATGTGTGTGCCGAGTATGGTGTTGAATTTGGGGAGGACGAGGATGATGAGGATGATGAGTAGGTACGTGTGTCTGTGGATACGCGCGCTTAACATAACGATACTATGAAACATGCTTGCGTTCTCGGCATGAGACGCGGCGAGATGCGTATTATGCTCCGACCATATTGTCAGAATCCCATGCTTTACTGAGTTACGTAGGGAGGAAGGTTCTATGCTACCAAACGCATGATCAGACGAACAAGCCCGCCTCCACAGGCGCAAACTTGACTTGATCAGCTTGAATCTCCTCCAACAGATCGTTTCCAGGATACTCATCCAAATCCAGATCAATATAACCCCTCGGTGCCCACTTTCTTGCTGAGATGAAAAGTGACCGCCCATTAATACTACCATCGCTCAAGATCCTCAGCAAACACTGCCCTGCATCTTCTGTAGTAGCAAGCTGTACACCCGCCTTCTCCACCGCATCAAAGTCGTCATCCGTCAGGATTTTCGTGCGCACATACCATGGCGAAATCATATTGATGCGAGAACCGTAGTAGTACGCTGTACGACGCAGGGAGTGCATGATACCGCGCATCGCATATTTGGAGGCACTGTATTGGGGTCCGCGTGGACAGTCGAGGTAAGCGGCTCCTGAGCCAATGAGGATCAGACAGGTGTCTGTTTGGGAGGAATTCGGTGATGTGCCGTTTTGGGTCATGAAGTAGTGCATTGCAAGTTTACTGGTGTAGAGCGCGCCATTGAGATTTACGTCGATGATGTCGAGATTTGGCTTCTTGGGCGTCTGGTTGGGACCTGTGGGTGGTCAGCTTGATGTATGAGTCCGACTGAGTTTGCAAGATGGTGGATTTACCTTCGAATGTGAATACATCGTCTGCATGTATGATACCCGCGTTGGCGACTACATAGTCAATTTTCCCAGAGGAAGATAACGAGGCAGCTTCGCTAAACAGCCGAAGTTGGTTGTCCCAGTTTGTTACGTCGCAGTGCACAAAGCGACAGTCTTTGAGTTCAGAAGCGAGCTGCTCTCCTCGGTGGGCATCACGATCTCCGAAGCATACCTTCAATCTGTCTTCCTGTTAGTCGCTCATGGTTTCGTGATGAGAAGAATAATAAGATAGACCTGCCCTGAATTGACCAGTGCTCGAACATAGGCTTCCCCAAGACCATTACCTCCTGTATATTGACTTAGCTATTTCTTCCGATGATTGTAGTTGAAACAGCTGTCGTAATTGCATCAGTAGATTCAAGAGTGATGCGTACCTCCGGTAACGACAGCGGTCTTTCCTACCAGATGACTGGCATCAAAATCAATCGTACAGTCAACGGGCTTCGCAGGTGAAGAGCCAGGCATCTTGGTGAACAGTTCGGAGGGGATTGAATTGAGTGGCAGAACGAGTAGTTGCTTCTTCAAAGACCAACCCTAGCCCCTTTAAAGGCCTACCGCCCATGTGTCAATATAAGCCGGCGTACATACATTTCTCCCAAGTTCAGTCAGCCAGGAACTCATGGAGTTATGGGCTCGGACCATGCACGTAGCTGACAGGTTTAGCAAGACGACCATCCAAATCGCGAAGTACTACTATGACCCGGAGATAGCAACATTTAAACCACCAAGGAAGAGATGTCGGATATGAGGTCATGATTGGCGTTGGGATAGCACAGCAGACTTCGGGGAAGAGCGACCTGCCAAGACGCTAATGCAACCTGCTTACACGCTTAGGCAAACCCCGAATGTGCTGTCTACCATCACCTTCATCCTCAACCGAAAGGTAGTTGTCTGATGTAATTAACACGCTCAGGCGGCAGAATGAAATAGCCATGTCCATTTCATTCACGCTTTCGCACAACTAGCGCAGCTGAGCAAGCACGATGACATACTGCCATCGGGATAACGATCGCCACGGGTACCTAGGTTGTGTACTGGTTTCGGGAGTGCCGCGCGGCATGCACTGCCCGATGGATCCTTCTGTGTACTGGATCTCGAACGGACATAGTACAGGAAGCACTTGGTGTTGCCAATCAACATGGTTTGATCGAGCAGTCAGATCTGAAGGAATCAGGGACAAGAAGACACCAGTTTTATCACCATGCGAGACCCTATGTTACGTCCCGTCTGCCAAAAGAGTAGACAGTGAGCGCCCAACATTAGACATCGCGATCTACGAATCAATAGCAAGTAAGGGTACTAAGTGGAACGCAACCTCAACTTCAACCTTGATAGGGAAGAGAGGTATGTAGCACAGCCTAGTCATCCTTCCATTATCTCCGACCGTTGGCACACTAGCTGAGGACCACAATTCCCAGATAACATCCGAACTCATGGGATCTTGGCTTGACGATGATGTCCTGATTGATTTCGTCATGACAGAAGAGATGTGTATAAGAGAGATGGCTGTAATGTGTCTGCCACAACACTATCACTCACTCCATCCTCGATTTTCATCACAACTCTGTCGGCAACATGGCTTCGAATATTACAGCTATGATGCGCGCAGTCGCACAGTTCGGTCAAGCCCTCAATGTCTCTGTCGTCGACGTACCCGTTCCGACCATCCTCAATGCCACGGATGTCATCGTCAAAATAAACATGACCGCCATCTGCGGGAGCGATATGCACACCTATCACGTGGAATCAGGCTCGCCTGAGCAGCCATACTTTTACGGTCACGAAGCTATCGGCTACATCACAGAGATAGGGGATGCCGTCCAATTTCTGAGCGTGGGTGACTACGTAGTCATTCCAGACAACCTAGACAACGGACACTGGACTCAGGAGCCTGATGTATATGATCCGCCGCTGGGCTTTGGCGGCCTAGTGGGGGAGGTACTTCCTGGTGTGCAAAGTGAGTCTCCCTCAAACCTCTCTTGTTAATCTTCAGAACAATATGCTGACTCGAACAACAGCGGAGTATGCCAGAATCCCGTTCGCCGACAACTCGTTGATCCCAGTCCCTGTCAACGCATCCACAAGTGAATCGACACTCATCGATTATCTGTTCGTTTCCGATATCTTTTCCACTGCTTGGTCTGGTGTCACTTGGTCCGGCTTCACACCGGGAGACTCCGTTGCCGTCTTTGGAGCCGGGCCAGTCGGTCTCCTGGCCGCGTATTCGGCAGTTATTCGTGGTGCTTCGCGCGTCTACAGTGTCGACCACGTGCAAGACCGCTTGGACCTTGCTGCATCCATCGGTGCTATACCAATTAACTACCGCAACTCATCTGCAGTCGATCAGATCATGCAGAGGGAACCTGGAGGTGTCCGGAGAAGCGTTGAGTGTGTAGGCTTCGAAGCTGAGACCGCAGACGGCACGGTTGACTCGTCCATCACCCTACGCGAAATGGTTCAGGTAACGGCACCCGGAGGTGGTATGGGTATCGTCGGTCTGTTCAACGACACATTGAATGACTTCAGTATTGGCACGGCTTATACGAAGCAAATTGCTATCAACGGCGGTATTGTGCTTCCCCTACAGGGTGTTGCATCGGAACTGGTACCTCTCATTACTTCTGGTCGGGCTCATCCTTCGTTTATTGTCAGCAGTATCATTGACATTGAAGATGCGCCAGAATACTACGCGCGATTCAGCAGGCGTGAGGAGACGAAGGTCGTCATAAGGCTTTGATCGGTTCACGGGTGTACACAGGTACATGCAGAGACAATCATTCTGCACTGAACCTCTTCAGAGAGTAAAGTCATTGTTGTATCGTAGTAGTCTCCAGCTATGCTTGTGTAAATGGTTATTACTCTCATCAGTTGCTGCTGTTGTCTGCTACTTAGCTAGCACTATCGCTCCTGCTAACATTTTTGAGTCACTTTCTTCGTGGGAAATGGAATGGTTGGGACAAAGGACCATCGACCGAATCAGCAGATGTTGGCACAAGAATTTGGCCTGATGGGAACGCGACTGGGCCGAAGATGCCCGACATCCACATGCCTAGCGCGTCAGACTGCAACGAGTGCGTCTACGGATGACTACGTGCCTCTTCCATCCTCCCTCAACCTCAACGCCACAATTCAGTCCATGCAGTAATACCTCCTGCTCAACAGCATCGAGTTTGCGTCCGTAAGATGCCTCCGTCCCGTTGCCGAGGTCCAGCCCCACATCTCCCCACATCCATGCCATCTCTCTGGGGAATGACGCGGGGTGGCCAACGACGGCAGATGTTGGGTGGTATGTAAATTGGCGTACCTCCCAAGATCTTGATCAGCAGTCTCAGAAGACGACGCGGAGTAACAAAGAGCAATGTCAGCCGACGAGAATAACCTGCACCATCCTACATTAAGGCGGACCCTGCGTGGTGAACCTTCAGCATCGACAATCCAATTCCGCAACCTCAGATACGCATCAATACCCGCACGATATCAAGAACCGATTCCTGATGATATACTAGAAGTTGGGAAGGACGGAGTCTACGATGCTACCCAGTTCGGTCCATCATGTCCACAATTGCATGGAGCTCAAGCATGGGATTTGACCTTGATCGGAGACGCTGTCTTACCTTGCGGCCATGGTCAAGGGAAAACAGAAAACATGAACGAGTTTGATTGCTTGAATGTGATTGTCACAGTTCCAAAGGGTATTCAGAGCAATGAAAAGAGCAGAAGACGAGGGTTACCAGTATTTGTGTGGGTACATGGAGGTGGTCTCAGCATCGGATCGAACAGCTGGCCACAGTATGATCTACGCCGTTTGGTCGAGCGAGGTGCAGAAACCGACAAACCCTTCATTGGTGTCGCGATGGACTATCGACTGAACATCTTCGGCTTCCTCGCTAGTGACGAGATTGGCGCAGCCGGCAATATGGGCTACAAAGATCAGGTACTAGCTTTCAGATGGGTAAAAAAGCACATTGCTGGGTTCGGAGGGGATCCGAACAACATCACTGCTGCAGGCGAGTCGGCGGGAGCGATATCACTATCGACTCTACTCTGCGCCAATGTCGGGCAAGAGGGACTCTTCGACCGGGTTATCGTCATGAGTGGGGAAGCAACATTGCGTAAATGGAGGAACAGATGGTGGCAACAGAAGATGTACGAGGACCAGTCTACCTATCTTAAATTGGATGTCAAGGACACCGAGAGCAGACAAAAGATCCTGTTGAACACCGATGCGGAACAGTTGGCTCAGAAGCTACCCTTAGCTCAGCATTTCGCTGCGACAGTTGACGGCCAATTCATAACGCGTGAAGTCACGATCGAGACGATAATGGATGGATCAAGCGCTATACATAAGCCAGCCTGGTGCAAAGAATTCGTGATAGGAGACACAGAGCACGATGGGCTCATCGTCATCGGGCGACTCCTTGCTCAACCTGATAGCCATGGGCGCCTTAGGAAGGCATGTCAAACTCATCTGTCACCGGCTGAGACGCACGAACTGCTGAAGGCATATCGTCTCGATGGCGAGTCTCCCAAGAAAGATAAAGAGGACCGCATGTTAATACTTGGATCTGAATTACGCTTCTATCTGCCTGCGTTGGCTGCGTACCGAGGATGGAAAGCTTGCTCACCACCAAGACCTGCTTCACGATACCACTTCCACGTCCCTAACCCAATAGATGGCCCCCACAAAGGCCTTGCAGCTCACGAGCTCGACGTCGCTTATCTCCTGCAGAACTTTGACCCTCACTTCAGTGATAAAGATCGAAAAATAGCACGAGCCATGCAAGACCAGTTCATTAAATATGTTCACGGTGAAGGGTGGGTTGAGGATGGTAAAATGGTAGTATTCGACAAAGACGGTTCAGTTGAAGTAGACGACGATAGATACGACGAGATGTATCGCAGTGGAAGAGGAGCATTACTGGAGAGTATTGGGATGCAAAAGTTATGGCGTGTTGCAGACATGTGGCAAAGTGTGCGTCAGGAAGAAGAGGAACAGTACCTTAGTTCCTCTGGCGATTCAAAGCTATGATGAAAATGCATTTGAGTATGAGCAGCATTTTTCTGATCTCATCATGACTAGTTCACTCCTGTGTATTGGGGTCAAAGCTTACTTACATAGAGAGTATATCTCGTTCTACCGCGTGACGTAGGAAACACTCGCCTATTCACCTGACCCAGGTAACCATATTTCTTCATCATTATCGCACAAACTCCAGTATAAAAAGGGCACTAGGGCTGCATTCCCCTATTCTATTTCCCGTGAGCAACAATTTACTGTAGTTTATCTCTAACACCCTCTCGACATAAAACATGGAACTTCCAAATAGCAAGACGCTTCGCGCAGGGGATCATGTTTCACGAAATTCGCAGGAGGAGGCAGATGCCATGTAAGTGTTGGTCATGACGATTCTGCCCTTCCCATCGGGCCCTTGACTCACCAGCCTAGATTCCTACAGAACCAAGAAGCTTCACCACTGCTGCAACTACCTGGAGAAATCCGCAACAAGATCTACCAATACGCTCTTGGCGGTCATCACATCTATCTGAACGAGCACCAGCCCAGTTTCAAAAGGCTTATTATCCGAGGTGTTGATGGGAAACAAACATCCAAGGGTGACCTCTTCGCACTTGGCTACACTTGCCGACAGACCCACTCGGAGTCTGCAATCTTGCTCTTTAGTCTCAACGAATTCTTTGGCTACTTTTGGTCTAGGTTCGAAGTTCAGAGATGCGAATTGTTCTCGCCGAGCCAGCGCAACGCAGTACGTAACATCAGTGTTACGATATGTTGCTTCAGACACTTCAAGGGCAGTGAGATGATCATCGTTGACACGTTCGGTGGACTGGAGCGGATTACACTGGTGGCTGCTGCAGGTCAAAATAATGTAAACCTGCAAGGTGATGCAGTGAACATTGTCAGAATAAAACGGGAATTATTCCAGCTATTTGGTCGCGAGATGGAAGTTATCTTAAAGACTCGAGATACTTTATACAAGTAGTAAACAAAGGAATCTGGTGCTCTGTTGAACTGGGCTCGGGTCATCCGCCTGGCCATTGTTCACAACGAGACAGAAAGAGGTAATTCTCGGGCAGCTATAGAACAAAAAATGAGATTTGTCACATATGTTACGTCAAACATCCTCAGGTTCTATGCTCCCGCATTCATGCTAGCCTCATTGTACCTATCTAGACACACAACTCAAGCTCTCGGACGCCGTGTTGAGCTTCAAAAGAGCTCTTATCGTCTTTGAAGTTCGTCGTATTCTCTATATTGTAGGTCTTCCATCTCAATGGCAAGAGTCAGTGGCGCATGACTGTTGAGGTCTAGAGTAAAACACATCTTAAAGGTACCTGCTATGTCTCCTGTTGGTAGGCTAAGATGATGGAAGACTGTGTATACCTTTGCTTTGAGTATGCTGTGATCAAGGCACAAGACTGCGTACCATAATGTATGCTTGTTATCCATGTGCCATCGTATGCAGAAAATAGATTTGAAGGTTCGATATCCCACAAAACGTACTCGTGAAGCTATTCATTGCATTCCATGTTTTTGCACCAAAAGCACAAAACCCAGTAAGTACTTCTAGAGTTTATTATGGACACTAGAGTACATGCACCTCAGTAGACTTCTCCACCTCTGCCTCATCCTCCGGTCCTCTCACCCTCAACTCACTCCAAGCGTGAATTAGCACGCATCCAACATCTTCCGTCCACCATCATTTCCCTTCTAATTACGATTCGACCCACTGACGAAGTACACATTACTGGACCGTATATCTTCAACGCACGCACAAGCTCACTGACACGTAAAGAAAATGGATGCTCTCAGTGTCATCTGCAGATACTCAGAGCAAACACCGATGCAAGGGAAAGTGGAGACAGGAAAAAGGCAATGAAATAATGGTGGGCTGCGTAAAGCGCTAGCCGCGTGGTATCAAACACACTGGAAGAGAAAAGATGCAGCGACCGTGTAGCGGTCGACATAGAGTCAAAAAACAACCAAATACCCATCGATGATCGCAAACAGTAGGCGCGAGTCCATCCATCTAGTCCATCGCAACCGACCGAACGAAAGCGATGCAGGCAGGAGTCGAATTAACAACCTCAGCGGATGGGAACACCTGTAAAGTAAACACGGGGTAGCCAGTTGGGGTGGAGGCGATCAACCTCATGGAGATAATCTTGGAAAACCATTTCCTCCGTAGGATCCGGCCTCAGCAGTAGTGACTGACTCACGCGAGTCTCAACAGATTGTACAGGTCTACTATCAGTCGTAGCGACCGCATAGCCATTGTCCGTGTCCTGAGGTGCCGAAACATCAGCTTTAGCAACCACAGGGCCACTGGATGTGCCTTGTGCCTCTCCATCAGTATTCCTCGATATATCAGGAGGTCTAGAGGCGTTTAAATTGCTGGAGCCTTGGGTCCTGACAGGGTTCCGAACAGTTGCTCCGGCGGTAGCCTTCCTACGTTGCCTAGCCGGTCTGGGTATGATGTCGGGGCCGGGGAATAACCCAGTCGCTTCTTGCGGAACCATTCGATTACTATGCCGATGACCACGAGAAGGAAGGTAAGGACTAGGGCGATGGCGAGGCCAATGAGGACAATGGCCCATAGTGCGAGGTGCTTGTCTAAAATTCGTTAGTATACCAGCTATGCGCAGGATTGGCTTGAATGACTCACTGGATTGTCTGAAGAACGAGTTGGGGTTCTCCACAAACACAGAGGATAGGCTTCCAGGCTCCGTCGAACCATCCTGGCCCTTAGTAGCGAGAAGAAAAGGAGTGAGCGTAGTGCCGTTAAAGAGCACAGCAGATGCTGTTCCGAATGTAGTAACATTGATCCGACCCATAAGGAGGAGATCTTGATTGCGGTCGATAATATCGGAGTTGCCATGATCTTCAGACAAAGTGAGAACCTGAATGCCGCGGATGTCTGTCGTTTCGCCGAACATGGACCCATCAGCAGGCACCCACTTGGTACCATCAAATCGCTGCAAGTAAGCAGTGCCGTCGCTTCCGGTACCAGCGGCCCAGAATTGGTCTCCGCCACTATTGGCGATGGTAAGCGCAGTGACCGGACCAGGGAGGTCATTGGCACCAGGGACAACAGCAAATTGCCTGCTTGATGAGTCGTAGGTGAGGATCTTGGTCTCGTTGGTGCCTGAGGTGAGGTTACCAGCGATGAGGAGGCTGTTGTCGCCAACCCAAGTGAGAGTTGAGACGTCGCCAGAAAGACCGTTGCCGGGTGCGGTCCATTGGCTGCGCTCGGTGTTCCAAATACACACAGCAGCACAGCTCAAGGCTCCAGCGGACTGGAATTGACCTGCGACAAAGATGTCTTGGGACTTTGGTCGTGGGGCAATGGCGTTTACGGTGACATTGACACCCTGCAGCGGTGGCGGCTGGATGCTGGCGAATGCGTTGCTACTGAGGTCGTAGGCGACAATTCCAGCAATGCGATCGTTGTCAAGCTGACCGCTGATCATACCGCCGGCGTACAAGACATTGTCGAGTACAGCGACAGCTGCAAAGGTAGAATTAGCATCGAGCTCGTTGTCAAAGCCGGTCACCTTGTCGGAGTCGTTGCCATCGATGATGATGAGATTAGTGATGTTACGATCATCTGCGCCCGTGGTTGCAAAGTGACCAGCAAGGATAGTCTTGTTCATGCCGTTCTCCTTGTAGAAAGTACCGGTACGAACTCCGGTCGTGTTCAGGTTTTGTCCCTGAACAATGGCTCGCTTGCGAGAGGTAGTCTGCTGCTGTTGCTGTTGCGCTTGAATTTTGACGGGGAAGGCCTGGAGAGACAAGTCATCTCCAGTTTCTAGCTCAGCAGTACCACTTGCAAGGAGGGCGCCAGATGATACCGATCCGCCAAACCAACGTTCGCTTCCGGGGACATCAGCGAATGTCATCAATCTGCCGGACATGGCGAGAGAGTGGAAATCGAGGTTGTGGAGCCAGTTGCTACGAGAAGGCACCCAGATGGCGAAGTCATTAACACTGGTGCTGGGGTTATCGCCAAAGCCGTTGACCTGGCTGAAGAAGCCGCTGACAGCGAGGACCTCCTCAGGAGTGTTAACCGTGACGTTGAGCGAGAATGGTACCAAGTACAGAACGACACCGTCAACACCGGCTCCAAGGGGTTGCCACTCATCGTTGGTCAAAGCAGCGACTCCACCCAGGCCTGCTACGTTGTTCTCTGCAGTGTTGGTGAAGTTGCCACCAACGTAAAGCGTACTAGCGTTGTGGAACATTGTCATGACCTGGTTGTTGAGTCCCTTACCGGGAAGTGCTTTGGGTTGCGCTGATCCCTGTGGAATTGCGAAGATGTTGTTGCGGTCATCACTGCTGTTGAACGATCCGCCGACATACAAGGTCTGGCCACCCGTGGTGACAGTGGTAATAAGAGCCTTCTCACGTGGAGCAAGGCTGGCGCCGGCAGCGTTGATGACCGAATCCGCAAGGTCATCTGCATCTACAGTCTGACCAGGTTTGTATTCGAAAAGGCCGTTTAAGTTACCGGATGTGGCCTTCAAAAGCGTGAAACGCACCCTCTGTGCGACAACAGTCAAGGGACCAGGACCTTGGTTGCTTGCGGGCCGAAGAATCACTTGTGGACGGGTACCATCGGTGGCATCGATGTATCCGTTGTAGACTTCATCGTACTTGTCGAAGTTGTTCGTCTGCCACAGCTCATGGCCGGGATCACTCTGGCCGTCCATTATTGTCGTAACATTGACTCGACCACGGGTGCCACAGGTGCCGTCGCCCTGGCATCCAGGCGTGTAAATGGTCACTGAGTAGTTGCCAGATTGTTTGATATCGGGCAAGAAAGTAACGCTTGCAGCATCAGGGTTGATAGGTGAGCCCTGCAGAGTTGTGGTGAGATACTCGGAAGAACTGTCGTGCGATGGGGAAATCTGCCATGATCCAGTCGTGGTGGATTCCGACCTGGACGTAGTAGGACCGCAGTTTTCAGGCTCGTTGAACTCGTTAACTGCATAGGAGTACATGGCGTCTTGGAAGAGCTGGATGCCGTTTAGACCGCCACCTTGGCCCCACCAGTCCGAGATGTCAATCCTGAAGGCATTCATGCCCACGACGTTGACAAAGGTGAACTCCTGCGCAGTGGTGTTGCCCTCGGGTAAGGGGCATCTAGCGTCACAAAAGGCCGGTCGTCCGCTCTCAGGGTCGGTGTAAGTCAGGTTCAGGATTCCACCGTCTGGAAGAGCTGTGAAGCGGAAAGTCTTGCTACCACGGCCCTGATAGTCCGTGTTGTAGAGCTTCATGCTCGTTGGCTCGAAACCGAAGCCAAAGTCGGCCTTCCAGAATCCGGGTGCTCCGTCGGAGAGCAGCCACGTCGAATCGGCGCCCTGTGTGGAGAAGTCGGCTTTGCATGCGATGCTCTTGGGATCCGAGAATCCGGGCTGGCCAGAGCTCGTCTGGGCGGAGATGTCTGCGCTTCCAATGGGGATGATTTGGGTGTTGTTGTCGCTGGTCACAGTCGATGCATTCATGCCGCCTAGGCCGTTGAACTCTCCTCCGAATATTATGTTGTCATTAGACTGGATTATCGAGTTGATGGGGCCGTTGAAGCCGTTGAACGACAGGTCTTCCCAGCCGTTCTTCCAGATGAGTGCGTTGGATGAGTTTGCGCCTTCCAGACTGCCTCCTACATAGACTTGACTGCCAGCTCTATCGCAGTAGAGTGCGTTGACGGATCCGGTGAGGCCTTCCAGTGCCTCTATGTTGCCGTTGGCAGGGTCGAGCAGCGCAATGCCTCCAGGGGTACTCAGGTCGTCGACACCGGTGAAATTGCCTGCAAACATGATCCGCTCTGCACCATTTACCTGAAGGGAGCACATGGCCTTGATATCGCCGTCTGTGCTGTTGATAGTCGCGAATACGCCATTGGGATAGCGTGTAAGGAGGGCTCCTTTGCGGCCAGGAGTGTTCTGATTTTGGCCTTCATATTGGTATAGTGATATTGAGTCAAAGTCTCCAGCGAAGGCTATCCGGCCTAGATCGTCAAGGTTGAGGTTGGGGCTCGGGACAGGCTTGAAACTATATGCGGCAGCTTGCGATGCCACGAGCAGCGAAAGGGTGAGCTTGCCGGCCGCCGTGCGCAGAAGGTCAGCGAATGACTCCTTCATGGCAGCGATGGGTAGCGAGGTCGCTGTGAAGAATAATGTGTGGTAAGAGAGTGTCGAGGGCGACTGTTATGAAGAGGCCACGGCAGGCATGGGAACGGGTGTCGGTGGGTGGGGAGGCAGGTGCGGTTTGCTCAGGGTCGTCGCGATCGCTGGATCGGGCAGGTTGGAGGATCTGCAGGTCGCGGTATCGCTGCCAATTAGCCTAGGGGAGGGCGCGCGATTGCCTCTCGAGTCGATTATATACGGCAGGTGCGAGAATGGCGAGAGTCGGACGTTGCTGCGATGGAGGCGTTCACGGGTGAGGAGCTGCCGGAAGGAGCTTTGCTTGGCGCGCAAGTGAATGTGACGGTGACGGTGATGGTACCGGGGGGTTGTATTAGGTGCAGTTTGCTGGATTGCTGCTTTCTTTGCTGGATTCTTTCTGAAACGAATGACTGAGGTGAGGGATACGTGTGCGTGAGGGTGTCTGGGAGCCGGCTTCCCGCTGTGGCACTGCTTTTTGGGAAGGGTTGTCAGAAGAGCCGTCAATCGCGTCGAAGGGAAGGGGCGCCCGGGGCTGGAGCTGTGCGCTGATGAGAAGCTGCCAAGTGCTGACGTGATTGGTGGAGACAGTGGGCTAGTGGATCCTAAGATTGAGCTTGCAGTAGCGTGCATGTGCGAACTGCGACGATTGAATATCGATTCGATAGAACAGACACGTTCAATTCAAGCATGCAGGGTACTCGCGGTAACGTCTTCTCGAGTCTCCTCGACGACGGCCGTTGTTGGGAGCAGCAGACCAGGACGCGTCGATTCTTGCGCCGTCGTCATCCAACTCGCCCCTTTATCCCAGTACGAGTACCTCGTAATGCCCGCTATATAGCCGCTGCAGGGCGGTGCGACTAACAAGTTGACGACGCACCATCCCGTCATCGTGGCTGGGGTAGTACCATGTTCTTGTGCAGTATCCAAATCATCAATCGTCTTTGTGTGACCATGGTCGCACATGTCTTCCACTGCTTTCACCCTTCATCGACCAACCGCCTTGTTCACTAACATTGCTCTTCGGCGCCTTTTCTTCTTACACCCGAGACTCCTAGGCGTTTGGCATTGATGCCTCAGGCGCCCAGAACTCCACTTTGAACATCGTGAATGCAGCGACATTTGCAATTCACATTCCATCATGGCACAAGGTCATTGTCATGTACTCGTGCATCACTCTTGCCACATCACTCAAACTTATTTGATAAGATAGGCTGATGATGTGATCGCCATGTATTTTCTTGATCGTAACGCACGGCCACCTCTTTTACCCTGGTCCGTATCGCTGTCAACGGCCACGACGGCGTGTTTCACCAACATATCCCGGCCGCTCCTGAGACCCAACCGTTATGCTTGACCCGGTCGAGCAAAGTCCGACCCGTCCGTACCAAAAATACACCCAAGGCCTTCTTGGACCTAGACCATGGAACGCGTTTCGATACGAGGCAATGACAACGTTTGTAGCAAGACAAACTATACATTATTGTACTGAGAGATATTGTCGTCATGTGTCCGTCTATTAGAACAATCCAAACGCCGCGCTGATGCTTATAAAAACAAGAACTGCTTCATGTCGGCACTCGGCCTTCTTACATCATCGACTGCTCCTTCTCGACATCCCCAACCTTGTCCTTGTCTACAAATCCCCTCTCAGTGTCCATAGCACCATTCATGTCGTAGGCTTTGATGAACCAACTGCCGAGGAAGGCCACCGCACTGAACACCAACATGACAATCCAGATGTATTTTAGGGCATCCGTGTAACTTTCCCTGAGCTGCTCCTTCATGTCGCCGGCAGGCATTTCCTTGATGATTTGGACCAGGCCTGCTGCGTCTCGAGAGTACTCGACTGCCAGGTCAGCAAGAAGAGGGTACGTGAGCATCTTCTTTTTCATCTGGTTCTGGAAGATGACACCGCCAATGGCAACGCCAAGCGTTTGTCCAAAAGCGCGGAAGAAGGAGAACATGTTCGCGGCATAGGCTTGGTCTTTGGCAGTTGCTGAAGCCTGTACGGCCAAAGCCATGGCAGGGAACAGAATACCCGTCCCCACACCACCAACGAGGTTTAGGAAGATCCAAGAGACTGTCGACGTGTTCGGCTTGAGAATAATAAGGAGACCCATACCGAGTGTAGCGAGAAACCATCCGGCGCGGTTTGCCCATCGGTAATGTCCCGTGACTGCAATGGCGATACCAGTTGCGACTGACGCTGGGGCCACGGTGAAGGTCCAAGGGAACATTGCAACTCCAGCAAGTATCGGACCAAAACCTCTAACTGCTTCGAAGTAGAGTGGCATGTAGTAGAGGATAGCCCACAGTATGATTCCATGAATAACCGTAGAGACGTAAAGTATGGCGGCTGACATGTTCTTGAACACCGAAGTGCGGATGAGGGGATTGACGGCAAAGAACTCGATATACACAACGAATGCGACCATACCCGCGGCGCAAACGATGAGTGGTACAAGCGTACGCCACGAGTCCCAGGGATACTGTACTCCACCCCAGGTGACAGGAATTAAGAAGCCGGTCGTGGAGGCGAGAAACAGCACCATGCCAATCCAGTCAACTTCTCGAAGCTTGACAAGGAAGGAGCCATGCTTCTGGTTGAGCTTGAGGAAGACAGTGATCAAGGCAGCACCGAGACCGAGGAATGGCAGGTTGATCCAGAAGATCCAGCGCCAAGACACGTTTTGGGAAAACCCACCTCCTGTGTAATGTTAGAACAGCTATTGGGATATAGCATGTGTGACTCACCTAGTAGAGGCCCTGCCACTGTGCCGACCGACCACATAGCTCCGAAGAAGCTGAACCACTTTCCTCGTTCTCGAAGTGGTACGGTGTCAACTACGACCATTTCGGTCAAGCAGATAATGCCACCACCGCCAATTCCTTGAATCGATCGACCAACCAGGATGACGGTAAAGTTATTGGCCACGGCGGGGATGATCGAACCAGCTAGGAAGAAGCCCAGACTGACATAAATAAGTGCTTTGCGCCCAAAGATGTGCGAGAACGATCCGAGGACAGGCTGGAAGACAGTCGATGTCAACAGGAAAGAAGTTCCGCTCCAGAAGGCTTCAATAGCAGACCCGCCCAATGCTTTAGCCATAATCTAAGAACTTTAGCACGGTGAAGAACAGTCGGTCTGACCAACTTACTGGCAGCGCAACTGAGATCGAAGTTGCATCCAATGCGGCCATGAGTGTGATGATACAGAGACTACCAAAAGCAGCCAGGAAACGCCATCCAGGCTGAAACTTCTCAGGCTCCGGCGCCCTCAATTCTCCAGACGCTGAATCGCTCAAAGGCTCTGATTGAGGTATCTCGGGCTTTAGGTCGTCCCCAATGGACTGCGAAGAAGGGTTGGCCATGGTATGGTGGTTACTGAACAAGTTGCGAAAAAGGCGAGTTCAAGTATGTGAGGTGGATACGAGGCTGACACACAGCTGAAGTCAAGAGGCTTGCTATGCAAATGCTGAAGCTGTGGTTGTTCAGCTGATTATTCTCCATGGCGCAACTATCGGTCTAGATATACTTGTGGCATATCAAGACTGCGAGACATGACGGACGAAGAAATCACTTCGTCGGCGTAAAGTCAGCGCGCTAAAATTCCATACACACACACATCTCGGGACAACGTTGAGTGTAGGATCTGTCTACCGGGCATCTTACTTCAGCCTCAGGTCTTCGCACTAACCCCTTTGCTTCATTACCTCGCGATAAGCGAAGAGGTGGACAGTGCAGCAAGACTTTGGCTTACAGTCATCCCAACGACACGGCCAGAATCTGTAGACTCGTCGTCCGAACCAATAGCAAACAGTCCAGAATAGCTCGTATCGGGCTCAAAATGCGATATGGCGTTATGGCGCAAAGACGTGCAGCGCACATGCGATGCCTAATGACGAACCACACCCAGTGCTGAGGCGGGGAGTTATTCACCCGACTTAGGCCAACCTGAACAGGCGGACTTTCGAGTCTCCCCGATCAAATCACAAAAATGTTGTTGCCTGGGAAGACAGATGTCCATCTTATCAATCATGGCGTTGTGAAAATGAACAAACTAAGATGTGTAGCATATCGATGTACGCAAGGAGCAGTGCAGATCATGGTTGTCGAAGGGCAGTCCTCGGCCCTGGTTGAGCGCTAGTCACAGATCCGGCGCATAGGCTTGGCATTGCTGAGATGAGCAAAGTGACGTGTGCACTTGTCCCACCAACTTCAGCCAACAACGGTGAACATGTCAGACTGGCCAGTATACCACCTACAACCACGAGTTAGTGTTGAACAACGCATCCTCACCTTTGGAAACTAGCGTTCGGCGATGGCTGAATCTAGATATACCCACAAGAAGCCAGTAGGGGACTGCCCAGATGTGCTTGGGGACCACAAGTCCGCGCTCCGGACGCCTTGGTGCTTCACCGATTGAGAAGCAATGTTGATATTTACGACGGACTGGCAGCGGAGCGACCGTGTACAGGTCTTGCTTGGGCCAAAGCGTGGCTGCGTTCGTCCCGCAATCTCCAAATTGGAATTGCTATTGACCTTTGTTTTGCGATAGGGCACCCCTAAGCGAATCCGCTTCTGTAAATCAACACGCGTGATGCTCCATACCTTCTTCTTTGTTTGGAAGTCTTCTAGAAGGCTTTTAGATCGAGTACTGTGTTTTATTAATTTGTAATTGCTCACGACGACCGAGGAAAGGCGAGAGCATCTATCGTTCCCTGTCAGTCATCGCGTTTCGAAATCACCACTGCCCAAAAGCATGGACAGAACCGTGGGATCCTTCAAATCCTTCATACAAACAGTACCACCAAATCCAAACACATGGAGCGACATTTCACCGTTGTCTCCAAGTGACCAGACATTACCACCATTGTTTGTGCCACCGAATCCGAAGCCGAAAGATAGCGCTGTTCATGTCACGTCCTGGAGAGCGCCTACTGATTGGAACCTAAGCTCACCTAGTCAGCCCTCTCCGAAGAATCCAGTCTCTACGGCTCGTACATTCTCTCCATTGATCCCGGAGCCTTCTCCTAGTACCTGCAGTTCAAGGGCAGAGTCTGGATCCTGGCCACTCGAGACGAGAACCTTTCAATCTCCGCGACTGCAGCCAATACATCCAATCCTCGAATGCAGACCAGAACCACCACCACTCTCGACAACATCTCCGCCTGTCCAGACGCCCTCACTTGAGGGAGACTCAAAAATTCTTCTTTCGCCTATCAGAGACAATCAACTTGTGTGTTCTTCAACTAATACTGAGGCTGCACATCCGGTTTCACACTCCCCTTTGAAGCCAGGACTACAGACCTGCGAAAATCCTTCTGCAGATACAATATATCAATTATCGGATGTATCGAGAAGAGCGAAAGCATATGTATCACTGGGAATAATGCTGCCAAGTGATACTAGAACTGGATGGCAATACTGGTCTTCCACCCCGCACGTCGACAATATTGCAGAAATATCCCGATCGTTGCAAGGAAAGACGATCCCACCATTATATCGCACAAGCCCCTTTATGGACGATGAATGCGAAGATGAGGAGCTGAGTGATAGAATGCAGCTTTTGAGCTTCTCGCAAGATTATCATGACGTGCTGGCGGATCAGTACCATGAGTGTAGGGCTCCTCGGCCTCGAAGCAGCTCGTTGAGTGCAACTTCATCAGGGTTCTTTACCTGCGGCTGCATATCCATTCCAATCTTCCGATTGAGAACACATGAGCTGTTACCAGAGCCCTTAGCATGGGGAAAAGGCTCCGGCTGGCGATCAAAGCACAAGCAATCAAACCGCTGGACATCACTACGTCAAAGTGATCGAGAGGGTAGACGACGATCTGTTGACGAAAACCTACCGCCGCGCGCTACAGAAGGATCGACATATCGACGTCGAAAGCGCATTCCTGACATAATATCTCATGCAAAAGTTCTGAGAGGGAGCAAACGACGTGCTGGGTCTATGGAACTGGCAGAGCGCAGAGACCTTTCCCAAACATCCCGAAGACTGGCTTCGGGTTCGTCTTCAGAGGGAAATGGCAGTCTTCTGATCCGACTTCCGAGAGGATTTGCCTTGGTGCGCCTGTCTCGAGCTACCACATCACACTCTGAGGCAACGTACGACTACGGTACTACCACGCATGAGGATCACCGACAGAAGTCCAGTGCAGTGTCTGATTACCCGTGGCGGAGGTCATCTTTCTACAATTCGTCTCCACCGTCTTCTCCTTTCCCTTACGACATCCCACCGCCGCTTCCGGTCAATTTAGTGAATATGTCGGAGTCTCGACTAATTCGTTCAGCATCGCAGGCTAGCGAAATGTGGACTGAAGAGAAATGTAACAGTATACTACCAGCCGAAGAGACTGTAAGTCGTGGTCTCATGGATAGAGCACGGGATATGCGCGACGCCTGGCGGAGGCACCAGAGGGAGGTCAGACATGAAAAGATCAAGCAAAGTATTAAAGTACTTGGCCTGGTCGAGCCGGCATCAGTAGCAGGCTATACGAAGTCGTGGGGTATGCGGTTAGGAGATGTTCCTGGCGACGAAGATAGAAGCACGAGCTACAAGGCTTAGAGATCAGTACACACGTCAAGAAGTAATGTGTTATATATAATTACCGACGAGAATCTGCAAGATAAATTTCCAAGCTTTGCATCACCCAAGCATAAAGCTTGTATCCTCACATACATTTAGGGCTTGAGTCTGAGCTAAATCCGCCCGAATCCGCTTAAACCCGTAAACGATTAGTGCGTGGCGCCCACTCCGTTCCGTTTTTTCCACGTACGCACCTACATGCACGCTACATCTATTCAGCATCAACGTCATCTCTTAGCGCAATGCAGACACTAACCATACCTGCTTCTGTCAGTAAACGCAAGCAGGCCTGTAAAAGCTGTCGGCAGCGTAAAAAGAGATGCGATGTAAGTCCACATCATCGTCGCATGTCGGACGAGAGCTGACGATAAGTCGCTTACTGTAGGCAGAACACCCGAGTTGCTCTTTGTGTAGGAGATGGAATCTCAAGTGCGAATACTCGTTGCCGAAGTTAAGTCGAGACAAGTACACACCATCTACAAGTCGTTTAGAGCATCATGCACCAGCATCACCAGCTTCTGCTCTTGGCTTCGATCCAATACAGCTGGAATCACCGGACCTCATCCAGTTTCCCGGTGCTCGCCTTTCAACATCCATAGCTCTCAGTATACCATACCCTACACCGGCATCTGCTGTGGAGCAGTTGGACGATATGCTGGACTTCCAAACAATAGACAGCTTCCAGCTACCGCCACAAAATGTCATTTTCCAGCTCGTCGAGCTCTTTTTCGAGCACCTGTACCACACTTTTCCTTGTTTCCATAGGAAGAGTTTCCTGGCGAAGTTGGAACGTGGCGACTTGGAGAAAGACGCACCACTTCTTCTGTATGCCATCTGCTGTGTAGCGGCCAGACACCACCCTGAGCAGTCCATTCAGAAGCGCTCGAGAGACTGGTACGAGCAAGCACGCTTCTCTTACGAACTCACCCGGCGAAAACCGGAGCATCCTCTGCACACAGTTCAGGCTGTATTACTTCTTGTGTTTCATGCTTGGACCATCGGTGACTACTCTGCTAGCTGGCTTTTCTTGGGAAAAGTTTGGAGACAAGCAGTCGTGCTCGGCCTAAACCGTATGGATGCTAGCGACCATCTATTGAACGCGAGGATTGACAATGAGAACTCATATGTTTTTGGCAAAACAGAACCTCACTCGACAGTTGAGCGAGAAGAGTACCGAAGATCACTTTGGTTGCTGTTCATAATGGATCGGATGAATTCATGGCCAACAGGATGGCCTAACGCGATACCGGAGATGCAGTTCAAGGTCGATATACCGATTGCTGATACGCTATTTCAGAGCATGGATCCAGACTTGGAAGTCAGCTCTTTTAACAACCTGCCATTTACCAGGAACCTATCGCGCCTCATAGAATCCGTAAAGGCTGCAGAAGGACCATTGAACGTCTTCCATTATGTGATCGTTGCACATGTCTTACTCGGTCGAGTTTCCGAACTGCTGTATTCCCTACACAACGCTTCGGACAGCCTCGAATACGCTGAAGACTGTACTGCACTGGACAATATGATTGTGAAATTTCGATTAAGTCTTCCGCGTCCAGCAAGTTCGGTCCTAGAAGCGCCCCCAGCTGACCGCGGTCATGTCGTTTGGCTGCATGTCATTCTCGACACCATGGCCATTCTACTTCATTACCAAAGTAACACAGCTTTTTCGGTGCAGGAGGCAGCTTCAAAGTTTACACTAGCTGTAACAGCGGCTCGTAATATTGCGCAACTCGTCAAAGATACGTCACGCATATCCATCGATATTTTGCTCTCAGCGCATATCGGATCGTCGCTCTATGCGGCAGCCATTGTCCTTGTTATCCAGTGGCGCCTGACTGACGATAGTAGCTTCAAAGAAGACATTGACTTGTTTATCCTTGTATTCGAACGCATGAACGAGGTCTTCAGCTTTCTAGGCTTGAAGCTCAAGATAGCGCTAGAGCATGACTTGCAAAGAAGCGTAAAAGACCTTCAGAGTCTACGAGAGCGTGGATTCAAGGGTATGTTGGCTGATTGTACTAAATGGAATCACGTCAAACAAGAGGTTGAGAGAAGAGGTATCGAAGTCGATCTCTCATAAAAGGCGCCAGTAACGATGACAATATTTATGGTGCAGTTGATAATAAATGGCGTCTCCGAAGGAGACATGATGCTACGTGTCTGTATCGCAGTAGTCCAATCTCGGCACTTCTCACTCTGGACCAACCAGCATACGTCCGCCGTCACTGTTTACCACTGTCCCGTTCGCGAATCTGTCTTTCATGACCCAACCATACGCCTCTGCGATATCTTCTGGTTTTCCAAACTCTCTCAGCAGACTAGCTCCTCTCTTGAACTTCTCGATGGCTTCGGGAGAAGAACTGTCTATCAGTTTTTGTAATAGTTCCGTATGGATTGCGCCGGCATTGACGATGTTCGTGCGGATGGGATTAAGGTCTACCGCAAGACCGCGAGCCAGGCCTTCAAGCGTTGCACCAAGTGCTGCGGTTATGGTCCAGTCAGGCATTGGACGGTGCGTAGTTGTACCTCCTGTGATTGTGATGGAGCTGTTGGAAGACTTGTGCATGTAATCACCAGTCTCAATGAGTTTGGCCAGCACACAAGCAGCGACAAAGCGGACTGTCCAACCGTTCATCAGCGTGTTGACATCTATTTCCGCAATCTTGGGCCGTTGAACCGAATCGCCTGCTAGGAACGCGATATGATCGATCTTCTTCTTGCTGCCCTGGGTCGCCTTATCGAGCATAGCCTTCAGATTGGATTCCAGGTTCTCTTTGTCGAGAAGGTCAACGGCGAAGCCTGCTACGTTAGAGGCTGGGTAGTCCGGGTACAGGGATCGCAGCATTTCGACTCTGGTATCGACCTTCGCTTGGGTAGACCCAGATATGGTCACAAATGCACCATTTGAGAGGGCCATGTTGGCAACGGCATATCCGATCCCGGAAGTGCCGCCAAAGACAAGGACGTGGGCATTTGCGAGACGGTTCTGGTGCGCCATTGTAAAGTAATAAGAAGTCTTGTGGAGAGTTCAATTGATGTTTAGTTAGGATGGAAGATGGGAAGTCTGTGATGGACTTCAAACATGGACATGGCCGTCACTTTTATATATAGTAGTATCAGTCCAGCGGCGGACCTCACACCTACTAGCGGCGCAGAAGATGTGAGAAGCCCTTGTTTCACCGCACATTCACATCATAGTCTGGCGGGTAGCGGCGGGTTCGGACATATTGTGACGGTCTCCATGGGCACCAAGGGTTGGTAACAAGGCGGGCTGGCGGCGACGCTAATGTATGAGCGGTGCGGCGGGGTGTTCAAACCACTTGCGCACTGCTACGCATCGTCACAGACAAGGAACTTGTGAATCTGCTGCTGTATTCTCCTGTTCTACCAAACAAAATTGGGAAGATGGTTCATCAAGATTGTCCGTGCATGCAGCTCAGCACTCAAATCGTTACTACATCGACCAATCGATGAACCTCATGAAATATTCCGGGCTCTGTCAGACAAGCGCACCAAGCCCTTGCTGGTGTTTTGTAACTGCCCAGCGTCATATCTAGGCTGTTGAGACCCTCCAGAGAGCGTTCGGCATCTACCTACAGCGGTTCTTCCCTGAAAATAATTCGTACACCTTGACCATCCTTTTCCCTAATCTTTTCGGTGATGTGACTCCGAGCAGATGACCTGAATCTCACAACATAGATCTCTTCAAGCGCCGGCAAGTCTTTTCCGAATGACCCGTGATATGTCCCATTAAGATAATGACAAAGGTCATAATAGTTAGGCTCTATGGATCGAATCGCCGAGCGCTGGGCAACATTGCGCTGAGTAAGCCATTCAACAAGTATGCCTGTATGGGCGTGGGAAATCAGCACATGTATCACAAACATATCGTATCAAGAAGTTGCCTACCATTCGATCGATGTTCATCGAAATATTGATGCAGACCTTGGGTATAAGGAAGTATGAAGATATTGGTGGCGTAACCTAGTGTAGCAGTCTCTGCATAGATCTGACGGCAGACTTCTGGGAGGTGAAATGCAGTGCCTTGATCCTTGAATCGGCGATCGTCTAAGTGATCCGCTCGGCCGTGCCATAGTAAGTTGGAGTTTTCGCGCCATTTTTTTGATGTTCGATAGACGACTGCGCGCCGAATTCGTATTTTGTTTCCGCCAACTGCGTAACGGAAGATCGTGTTTCTGATCTCTGCAGGTAGTCGAAGTAGAGGGGAGTCCGTGGCGTTCTTTTGGATCCTGAGCAAGTCAGTAGAGAAATTGCTAGCGTAGGAATACCATCCCCACGTTTCAACTAGGTAGTCAGGAGTTGTTTCCATGCTGACAAGTCCATTCTCGAGATGCTTCAAGGGGTAAGTGCGACCTCGTGGAGGCTTTAGTCTACTAATTTGTTGCGACCCATTAAGGTTCTTCGACTTTGTAGGCTTCCTAGACGCGACCCTTGTACGTGGACGCGAGCGTTTGTTGACCTTTGAGGGTTGAAGTATATTCGAGGCTGGCTTCTTCATCTTGGCAGATTGGGAGCGTGTCGTGGGCGCCATTATCGATGGATTGCTTGGTGAGTCGAGCAACAGAGAGGTCGAGTTGATATGACCGGTGTAGTCCGAGCGCTTCAGTCAAAGGGATCGTAGTCTGAGGAAAGCAATGACGTACGCGGTATATGTTCCATTGCAAACGGAAAACGCGAGTGCGCTTTATAAAGCTTTGACTCAGGTAACCTTTAGATTACCTATTTGACCTTTCCTATGCAATCACTCACCTACACGCCACCCTACATCTGCGAAGGCGGAGACTCCATCAACGATAAGCAACTCATTTCGTCCTACGTCGTCGGAGTATCAAGCCCGCATGTAAGACTGGTGTCAACTAGGTGAGATGAGATGGGCGACTGACTCCCTGTTCTAGCACTGAGCGGAACGCACGAGACTCACTGCTACTGCGACTACCTGCCGAGCTCCGCAATCGAATCTACAACTACGTTTTCGACGCTGTGCGATTCCGTGTCTATGAGAGCATCCTATATATCGATTACTTTCTTCCACAACACGCCTGCCCTATCACTCGCTACGAGGCCAAGGCCCGGTTTGGTATACCGTCTACGTGTCGTCAACTGTACGCGGAGACAACGATTTTGAGCCGTCGCTCTGTCACCTATGAGTTCATCCATCCAGCAGAGCTCACTGCCTGGACAAAGACCTCACCGCCGCACATCAGGGCGCATGTGAAGGAAATATCTTTCCAAGAAGGCTAAGGTTGGTGTTTTGACAGGCGTGTCGGCTTACTCTTCGACTGTTATTCTAAGAACGTTCTCGGGTTAGACAAATTGGTGGAGGCTTGTGAGTTACTACAAGGCTTGGAGTGTGTTCAACTCGCTACCCGGGACAGGACCGACAGGACCCATCTCAGGGACACAGAGTTTACTGCGGCCATTGAGAATCTTAAAGCAAGACTCACTAAAGAGGATGGAAGAAAGGTGGAAGTCATCCTGCAGTGTACTCTTTAAGCGGTATTCTGGTTGTCTTGTCTTCTCTTACGCAACTTGGTCACCTGGCGGCGCCGCGCTCGAAGAAAGTAGTGCACACATCAATGTAGGGTCTGTCGTCATGTTCCTATGAAAAGGCGGTACTTGGAGGATTGAGCGTGACGCAGTGCCGTGCATTGGCCTGGGGAAAGTGTAATCGTTGCTTGGGTATTGGAGCGTAGTAGCTCCACTAGACCATATATTGCCTCTGCCAGAGAAGAAAGTTGATGCCCATTTGTTGAATGAGATAGTCCAGTCCTCGTGGGTATACCGCTGGAGCTAGGATTGATTCGATATTATCTATGCCACACTGTTCATCTCCATGTGCAACCATGCTCATCCTACCGACCCATGCTGTTGATCATCTCCCTCTGTGTCGCACGGTCGCGGTTTGTCTGGCTGAGCGATGGGATGCTCCTCAGATCTCCGACAACGTCCTTGGCCTTTCCAAAGTACACCTCCTGCAGCAGATTGCGCATCTTGAGCTCCATATCCTCGACCATCTTGCCAATGTTGGCGACGTGCGAGGTGTCATCCTCAACAGCCATGTCGGCTTCGACTTGGCGCACCATATTACCGGATAAGTCAAGACCGCCGAGTGTTTCGCTGTCGGTGCCGAGGGACAGGATGACAGTAGAGGTGAGCTTGTAGTGAGAGGTGCGTGCGCGGTCTTGGGCGTCGAATACGTGAATGCTGTCCCAGCTGCCAGAGCTCTTGGGGGTAGGGTTGACGGCTGCCTGCATTAGCATGTGACGGTGGCACACGAGAAAGATTGCATACCCTTCTTCAGCAGAACACATCCCGCGAAGCCATCGTCCATGTCCCACAGGTAGACACTCGATATGCCGCCCTCGAAGTACCTGTCGGTATCAGCCACGCTCCACCGGCCACGCCTTTACTCTGCATAGACTCACAGCTCCCTGTACACGTCAAAGGCCTCGTTCGCCTTGACCTCCATCTTACGGACACGATCACTAGGTGTGACACCCTCCTCAATGGGCGGCTCGAACTCATTGCTCCATGGACTCCTCCAGCTGTCGCCGTCGCGGTTGTAGTCGCAGCACAGGAAGTCGCGCTTCGTCTTGGAGCACTTCTTCACGGTAAGCGGGATGTCGACGGATTCAAGCAGGTCTTCTTCGAGCGAGGGGTTGAGCTGGATAATGTGGTCGACATTGCGCTTAACGTCCTTTGGGTTCAGTCGGCGCAGGAGGTCGCTAGGACGAGCTGTTAGCTACAAACATGGGGAATGCGGGGTGCAATGCGACCCACAGGGCACTGTCGATAGGGTCCGCCATGATTCTGATCCGTGTCTTGGGAAGGTAGCGGTCGGGCGTGATCAGGGTCGGGTTGCTCGAGTATCGTTTAGCTCCCAGGCCTGGCCCCTCAATCTCCAGCGGCTCCTCTGTCGGCGATTCGGGTGTTGGCACTGCGTCCGGGTCCCACGAGTCATGCGTGTAGTAGCTCACCCGGCGGCCCATCTTGGTAGCGCGTCACTCCACTCAACCTCACTGTTACTCTCTTTTTGGTCGTCGCCGGCTTTTGTCTTATAAAGAATGTTGTTGACAGGTTTGTGGTAGTGGCGGCTTGCTGCTTTCTCCTTCACCCAGCAATCGCGGCTGTCTCCATCGGGAAAGAACAGAGCTGCCTTGTGGCTTCCCCTGTAACTATCACCACATCAAAGGGTATCTCTCACATCCAAGCACACCAAGCTGGGCTCACCTCCACGAACTCTGATCATCAAACATGCCAGAGGATGAACCTCCTACGGCTAGTACGGCATCGTCCCCAGTGATATTGCCCCCTGCCCAAGCCTGATGTGAGACCATCGCAATTCACCCTCGCCTCGCCTCGACATCACGCACATGTACGCGTTTGCTGGTGCGTGACCAATAGGATGTGCTCGTTTCAGAAATCTCATCATGGAAACGTAGGTGAGGTTGCATTCTGTATCTGTGTGCGGCCATCTTCGATAATCTCTCACTTTCACCTGGCCGCCATCTTCATCGTCGCGCTAGTGAGCTTCTCTCGAGAACATAGTCTACCTTTACGCCTCTTTTTTATCTTCTATCATCCATCTGTGACAACGAAATATTTCGACCAGCAGCCAAACAGAAACCAACAGTTGAGAATGTCTGACAACGACAACGCCGCCGCCAATGGCTCTTCTCCCCAGTTCACCGAGCGCGAGCTACAGCTCCTCGGATGGGCTATGCAGTCTCTCAAGTCTGGTCCTCCAGAGGTATGTGTCTAGTCTGTCTCCTCTTCTAGTGCAATACTCATAGTCATCGTAGATTGACTACGAGAAGCTCGCTGGCTATGCTGGAATGAGCAACCCGCGCTCTGCTAGCAACGCCTGGGCCAAGATCAAGCTCAAGTTGATGACCCCCACTGCCGATGGCACCGCCCCAGTCACCCCAAAGAAAACCCCTCGCAAGAAGGCTACTGCTGCCAAGCAGGAGGATGACGGCGAAGAGGGCGCAGACGCTGCAACTCCTAAGAAGACCCCCCGCAAGCGCGCCCCCAAGAAGCAGGATGTCGACGGCGAGTCTTCGCCCAAGAAGAAGGCCACCCGCGGCAAGAAGAACTTGAGTGCCGATAGTAAGTCCGCCTCCGGGTAAGAACAGATGTAGTGCAAAGCTAACACACCATAGCTGTTAAGGAGGAGTCTGACGAGGACCTCAACCCTGACGGTTCGCCGATGAAGATCGACCCAGCCGAGCCTAAGGAGGAGATTGTGGACGATGTCGTCTAGGTTTCCTCTCGGTTTGGGCTACTGTTACTTTTCTTTGATCAAGCCATGTTCCTTTCTGACCCCGGCTGTGAGAAGGCGTTGCGCGATGTCTTCTTCTAGTGACGTAGCGCACAATGGCGAAAAGGACTGGTTCTCAAGGGCTCGTGTAATGAAAAGATTCATTCTCATCTCAGCATGGCATTATGGAGTGTTAGGGAAACATGCATGGTTTTCACAAACGGCGTAAGGCAGTTGCATCATTCGCATGTTAGCAATTGCAACCGCACATTGCGCACCTCCAATACATTTCTTCATGCCGAAACGTAATCTTTTAAGAAATATGGATATTTTGCAGTCTTTCCCTCTGGTTCGACATCCAGCAAGCACTGTATGCGTGCCGATGCGCATACACCCTGGTCTGGGGTCGTCTAGCCGGATATTACCCAGATTCTCCAGTCCGACGCAGCTCATCTACGCATAGTATTTACGCTACCATTCACTACACCTCTGTCGAACTAATGACAACAGTCATTACAATTAAAACAGCTCATTCCATAACCACAATATGACGCGACGCAATCGAGAAGCAAAGAGACTCATAGACAACGCAATGCCGTCGTTGATGGAAAACAAGTCAAGGCTTGTGAGACACACTCATGCTTCGTACCCAAACCTAGCTGACATGCATTTGAAGGGTGGCAATTATACCACAAAAGCTTTCCTCTCGTTCTCCATCCCTCTTTCAGCTGTTCTCGCTTTGTACTTGGGTTTTCGGCAGCCACTCCTTCCTGTACTGCGTTCATACTTGCCCAGGCGACTTGATGTGTATCTCCCTGCTAGGTTATGGGAGGCTACGCCAGCAGTCAACTTGGACGGAACTCTAAGCCCAGGGGATTTACTGAAAGCGTGCGAAGGCCACCAATACACGACCGAGATCATATCTCTCGATCCTCTCCTGATCTATATCAACAACTTCACGTCTGCGCAGGAAGCAGAAGAGCTCATCAAACTTGGGTAGGTATTCTCGCCTTTCTGCCCCAAGCTGGAGCTCACTCACGACCGCAGCTAATACTTCTCCAGCTCCCCAGAATTTGCCGAATCCTTCATCAGCCGTTCACGAGGCAGTACCCAACGCGTCACAGGCCGCACCTCTCAGTCTGCGCCCCTCCCTATGAATGATCCGCTAGTCTTGTGTCTTCTGAGCCGCGCACGAAAGTTCATGGGCTCTATGCTCCTCCCCTCGGAACCCTTCAGTATTCCGCAACTCGTACGGTACTTCCCTAGCCAAAAGTACGACCTACATACAGACTTCTGGCCTGAACACCAGATCACTAGTCTCGAAGATGGCAAGCAGGTATACTTCAATCGCATCGCTTCATTTTTCGTTTTCCTACGCGACAATTGTACAGAGGGTTATACGTACTTTCCTCTTGTCGAACCTTCGTTGCCCAACATCCTGGATGGTACATACAATGACAGGATAGCGCAAGGTGAGATGAACGGAGAAGCCAAGGGCATCAAATTCAAGCCGATGCGGGGGAACGCGGTGTTTTGGGTTAATCTGGATAAAGACGGAAAGGGTGATCGGAGGGTAGTGCATGCCGGACTCCCGGTGGACGAAGGAGAGAAGATTGGGCTGAACATATGGCCAAGGAAATACTTTGGCTATGTTGATGGCGGCGATGAGGACAGGGAAGGGATGGCGACAAAGGAGGGGTGGAGTGGGAGATGGAAAGACTGAATGTGGAAACTGCATATTGAGCACTCTTGCTAACAAAACTGCACCAGTATTTTTCCATTGCATTCCAAGCCCTCTCAAACGATTCGTTCCATATCAGCACTTTAGCATTTACGTTCCGTCTAAATGCCGATGCGCAAAGCATACGTCATCTATGTGAAACAAAGACACGCGTTTCGCAACACGACAGATAGAGTGGCGCCACACAAACCTTATAATGAGTAAGGCAGGGAAGTGGCACAGTAAACAACCCGGTGGCTACAGTGTAACACCAACTCAAGAACTCAAATTACCGCACCGGCCAACATAGCCGCGGTCATGTCAAACAAACTCCTGAACAATCAAACCAAACTCACTCTCTACCTCACAGCAACAACATAAACCGTTGTCTCCAACATCTTGTCGGTCAGTTTCTAGAGCCACCAACTAGACAATGTCGCCTTCAACACCTTTCCCCGACTACCCAACACTCCACAGATGTCCAATGAACATAGCTCAGCTGATCGACCCTGCAATCCGCTCCTGGAACCTAGGTCCTGGTTTTTGTACGCGCGACAACTTGTTCGGTGTGAGCTACGTACTTCTTCTTGTCGTAAACTATATGGTCGCCGTTCTAGCCTTGTATGCGGTCTTCGCTATCCTGGGAAAGATCGTATGTTGGAGAGGATTCGCAGGGAAGGATACAAGAACTCGAGACAAGGCGCTGGATTGGAGAAGTGCGGATAGACTGGAGCGTGGTGAGGGGGGCTGGGTTGGTAAGGTATGTTTTGGTGTATTCGAACACTAGTCTGAGCTTATGATGGAAGATGCTGACGAACTTTGTAGCAGATCAAGGCGTTTCGCCCGATACTGAGTCCTGTGAGGGAGAAGGAGAAGATGTGATGGTGTCGATGCAAAGTGCGACGAAAATCAGAAAGGGCTCTGTTTGCATTGCAAAGAGTCACGTATACGAAGTTACCCTAGAGGTTGGGCAGTCCTATGGCAAGGGAATATCAATCGGTCCAGCAACCACATGCAGGACTTCGATGTATCTGCTCGGTGGTCTTGCATTCCGGCGCCCAAGATTCTCATTTCCAGTGTGGCATTCAGCACGTTCGGCACAAGTACTTGCGGCCACTCCTACGCTTATCCATAACAGAGTACTGCTGTGGCTATAATCATTGCAGCAAACATCTTGTCTACCGCCTTTTCTTCATGTATCGTACTGAGGGACTGCAACAAGATGATTATGATAAGTAGTCATTGCAGACACAGAGGCGGTGTGATTAGGGGAAGGAGAGCAAACGCACGACAGACTCGTTTGCAGCTGACGTCGTGACGAGCAAACGAATCTGGAGAAAATGGTGGACATGATGTCGCCCCGTAAACAAATCCAATGCTCCTGTACCTGGCGCATCGATACATCTGTGTCTGGTCACTCCAACGAACGACGAGAGATTCGTAATCTCGCCATTTCAGCCCACTCACCTTCACTTGATCACATTTCATACATGCGCAGGATTTCCTCACATCACCAATAACCTCGCATCCCCTCTTTTCAGTCCTCACCATCAGACGACCGGTCTCACTGCAACACATTCTCAACAATGCCGGCGCTCCCAATATCCACTCACGCAACAACAGCGCACCACGGTACTGATTGGCCGCTCCTCTGGATCATAATCGGTGTCACCAGCATCATTCTCTTTCAGACCTTCATCGCAGTTGCCCTTATTCGTTGGGCGAACTTGCGCAGCAAGGCACGGTGGAAAGATCTGCGAAACCGTGGCATTGCCATCCTCGACGGTCCTTCGCTCATCTGGAGGGACACGATACCGCCTGCACCGACAGTCTCGACATACAACTTACGGCATAAGCTTCAGATATCAAACGAACAAGTGTCTCAGTAGCTTACTGTGGCTGCTTTGAACCAAAACGACCAAGGCGTCAATACCAGCGCTACATCACTTTCTGAACAATTACCAACAGACAACGATGAGTGTCTTCGACCCCGAACCAACGCAGCTCACCGAACAACATCAATCCACAACCGCCGCCATCGTCTCCTTCATCGTCATCTCCGCAGTGGGCTTGTCGATCGTTGTAGGGTTCGTCGTGTTTGGTGTGTGGTACAGGATAAAGAGGAAAAGAGAACAACATGAGGCAGCCGTCGAGCTGGTGGAGCTTGCTCGAATTGGAAATTCTTTACAGATGTCGCCATCACAACAGCGGTAAGAGGTGGGCGGGGTGCACTGACAAACACCTTTTGGGGTGTGCTTTGTACGTTATCTTAGAGAACCTGTGCTCTCGTTTGCTCAACCACGCATAAAACGGCAGCAGTGTCTTTCCCTCTTCCTCGCATGTAGATTATACGGGGTCAGTATTGGCGTCGAAGGAATACAAAGCGTATGGGATATAAAGAAGAGTGATTGAGAGCTGGATGATCAAACCGTGAGAAACTTTCGAGTTGATCTAAACGAACCACTCATAGTGGCCATTAACATGACATCCCAACTGGAATCTTCTGCTTCGTTCCGAGTGAGAATGACTCCTGGTACCGTATGTCAATTAGACGTGCACTGTAATGTTAGTCGCGCAGTCTGATTGTCACATCATCACTCCGAGACTGTGGTAATAACAAGTTTCACCTGGCAACTCGTGATGGCGCGATAGAATTCGACCGTTGGTACCGGTGGTAGCGCGTTCCGTGTGGCGAAGCTCATGAGATTAGAACGGGGAAAGCGTCGACCGCCTCCTGGTAGTTGCTACCTAGAGGGTCGACCCCGCGTCAGCCAGAGTTACCGAAAGACCCTCTTTCTGTTCTTTTTCCTGCACGACCAGAATCGAGCTCGACCATTACTTGAACCTGGAAGCATCAACAGTAGACAACACTTAGAGGATAATCATGTCTTCCCAGAACACTTCCAACTCTTCAAGCTCCGGCTCGACTTCGGCGGGCAACAGCGGCAGTGGAGGCTATACTACCACCAGCTCCGGTACCAACGACCAGGTAGGCTCTCATGCTTTCGCCACCCTCCTACATGTGTGCTTAAGATCGTTTATAGGGAAACCACTACTGCTCTCGCGACTACGGCTCTGGCGCCTCAAACTCCAACTCTTACCACTACTCCAACACCAACGGCTCGTACTACTACAGCAACCCTAACGTATGTCGAAATTATGCCAGACAAACAAACTTTTGTTGACATAATCTTAGGGCTCGACCTACTACAACGATGGTAGGGGTGGCTCAAGCTACAATCCTGGCAAATAGAGTACGGACGTCTTGTCAGTCATGGCTATAAGCTCGGTGGAAGTCTTCATATATTGACTGCACGCTGTCGACAGAACGCGAACGGGGCAGTTTGGCCATATTTGAACAATCCAGACAGTACAAACTGAACCTCCTTGCTTCTTACTCCCCTCTGCATGCTTTTTGTGGTGACGCCTCCGCGTATATAGACGGCATAATATAGCCCAAACGCTGCCATTAGGACCCGGAGCGCGCCATGATAATGAGTCTACCATCGCCAACACAAATGTAGCGGTATCGCTGTCTCCTTGAACTAAGGTACGCGATGCCCTGAGGTGACGGAGTGAAGTCGTGTAGAGAGAGCATGGGTGGGGAAGCGACGGGCGGGTGAGATCCCGCTGGTGCCCGCATGTTCCCGAGGCTACCTAGGTATCGCTCTTCCCAGCGTTACATCGGCGATATCCTCGATATCCACTACCAGATTGCTCGGTATTCGCAAATCACATAGCTGGCATCGCACGGCTGTTTGTAGGTTGTGCATGCAACTCAGAAGTCACATCACGCTGCGTGACAGCTGTCTCGCTCGACGCGGGCTTTTTCCCAACCCTCAACTTTGCAAACCCCTAACGAGGTCGCTCCTGCCTCGGGGAATCCAAGCAAGACATTTGCATCGAAATCGCAAACCTGGGTAATCTTCTTACATCGAACACGTCTTCTCACATAACTATCAAACAACGTCATCGAGATTGAGATTGAGCTCCGGCCCGAGGTTTTCTATTTTCACGTTCAGTGGCACGCACCCGCTGTTCGCCGACTACGAAGCAGCTCGATTTCCTACATAACTCATGAAAAGTCAGCGTCTTTGTTAACTATTAGCATTAGCTTGTTGTATTGACTGCAAGAAACGCCGCCTCTTTGGCCTCATGGTTCCTTACTGGGACGTTATCATCTCAGTGGCTACCAGAGCGATCATCCTTATTGCTCGTTATATGTGTCTCGCTGCCGAAAGACTCTGCTCCATCGAGCTCGATCTCGCTATCTGTCCGCATCCATCCCTTGCTCTGAATCCGTATCCGGCTCTGTATTCTGGATTTGTTGGGATGGCTGTTCGAGCCCGTAGCAAAATTGCTTCGAGTTTTGGACTGCTGAGTTGACGGGAGATGGAGGATGCCACCGACGATGGGCTTGAGTGAAGGCGCACATGCGGCTATGATACCGATGTTTACCTGGAGGAAACCCCAAAACTGTATATCGTTCGTGCTGCCCGAGTCTTAGTGAACATAATACTGACGCAAACGTAGAAGTTAAAACGAACAATGACTGATCAGGATCACCCCTCTTTGTGTTTTGGACGACCGTCTTAACGATACCCATGATTACTGCTCTTAACTACGGTCAGCTCTTACACATGGACCTCGAAAGTCATTAGCGTTGAGATTGCGGATTCTTACATGTAGCCCAAGCTTAGAACGAGGATAAGGTAGATGCGAGTCCTTTGTTTCATCTGTAACCCTAATATGATGGGCACGGGAATAGATGCGAAACAGATATCAGTTAAGATATTGCACGCTTCATATGGCCTAGTCAGTCATCGAAAACAGATTTTTGAGGAGTAAACACATGCTTACTTGTGTTCATTAGCGCGAAGCCTTTGTGGATGTTCACGGCCAAGCATGTTGGCTTGAGGTCTTTGTTCCAAAAGCCGGCTATGGGCTTGCAAACAGCAGCCCACTCTCCCCACGAGACCACTGTATAAAGACAAACGAAGGCTTCGAAGCTCAGTATTTGCTCTCTTAGATTGTTCTGGGGTTATTGTAGGTGAGGAGACTTACCGATAAGCGACCAGAGCATTCTGGTGTACAAGGTGGGAACTTTGAGACGAAGGAGTGAGAACCCGACGGAGAGTTTGAGGAAAGCCATTCCACCAATGGTAGATACTATCGCTTGTATGAAGGTCAACTTCAGGTACTCATGATGGTCTTCCTTCTCAAGAGTATCGGTATGGCGTCCCAGGCCGTGTTGGGCGGCCAAGATGTAGGTCACCATACCGCCGAGAAAGACACAGACCTATCGAACATAGTCAGGAAAGCAGTCGAGCATGATTGGTCATATCGTCTCACCGTTGACGCTATTATAAGGGCATCATCTTTGCCAAATGCCTTCACGATGATGACACGTGCGTACAGCCGCATTGCAACGAAGACCAGGGCTACAACATGGAAGGTTGCTGTGACGCCGAGGAGGTAGCCCAAGTTGCTTTCTGCGGCTCTCGCTGGGTCAGTGTTCTGTGGCGCCATGGTTACAAAAGAAAAAAGAGTTTTTTAAAGTGAATCTAAGGCGAACAAACGACAATATCATATGCACAGTTTCCAATAGAAGGATGCGTTATGATACATGTTGCCTTCCTGTTCCTCACGCCCAGCATGACAAGGAATCTATTCCATCAAGTGTGAAGCACGGTAGCAGTGTTCTAGAAGGTTGTGTAGGAGTTCGTTCATTGGTCCTTTGACCTGTCCACCACGAGACGGGGCATCCACTGTGCGGAGATTTCTTGGAAGACCATTCAAAGGCTTTGCTTTTTTAAAATGAGTTGGGTTGTTCACAACGCATGGGAAACATGCGACCTGCACCTCCGTCTGCATACAGTAAGCATCGGCAGAGATCACATTTACAGACTAGCTCATCAGGCCAACCAGGAGGTACTAGGGAAGGGTCGGCCCAGCGTAATAGGTCGACGAGTGGATGAGGGTCTACCGGAACCATGAGTCGTCTCAACAAGTATCGATGGCTAAGCTCGCTTCGATGAGGGACGGGAATGGGCTAGCTCCTGGATGTGAGGTTACAGGAAGGGTGGGTCTGGGCTAACCAGGCCTCGGGACGGTGGAACGCAACAAGTCCCGGAAATCCGTCACTCCATTATGGATTGGTCTCTCCAGGTGGCAAATTTCAGTTTAATCCATGAGCCGATACAGCTATATTATATTTCAAATGAAAGAGCCAGACTTCTATTGTATTCTTTAAAATATCTCAAGTATTCAAGCAGCACACATCTATGCACCGTAACCCTTAAAAAGGTTCACCAGCTTCGAAGTTTTTGTTCAGTACCTAGGTATGTACCCATCTTTTCTGGATGCTATTATTCAACATGAAGCCAGGGTCTTCCCGTGTCCGTCCCGTCCCTCGTCCACTACAAGGGGGAGAAGCAGCAGCCGGATCCTTTGGCGATCTTATGCTACATCCGGATACAACTGCACGATGCGGGAAGACGTCCGACTGGCCATGGGTGCACGTTTAAATCCAACACAATCCTGTGAATCCTACATCTTGGCGACCCCCATCAATGTCACCTCACTTACCGATTTATGAGGGTCGACAAATAATTTCGTTGCACATTCTTCGCTTCGCGTAAGATTATCACTGCCGAAACAGGCCCTGATCGCGGCTGCCAGTCGCCACATTAACCGAACAACATCAACAAATACTGAAATCATGCCTCGAGAGCATGTTGTTCCAGTGTTCCTACACAGGATGCTTTTGGAAGCGTGAACGTGTTCATGACAATACACTGGCTACGCGATAGAGTGCTGACGGCCCGTTCAATCGGGACTCCGAGTACAAAGATGACCCGTACAACTGGACGAGGCTTCGGCTCGCCTGCAAGACGCCTTCCGTATAAGTTATAACACCCGAGGCTCCAGTGCAGGATAATCTCGAACTAAAGGATGAAGGATGCAAGCCTTGATTAGGCGCCCCCATACTCTAGCCCGCGTTCATCTAACCCAGCAATCTGGACTCGCCTAAGAACCGTTTTCTCCGTTAACAGTTCTTAGAAATCGGAAGCACGCTTGCGGTAAGGCCCTTGTATGATTCAGGGATGACTTCGCGATGAATATAACCGGCGACTTGGATCACCAGATCTCACCTTACGCTGCCAGATCTTGCACACAGCAAGTGCTAACTCGTCGATATGCGCCTCTTTCAAGCTATAGCTATCGTGCAGCTACTGGCTGGACATCTCGTGGCTGCTGTTCCCCTCGACTCAACTCCGGTCATCGATATAGACCCAGCAGTCGACCCACTCGAGGCTCTCGCTCAACTGCAACAGCATACGTACGAGACGCTTGAACACAGTGATGCCGTGTCAAAGAGGGCTCCGAAAGGCTGTTCCTTGGCAAACACTGCCATCCGGAGGGACTGGTAAGCTCACCACACTTATGAGGATGTACTTACTGACTTGTAAGGGATTATATGAGCAAGCCTGATCGGAGAGCATATATCAAAGCTGTTCAATGTCTCCGAACATTGCCGGCTAAGTCTGACAAGTCATGGGCTGCAGCAGCCAAGACGCGCTTTGATGACTTTGTCGCTATCCATGTCAACCAGACTATGTACATACATGGCAATGGTCTCTTTCTTACCTGGCATCGCTACTTTGTATGGGCATATGAGCAAGCTCTACGAAATGAATGTGGCTACAAGGGATACCAACCTGTGAGTTTCCAAAAACTCAATAGCCTCTAACATATCTGACTTTGCTAGTACTGGAACTGGTTCGCAAATACCGATAACATCTACAAATCACCCGTCTTTGACGGGAGTGATACCAGCTTGGGTGGCGACGGGGCATACTTCGCACACAACGGAAGTCTTGCAGGTGCTCGAACAATAGTTATCCCCTCCGGAAAGGGAGGTGGATGCATTGAGAGCGGCCCTTTCAAGAAGTGAGACTATCGCACACGTTCACAGTCCCAGGGAATTAACAGAATTCTAGTACGCAAGCGAGTATTGGCCCAATCTCGCCTGGTATGCAAGGCTTCACCGATCTGGGAGTCGATATTAATGATTACAATCCCCGCTGTCTGCGCCGAGACATCAGTCCTTATATACCCAAGAAATGGTTCACTACTGCAAATCTTCTGAACGTAACCATTGGTGCGGGCTCGCGAACCCACCGCGATTTCTGGGTCGAAATCCAAGGACGATACCCAGATGGCTTCCTCGGTCTTCACACATCAGGTCACTACACCATGGGCGGTGACGCGACGGATCTCTACTCTTCCGTCAATGATCCTGCATTTTTCCTTCATCACGCTATGCTTGACCGCATCTACTGGATCTGGCAGACGCTCCACCCAGCAGAGGCGAATAAAGTGACCGGTACTCTGACGTTGCAGAACAAGCCCCCAACGCGCGACGCTACTATCGACGAGCCGTTGAATATGGGAGTCAATGGCGAGACACTGAAGATTCGGGATATGTTCAATACCTTAGGGGGCAGTCCTTTGTGCTACATCTACTTGTGAGCAGATCCAGATGTAAGCTTTTGGTTGTTGTTGTTGTTGTTGTTGTTGTCTTGTGTCAACCATGGTAGTACTCCAGCATAGCCATACATATCACCAACAGCTTCTTATACATCTTTGCAGACGGCATGTCTTGTGCTGGCAATTTTGAGAACGGACTAGGACTAGTGGACTATATCCACCAATCCAACACCACGTTCTCCTCCACATATTGCCTCTCTGTCTCGTATTCAACCCTTCTTACCTACCGCATATAGTAGCCATCGAAAGCAGGCGCCAAACGGTTATATTAAAACCTTCCCAAGCCGCATCCACATGCTTCGGCAATACGTCGGAAATAACACTTTTCCCATCGTTGCCCAGCCAAACTTGCGGCATTGATCAACGCGCTCAATCCGGCAACAACGGTGAAACAGACTCGTCCTCGCCGATATTCCTTTGAACAGTAACCGTCGATTGTAGGCTCTAAAGCTTGGCCGCTTCGAAGTTACCCATTACAGAATTCTGTTGATTGTAGATGCTAAGGCTTGGTAATGCCAGCCGAGAATGAGAGAGAAAATTGCTTGTCGCTTGCTCACCGACACGTACGTCCATTGGGAAGGTTACGCGGGAATAAGCAAAAATTCTGTCCTCGATGACGCGAAAACGACACGTCGACTTTTCCCCTCAAACGATCAAATTACTGAAAGAGGTAGGCATGGAAAGTAGGCGTAGGGCTTGTCAGACTTGGTGTAGCTTGGTCGTTCTCTTGGAAAGTAGATGGGTTTACGGTGTTGGGCAGGTGTAGATAGTAGGCGTATAAGAGCCTCATTTTCCAGACACAACGTCACGTGCGCTGGATTCTAATGTGCTGGTCGTATGAGTAGTGTTCTTGTGCCTATATGGTTGTTCAAATGTTTATGTATCAGGAAGTCGCATCCAAGCACGATGATGGAATCTGTCGAGTTCAGAAACGCAATGCATAAAACTTCTGTTGAGCTCTCAATACATCTGCGTCTCATCGTCCTCCAAGTAAGCTCCAGCCTCGCAAAGATTTTGAGGTTGTATCCTCCATCGGCGCAACAGATTGATCGCCATCGGCACCCTGCATCGCGTTCCTTCGAGCTGCTAAACACGCCTCCGCAAGCGTTCCAATTTCCAAACCCCTAAAAAGCAATTACAAACATCGGTGTGTCACTTGGCCTACTCAGACAGGCAGTTATAGAAAACAGGCGTATTCCTTCGCTTCATCTTGCATCTGCTTAGATCTTGGTACGGTCTGCTAGACGTAGAGAAAAGCAATCAGCGCTTAACAAGCGCGTCCTCTCGTAACTAAACATCTGGTTTACATACCCAGAAGGGCAACTGTTGAAAATAGGCGTATTCCTTCGCTTTATCTTGCAAATCTGTCGAAATCTACTGCATACTACAGCATTTCGAAAAGAAATACTTGTCCAGTAAGGTTAGAGCAAGTCGCGAGCGAGGCCGTCGATTGACAATTTTGGTAGTACATACCACTTTCTGGGAGATCGTAGAGATCACCATGTCCATGCACGCCTACATCTATATGGTTGAAGAATGCCGAGTCGATGCATTACAAGAGACAGACAATGGGAATCAAGACCAAATACGCATAACTTCACCTCTCACGCTGAACGCGTTTATGGTTTTTTTTACAGTGGTGTCTCTCAACATAGCCTCTACCTGTGTCGCGAAGCAAGCTGACATTCCATCGATTGAGCTTGAATCAAACTCCGTCGAATACTCAGGAGAGTCAGTATTGGAGATAGTGCTATTGCCCGTCTTGAAACTTCTACACGTTCCACGGTCGCGATCGTGATATCCACAAGCGGTAAGCCGAAGGCGAAAACCCCCATCCTTCCGCGGTCAACATCGACGCAACGTACAGAAACCGTAGGTATGACGAGAAAGAAGCAACAACGGAGCCGCAATTCCGCAATTTCGTAATTCACATCACGCAACGTTTCGTATTCGACTACCGTGTTGAGTAACTCTATCAACAGTGTAGAAAATAGGCGTTATCTTCTCCTCACCTTGGCTCATGCCATGTTCGGGTAGCCTTCCCTCACCAATGATTTTTGGGGTCCCAAGAGACAAACAAATGACCGAAGACTGCAAACCCCTCACAGGCCCCTCGCGTCCCCCCTCTTCTCAGGTTACCTCTATAGGCAGTTGTGGAAGATAGGCGTGTAGCTTAACTGAAAGCTTGGTAGTGTAAATCCGGCAAAAGAGTGATTAGAGCCATCGTCATACCAGGGCGTAGTGGACACCAGTAAGCATGACGGAAACATCAGATGCCTCGGTGTCTAATGCTGATCTCCAATATGCACATCGAATCTGGCAACCATAGGAAATAGGCGTATATCTTGGTATAGCTTAATGTTCCTTCTCCCCTCCCATCTCCTCTTCTCCACTTTCCCCTCTGGGTAATCATCGAAAACAGGCGTATAGCTTCTCCTCAATGCTTAGCATAGCTTATTTTCCTCTCGGAAGGCCGCGGATGGTAATGCGTCGTGATTATGAAGCAGGGAGTGAAATGACGAAGGTCGGCCGAGGAGGCCAAGAAGGTCCGTGGATGTGTGATGACGTAGTTGAGACTTGAGAGGTACAGATCGCGAGGTTGGGGATATGTCATGGCGCGCGGAACGAACACGAACAGGTGCCTCGGCACTGGGGGCCTCGGAAGCGTTGTAGACTATCGCATCGCCCAAGGTATTGAGATACACGAAGGAAATTGTGTTGGGATGAAACGAATGCATTCCTGATGACATGTCTCGCTTTTCCCATGTTCAAAAGCAACGCCATCTAATGCCCTGATATACACCAATACAGTTATCCCCCCAAACGCCCTTGCTATGCATCAAAAAGGTATACGATCCAGATCCTATGTTCGTCTCTGTTCATCGATTTGGAAATTGCTTTATAGCTCATCTCGCCTTGGGATACGGATCTCCCAACTTCTCGGCCCGGGCACGAAACCCATCCACCAGTTGTACACTCTCCTCATTTCGAGGATGAAGATCTTGGTACTGTTTGTGCCATTAGCCAATGTCCTACTGCAACGCCCGTGTTGTTTAAGATGTCCGGTGAGAAGGATTTTAAGACTTACAATCGCCCAGGAAGCTGCGACCACTGGTACAGAACGTAAAAGAACGTCCTCTTGACCAAATTGTACTCGGCTTTGACCTCCTCCCACATTGTCATTTCTCTCGCGTCCCAGTCCCTCTTGAAATTTGGCACGTCTTCCCCGCCAGTCAGGACATCGATCGGCCCTTCGACGTCAGAGTCCCCGAGCGCTAGTATTGTCTTCAACACTCCCTTGTCAGTCTCTGGGAGTGTAGAGGCGACATCTTTTGGCAAGCCCTCTCGCTCATCGAGCATGCGACGGAAGTCCTTGATCGCGGACAGTGAGTGGGAGAGACGGTTCAAGGTGTTGATGAGCGCGACAAGTTCAGTACGGCGGAGCGGCGGGTCTCTTGAGGAGTCGTTCTCGTCGAATTCGAAGAGCACCTTGAGTGCAGTTCCGTAGCCATTTGTTTGCAACTTACCCCAGAGTCGACACTTGTCGCATCCTACGCAATCCATGATGCGACTGACATTCCTGAAGCGGTTCCGGAAATCTTCCTTCAACACCATTGTGTCCGGGTCCTTGAACATGACGGTTTCATCGAAGATCTCGGGACCGGAGGGAAGAGCAGACGTGAGGCGCAGGAGGGAGTTTCTAGTGCTGTGGTCTTGTTCGGGGTCTTCGGAGCAGAAGGAGTAATCAGAGATGTGTCGCGTGATTTTGCCAACAGCTCGCATGACGAGGGCGTAGTTGAAGTAGACATTGCTGATGCGCTCGGGGTGGTTATGTAGGCGTTCCTCGTAGCAGGCTAGGTTAGGTCCCCACTCTCCTGTTGTCTGGTTGAGGTAGTCGTAGCAGAGATGCGTGGAAATAGAGGCGTGCATGCCGGAGATGACACGATGGAAGACGCGCTTCTCCAGACAGGTGTCGTCAAATTCGACAGGATCGAGGCTGTCTACAGGAGAGCCGTGAGCAATGGCAGACTGAACCTTCTGCTTCTTGCCCTGCTCCTGCATGACGTTCTTGAGCTGATTCGCAGCATGTAGTTGTTGCTGGTTTCCGAAACCGCCAAAAGGTGATCCTCCAGACGTTGAAGAACTACCAGTCGCGGGCGCATTCTTTGGGGGCTTGCTGAAGCAGTTCTCCCGGTATATAGCCTCCCAGACCTGCTGAGCCCCAACGCCAGCGTATCCGGTGAAGCGTTCTGGGTTGTCGACAAGCGACACGTAGTCTCCCTTTGCCGACGCCGACTCATCCTCCGGTACGCAGTAGTCGCGCTCGTCGCATTCGTCATCGTATTCCACCACACAGCTCTCGTCAACATTGTCACCCAGACTGCCGTGGAGCGGTCGTTTCCTCTCTTCCCTTTGTTGCTTCTTGCCAGGATGCTGTGCTGTGGGCCCCTCGAGCTTGCCTAGTTCCTTCGCGCGCCAGACCAGTGGTATGTCCTCTTCATTGTCCAGTGTGTTCACCGCACACGCCACGTTCCCGCACATGCCGTTCTCGTCGTCCCAGAAAGGACATTTCTTGCTGTACAGGCTTAATCGGTAATGCGAAAAGAAGTCGGTATTCTGCGTGATGGATTCGAGGTAAGGGTGGATGGCTTCGTTGAGCTGTTCGAGGGTGTTGTAGCTTGCGCACGCGTCGGATACTATCGCTCCAGGCGATATCTGGAAAAGGGTCTTAGTATTCGCGTCCCCAGGCTGCGCTGGTGGAGTAGACGACTTGTTGCTTACATCGCAGACGTTTGGCGGAGGACTACTCGATTTGGTAGCATGGCTTGCAGCGTGTGAGCTACCTAGCAGCGAGAAGACTGCTAGATAGAACACGTGCGCGGCTGAGCGCATTGTGATGGTGGTATTATCTGGCTACTTGAGTCTTCCCGTCAGCAAACGTCCGCGACAAAGTGTTTCCAAAGCGAGCAACAAGTTCGGGGACATACAATTACTCGTAGCCTGGCTATATGAATCGTTCCGGTAAATTAAACGCCGAGAGTACGTGTGGGGTAGGCAAAGAGGCCAGCGTGTAGGTATCGAAACTGTCTCGGCGCAAGTCCGGAATCCTGGTCGTGGCCGTGATGGTGCTAGTTGGAGTAGGAAGTTCCGACTCGAGACAAATTAAGGTAAATGAAGGACAATGCCTGTTACAAATCAACAGAGACCGAAAGAGACAAGACGTAGAAGGAGCGGGTGTGATGTATTAGATTGCTCCCGTGGCATGCCGGGGAAATGTAATCAGACGTTCATGGGGCCACAGACTTGCAGCAATGTGGCCAGTACTGATAATTGTGGCGGTGACATGCCAATGGACCCTGAGATGTTGCGCTAGCGGGAGGCTCAACGGACCACTCTTTCGTGCGGCTCTGCAAATCCACTTGCGCGTGGTAAAACATACGAGCAGTCGCACCGCGCATCCTAAGAATAGCCCCTGATAACGGCCGCTAGTTCATCGACATGGCAGAAACGTCCAAAGCAACTGGCAGCTGGTCCGACGCCTTTCCCGCCCCACGGTGCATCGCCCCGATCCTCTCCCGCGAAGAGGCCCTGTCGAATCTCTCGTCTCCAGACTTGCTCATCGTAGATGTCCGACGCACCGACTATGAAGGTGGAACCATTCGAGGTAGTCTGAATCTTCCTGCACACTCCTTCTACATGAATCGCGGCGCCTTGTATGACCTGTGTAAGAGAGCGGGCGTCAAGCAAGTCGCATTTTATTGTGGTAAGTCTATCATCCCATTACCATGCCAGTCTTGAACGCAGCATGGCGGCTATACTCGTGCGCTCGTGGCGTGAGATGCGTACCACAAGGTACCGTGACCGGTCCAAACACGAACCATGTGGCTTTATCACGATATTGACACATGATAGGCGCATCAAATGGAAGAGGTCCGAGATGTTCTGGCTGGTTTGCAGACTACATTGCGGACCAGGGCGATGATCAGATTACATCATTGACACTTGGTGGCGGCATCAAGGGCTGGGTCAAGGCTGGAGAGCCTTACACACAGCAGATGGATGGCTTTGAGCCCGATTATTGGAAACAGTTTGATTAGACGCGTGCTTGATGCATTAAGTACACAGCAACATGCGTGGTATCTCAAGCTCGCCACATTATCTACATACATATAGTCGTAAGATGCGTTCATATCTTCGCCCAAAGTTCCGGAAAGGGTTACTGAACATAATACATCACTCATCTGAGTCATCGACAATGATTCGCCTGCCTCTCTTCCTGGGAACAATAGGCTCGTCTTCTTCCGCCTCGGAATCAGAATCGACAACGACTGCTTCGTTCTTACTCGCACCGGCACCACGTCTGATGACCGGCGCGTCATCATCACTGTCACTACTGACAATTGCGTCGTCATCAGTGATGTCGCTGGTAAACAGCTTTTCACGCCTGGGTGTCCTCTTCGCTCTGGCAGCTCTGACGACTGCTTGAGTTCCCGCCCCAACGCCAAACATGTCAATACTAGGTAGACTAGAGGTTGGAACCACCTCTTCTTCTTCATCTTCTTCGACGATGAAACTAGCCAGTTCCGACACGTTCTGCCAGGCCAGTGGATCCTCTGGTTCGTCCGCCCCCATCGTGTCGTCAGATCCGATTGTGTCAGCTTGGGATGGGAGGTGGAAACGGGGATCTGTCGGTGGCGGGGATGATTCGTCGCCTTCCTGAGCAAGATTAGACACGCGCCAGTTGGGCGTCTTTGTTATTGGTGTTTCATCCGCTGTTTCGGGGTATGGGATTGGCGTCTCTGCAGCCGGTTTCTCTTTTCGGGTTCGAGCACGAGGTGCTGGAGTCTTAGGGGTCTTCGGAGCCGGCTTCTCTTTGGGTTTTGGTGCTGACTTTTCTTTTGGTTTCGGCGGCGTCTTCTCTTTTGGCGGTGCTTTCTCCTTCAGTTTCGCCGGTGCCTTTGCTTTGGGCTTCGGGCCAGGCTTTGCTTTTGCTTTGGTAGTCGGAAGGCCTTGTGATGCAGGTTGATCGTCTTCCCACATGTCCTCCTGAATGTCTTCCGGAATCACGGACGCTACTTCCGTATTCGACACGACGAGACCGTCATCTGCATCTGATTCGCAATCCGAATAGTGCAGGTCCCGCTGGAACTTTTCCAGGCGGTCAGTTTCCATATCGTGCATGCGCTGCATAGTACCGGCAAAAGCCCGTGTCACGCGACCTGGTCCGATTCGTCCATTCTTGTAAGGCAGGACGCGCTGCCGCTCGGGAAATTTACTCAGGTCTAGCACGCCCACCATGGGGGCGTCATCGTCGTCAAAAACAGTCTGGTACCGTCTCTCGAGATCTTGAGCCGCTACATCGTCTAGTAGCACCGAATCCAGTGATGGCATCTCGAATGCTGTCTCGCTTGGATAAACGGGTGCTGCAGCTTTCTTCCCTCGGGCTTTGGGCACGATTTCTTCACCCATACGGCCTGCAGTAACGAAGCCGGTAATCACATCGTCGGGCATATGGAACTTCTTGGGAGGCTTCTTGGTCCGCCTTCCCTTCTTCGGTTCCGGTAGCCAGTCTTTCTGAGTATTTTCGGTTGGGATATCCACCACGCGCCGCTCAACAACCGGCTTGACATCTGGTGGTAAGATTCTGCGAGAGACGTCGTCATGGAAATTGAAGTGCCCTCCATCCGCGATGAGTTCCTGCATCTTGAGGTAGCTATCATTTGCCTTGTTTGCGTCGTTCTCTTCTTTGCCTTGCATCTGGAGCATCACAATTCGTCCCTGACGTTTTCGACCTGTACGACCCATACGCTGCAGCATGCGAATTGGTGATGCTTTCGAATCGTAACAGATAATGAGATCAACCTCACCAATATCCAGTCCTTCTTCACCAATTGATGTCGCAATCAACGTATTGAATTCACCGTTCTTGAACTTCTCGATAGCCTCCAGCTGGTCTTTTTGCGACATGCCTTCCGAGTTCTTCCCGTGTGCTTGTCCAACAAAGATGCGTGGGCGGATCATCGGATGATGTCTCTTAAGGATGCGTGCGATCTCTTCGGCGCTATCACGAAAGTGGGCGAATACCATGATTCTCGTTTGTGATGAAGGCGCACCATCAACGTTGCTGCCATCACCTGCATTCACAAAGTGATCCAGAATGACTTGCTGCAGGTACTCTAGCTTCGGATGCCCAACAAAATTATCATCCGTGATCCACCCTTGGAGACGCACCATCAGCTTCTTCCAAGCGTCACTGTCAAGGACCTGCTTCTTATACTTAGACTTCGTTTTAGCAGCTTCGTCCTGAAATTCCTTCATTTTGATATAGAAAGGACCCATGCCGTGGTATTTCAGCAAATCCATTCCGTGTGAGATTGATGCCAGGATAGCGAAGATAGTGTGAACTGTACTCTGAAGGCCGCGGTTGGCATTGCGGCCGACTTCTAGAAACCACTTCTTCTTGGCTTGCTGACAGCCAAAAGGCGTCAGATCGCGGGGGTTCTTGCTCCAGTAAGCGTTGAGTCCTGCGATAGTGTTCACTAAGGGCTGCAGTGCTTCGCTGTAAAAGTCCATGCACATCTCCATCTCATCTGTATTCTGGAAGACTTGCTTGTCGATCTTGCGTTGATGCACATAACTGCATATATCCATAGAATTCTCCGTTCGAATCTCAACCTTGGAAATATCGAGGCCATCGATGACCTTCTGGACGGCCTCTACATCAGCACCAGGTGTGGCTGTTAGTGCTAATACCCGGAAACTCGAATTGAATCGGCGAAGGAAGCTAACAACTTCCACGTATGCGTAAGCGCCGGTCGCTCGGTGGGCCTCATCAACGACTAACAATACTATCCTCTTGGGATCTGCATACCCAGACTTCAAGTCGTTCAAAAGTGTTTGAGGTGTCATGAAAAAGACTCTTTTATCCTTCCACTCCTCCGCTCGTAGTCCTGTCGACACGCCTCCAGTAAGCATTGTGGTGTATGAGCGTGGTATGCCTGCAATGTTGAAGCAAGCCTCCACTTGCTGTGCAACGAGCGGCTTCGTTGGGGCAACGAATACAATCTGTGCGTCGGTGGTCCATCGAAACCAATTGAGTATGATGGTGGCTGCAATGAATGTTTTACCAAGACCAGTTGGAAGAGCCACAAGCAGATTATTGAAAAGACCTCTTTGAACGATGTTGAACTGATAGTCTCGGATAGTTCCCAGATTTGTTGGATAGACCCAAGTCTTGATCGCTTCTGGATTTAGCTTGTGGTGAGTGGGTGGCTCGGCCTTCTGATCGACAACAAAGTTGTAACGCTTGTTTACTTGAGTAGCAGGTATTGTGCCATCGATACCAGCACGACCAAATAGAGTAGTCTGTCGTAGGCCGGTCAGAGGTGCAACGACACGCTTTCGAGCACTGGTGACCTCCACATCTCCCTGTTTTCGTGGCGACGAAGAGGACGAGGCAAAAGCATCGGACGGGAGATCTGCGAGGTCTTGGGCATAGTCGTAGTCACCTGATGCAGTCGCAATTGCAGTGCGAACCGGTAGTTTGGGGGATTCATCGATCTCAATGGGCGAGTCTGGAAGGATAGGAGACGAGGGCGCGTGTGGCGCAGGACGAGACGATGTTGACTGTCTACCCGGTAAAGAGATATTGTTCGTGGTGTTCGATCCAGCCAACTTCTTAGATTCAGATGGCTTATGCACACCGATTGTGGTAGTAGGCTTTGCCCAAATCGCTCCTCTCGGCTTCCATGGTGGGGAATATGTCTGAGGTGGTTGTGTTAGAAACATGTCTGGCATTTCCACATTGGTGGTCGACACATGGATGCGCTCTTTCCGCTTATCTGCAGTGGACTCTTTGATAGGCGACGCATCTTCATCATCGTAATTGTTCGACTGAGCCCTCTTCTTACGACTTGCAGGTGCGCTCTCTGGGGATGAGACACTTTTGCTGCCTGTATCTGACAACGTCCGATCGGATTCATCAAAAGCGTCTTCATCTTCGTCAGACGAAACAAAAGGACCTCGGCGACGTCCATGGCGTGTCTTGCGCGGAACGGACTCTGTACGCTCATTTACTTTGCTGATCCTGCGTCGCTTGGCTGGCCTTGGAGAAGGCAGAAATGCAGGCGTGTTCTCTTTTTCAGCTTGTGTTGCGGCATCGAGAAACTCGGTGTCGTCGAACTCGTCGCCGTACTCGTCACTGTCATCCATTGCGTTGTGGTTGAGAGGCGGCAATACTTCCAATGGTGGCGTGGTGAGGTAAATGTCACGACGCGTCGTATTCTAGCGCGTTTTGCCCGATCGCGTGGATAGATGGGGCAGGTGGATCCCTGCAGCCCAGGCTCCCACTCGTAAGGTTCAAGCCGACATGCATTGAAACGACGCTGCCGGCCCGACGAGCTTACCACACAAAGCTTAGTCGAAACCCAATATAAGCGCAACGAGCCGCTACTCGCCAAACCCCTATGTAATGACTAGCACGGTGTCAGGGTAATAAAAACGAGATGGTCTCCCCCAGATTCTTTCTTTGTGTGTGCGCCAACGTTCATTCTTTGTTCTGATTCAGTCTTCAAGTACTCGTACTTCCCACACTCACTTGCCCTGCCTTCAGTATATCCGTATTAATCTACGCAACGCCGAATCACTACTTCCAATAGTCCCGTAATATCAAAACGCAAACCGACATCAAGATGAAGTACTCTGCCGTTCTCCTCTTTGCCATTGGCGCATTCGCTATTCCTCAAGACGCGTCTGTTACCTCCGCCCCTAAGACCCCTGCCGCCATCCCGAGTGGTCTTTCTCCCGCCATCAGCTGCGCCATGTCGTGCGACGACAGCGATGTGACCTGCAAGGCCGCATGCCTGGGCAACGCACGACCCAACGCCTCCCAGGTTATCGATACCAACGAATGTGTCGCCAAGTGCGATCAGGGTGATGGCTCTACTGAGGACTCCATCGCCTACGCCAAGTGCGCAGACAGCTGCATCAACAGCCTTTTTCCTAGCAGCCAGACCGCTTTCGGCGCTGGCGGTGCTGCGAACGCTGTTGCTTCCGGCTCTGCTGGTAGCGCTGCAAGTGCCGCTGCTTCAGCTACTGGTTCCGCCAACCCTACTGCTACCTCAGGTACGTTTACTATTAGCATTATATGTTGGTCATGTTTGTACTAACGAAAATCTAGGAGGATCTGCCTCTGCTTCTGGATCCGAGTCTGGCTCTGCAGCTGAACCCGCTGCGACTGGTGCTGCTGACAAGGCTTCAGCTCGTCTCGCTGGTGCTGGTCTTGCTGGTCTTTTGGCTATCTTCGCCTTGTAAATCTAGTAAATTCGATCTGGGCTGTACTTTATGGTCCTGATGGCTGGAGAGCTTGGGAGAGTCTGAGAGTCATTGAAATAGTGGCTGATGCGAGAGTCTTTGTTATATGATGGTCGCCGTGTTGAATATATCGTGCATTCGATACTGGCCCATGTTGGAAGAATGTTCTTGGTGGTAAGGTTTCAATTTGATCAGATGAAAACCTCACAATTGCACTGCTGTTTCAAGCAGCATATTTTGCTTGTCGCCGAACAAGTGTACCCAGATCTGTGTGAGCTATATGCTGTGAATTGAAGTCGTTGAGGAGGGGGATCAGCACTGGGAATGCTAGCGCAGCTGATGAGCTAATGATGGCGCTGGCTCGTGCACCTCATGCAGGTCAGCGGCATGACCTCGGCATCTACCTAGGTAGATGTCATCAAGGCCCCGCCCAGACCATGACAAGTGCCCGCACACCATGAAGAAATCGGGGTCACTCATCATGGGAATTTGTTCGGTCGAAACAGAAAAGAATGATGTTCGAATTCATCTTGGTCAAAATGGCAGTACTAGAGGGAACTAGCCCCTTCTAGGCAATTATGGACAACACGAACAAAGCCCAACGCCTCCCAAAGTCGAAGACGCCGCGGCTGGTAGCATGGCGCAGATACGGCTGTGCAGGTGGTTATATTCGACCTCGGACCGAAAGTTTGATTGTAGTTATTGACAATTCTGCTCGAGTGATAGAGGAGAATAGGGGTCACACGCGTCGTTGATGCGCAGGACAATAGCTGGGTAGCGGCATTGGTTAAATCCTTTTGGTTAATATGCAAGCGCCTGTTGCTCTCAAATTCACTGAATCTAGATGGAAGGTTCGGGAACGTATCGCCGGTATTCACCTCGCTATACTCTGTTGTGGCAGTATGATATCCTGGTGAGTTTGCAGCTGTTTGCGACAATATTTTGAGTAGTATTGTATTGCCAGCGTGTTGCTGTCTGTTTCCTGTTGGGTGTCAGTTGTCTTTTAAGAACCGGGTAATCGCAGCAGACGTCCCACCCGACTGTCCCTTTGCCTGCTGCAAGTACGGGCGCATGTAGACATTTCAAATTGCATTGACTGTTTTTACTAAATGGCACTGTTCTATTCCTTCTGGATGATAAAATCGCATCACATGTTTATGCGATTCACTTTGCGATGTATATGTATGCAACGTTATCGTCTGAGAAGATAGCATTGGTTTGCTCTCCCTATAAACCACAGCTGACTTATATATCATGAGTTTTTCTGAGAACGCAATGCTCTCGACAGCAGTGTAGTGCGATAGGTTGCGCGGTGTTGTTGGTGAGCGGTTGTGTGAGTCAGGGAACTAAATGACGCCTGTTCCAAACAAGCCAAAGCCAATAGAAAACCCAGTCGCGAAGTTGAGCCAGAGGGTCTCATGGGCTTGAGTAATCTCCCGAGCGGCCTTGTTCTCTCTCCGGGCATGCGCAGTTGAAGAAGAGTGGCAGGGACACATCGTGAAGCAGAGTCCACGTGGCTGAGGATGATGTGCATCAGGGACTGGTGTGTTATAAAGCAGATATGAGCAGTCATGAATTTAGGTACGATAAAGGTGGAGGTTTGGAACCTATAAAGTACTTCAATGATAGAGGCCTGCAGCGACGTGCAAGCATCACCAACAATGAAGAAGAATCTTCATTAAGCTAGCTGACCGGGATGTTGATCACCCGGGGATGTTGATCACTCACAAATCTCAGCACTCCCACACAAAACACGTGTTATCTCTCCACGTACTCAACCAAAATGGGCGACCGTGAAGCAGCTA